GGCAAAACCTTTGCACCCTAAGCTAGATTCCTTACACCGAAAGCTAGAAGTCTTGCATCGTGAGCCAGAAGCCTTGCACCTTAAACCAGAAGGCTTATACTTAAGCCAGAAGCCTTACACCTAATCCAAAATTACATGAAAATGTCCAAAGATTACATGTAAATTAATGTTACCATCACACAATATTTAACCCTTGCACGCTAAGCTAGAAGGCTTACACCTAAAGTCAAAAGCTTGCACTAAGAGTATAATTACATGAAAACGCCTTAGGTTTATATGTAAATCAATGTTATTATCACATTGTACAAAAGACTTGCACCCTAAGGTAGATGAATTGCACCCAAGTCTTCTGGCTTAGGTAAAAGCCTTTTGGGTTAGGGTGCAAGGTTTTAACTTAAGGTGCAAGGCCTCTAGCTTAAGGCCTAGCTTAGGTGTAAGCCCTCTAGCTTAGGATGCAAGGTTTTAGCTTGGGTGTAAGGCTTTTGGCTTGGATGAAAGGCTTATGGTTTAAAAAATTACATGTAATATCTTGTAGATTACATGTAAATCAAATAAATAAGGAGCATCTATTATCAATTTCTCTATAATTATATGAAAATGACAACTAATTACATGTAAATCAGTATGGGAAAAAATTCACGAGCCTGCTTGAGGAATAATTTATATGTAATCTCTAGCTAATTACATGTAAATTGAATACACAAAGAACACACCCTATCAATCCCCTAAAATTATATGAAAATGACTACGAATTATATGTAAATCAATATGAGAAAAATTTAGGCGTATGACTGAGGAAAAATTTACATGTAATCTCTAGTGGATTACATGTAAATCAAACACACAAAGGGCATCCCTTGTCAATCCCTTAAAATTACATGAAAATAACTATAGATTATATATAAACTAATATATGAAGAAACTCAGAGTATGACTAAGGAATAATTTACATGTAATTTTGAGCAAATTGCATGTCAATCAAACACACATAGAGCAAGCCTTCCTTAGTGCCCGTAAATTATATGAAAATGACTACGAATTACATGTAAATCAATATATGAAGAAATTTATGAGCATGCTTGAGGAATAATTTATATGTAATATCTAGCATATTACATGTGAATGAAACATATAAAGAGTATATCATTATCAATACCCTTGAATTATATGAAAATGACTATAAATTACATGTAAATGACTAAGTCAAAAGCTTTGCACCTTAAACTAGAAACCTTGTACCTAAGCCATAATAAGTGCACTTTAAGCTAAAAGCCTTGCACCTAAATCAGAACCCTTGCACTATAAGCTAATATGCTTGCACCCTCTAATTCTAATACCCTAAATTAAAAAAATATATCATGGGAAGTAAGCAAAACATCATGCCATGTTAAACCACATCCTACCCTATATAAAAAAAATTAAAGGAACACTTACAATAAGTTATCTCTTTTTAAGTATTATACATTGTATAGCAAGCCATGTTCACATATAAAAGATGCGGATTTAATAATGTAACATAGAGGACAATTGAATTGTTTTGAAAGAGCAAATGAATGTGAAGAGCACGAACGAACAATAATAATTTCAATGAAAGAACATTAATTCCATTAGGTTTGGTTTATCTTTCTATTAAGTACAATTAAAATGATAAATAAAGACTATAAGGCACCTCATATCAACAAATATACCACGGGGGCTTAAGGACAACATTATACCCATGTTAAATTATATCTTATGTTACATAAAAAAACAAATAAAGGGGATGGTCATAAGTATATTTTAAAGTACAATCTCAATTTCATTCAATCTTGTAGGGAAATCTCATGATTAGCATTTTTTTGTAGCTCACTTGAATTATGATATGCATAAGTTAAATTTACAAGAGCTTCTTGATTTGAACTTATTTTTTTCATATTCATATGAAACTTTATGCTTTAATGCGTCTAAAACATTATGCCTAAAATAAAAATTAGTAGCCATCATAAGTGGGTCATTCATGGCATACTACATTTAGGTATAAGATGTTTATCCAAAATGGAATGCGTTTAGTAGTATTACCAATTCCCAAACTTATCACTTTTATATCAAGGTACTTCTATAAAGGTGTGGCCCTTCTTCTAGTAATCTACTCTCCGTAATAAAAAGGTAAAATGAAAGTCAACACAAAGGATATTGTAAAGTAATGCAGTATCAAACACTATAATAAAAACAGACTCAACATTTGAGGAGTGAAATAAAGAAAGATTCCTTATTGCATCATTTAATTACTTAGATTAAACAAAAGATAAAGATGTTGAATATTGCCTCTGTTGTACTCCTTTATAGGTCTGTAGGACACATAAATTTCTAGATTTAAACACTTCATTTTGAATCATATATTATAAGAAAACATCTCATTTTCACTATTTTTGACCCTACATCAATCAATTACAACAATCATTCAAATATAACATGTAAGGAGTAAGGTAAGTAAAGGTATTGTTTTGAATATCACTTGAATGACTATTTTCATTTTCATAAGAAAATGAAATTTGATCATTATCAGTCAATGTTAAAAGAAAAACATCAATCAATGCAAATGTTTACATACGCTTTCTCTCTCTTTTAATTTATGAAAACTAGGGACTAGACCACTAACTAACTTTAACATATGAACTGCCAAGTTGAAATAGGCAGACTATGACATACATATTGCTTTGTGTATAATATTGGAAATCCTTTACCAAAGAGAATATAAAATCAAGAAATGAATACAAAAAGAAAACTATAGATAGTCAAAACTCTACCAGTTGCACTATGATAATAGTTAACTAAATTTAAGGTGCTGGAGCAATAAAATAAGACTAGAAGCATAAAGTGTCAAATGGTATTACAAACCTTTGGAAAGAGATAACAAGCTTGAAGTTTCACTATATTAGCATTGTCGGAAACTTTTGTCTTGTAAGCTTTTAAGGAAGATAAATTTTTAGCTTTTTTAATTGTGGCACATTCTTTTGCATATGCAATGTCATGTAAACATAAATAAGCAAATATGCACATATTGTAGACATTAGTTTGAAAGGTTGTGTAGAATTTTTAAATGCAAAAAATAAGTTATGGAATGAACAACTGTATAGAATCATGCTTAAAATTTTAGGAACCTGAGTTTAAATTTAATTGTATCATTAGATGGAATTCATCAATTGATTAGTCATATTCAATGAGTTTCAAATTTCATTACTATAGTTTATTTAACAGAGTAGAGATAATTATTCTCAAGTGTTCTTCCAACAATATTGAAATCTTCTCATTAACACCAAAATTTAAATGTATCAAAAGTATATTCTTTTCAGTTCACCAAAATGCACAAGCGAACCTTGCATGAACTTCTTAGTTTTGTAAACAACTTTTCAAAGATTATACAATCTGTAATGACTCTTCTAATACATATTCTACTAGAAGTTAGCAAAAGCCTATTTGAGTACAGAAACCAACTCCAGATAACTCGGGCCATTATCATTGTAATTTGTACAATGTGGAAAAAGTAATTTAGAGATTATTGAACAAAAAGGTTATCATTAAAAATCATTGAAATTTGAAACTTTCTCTTATTCTCTTTTATCGGCAACTAATAAGGGGCTCACAATTATTAGTACATAGAATAATTTAGAAATGATTGCTTGGTAATAGAGAAAACTTTGCTTAATAAACTTGACAAACTATCTTTGTTTTGCCATAGAGAAAAAGAAAAGAACACAACATGATTCAGTCCGCTTTCAAAGTTAATGAGTAAGCTATCAGGTCAATGAGAATTAAAAAAAAAAAACTTCTCACCAATGACCTCCACCCTAATACTGCCTAGCAACAAAAAATCACAACTTTTACTACATGGAAGGAAAAGAAGCTATGGATATGAAAATTTAACGATACTAGTAAGCACTTCTTCAGGTGCCATCACGCATTTGCATTTGCCAACATTTTTTACATTCAAGGGCATATTTTGACTCCTGCAACATCCAAATGAAGCCAAAAATAAAAAGCAAAATTTGCATGTAAGCTTTTCTGCATTGGATCTCATTTCTTTGAGGAAATGTATAGAAAGCAAGAATAGAATTGGACTTGACATGAAACAAATATCTTGTGTTAAAGTTTGAGGAAGCTAAGAAAGTGAAGGAGAATGAAGAGATTGAGATCGCTAGATTGTGGGAGATCATGGAAGACACTTCAAGTGAGATAATGGTGAAAAACTGCTTTATCCAAAACCAGAAGTGAAGATGGGCAGAGTCACTTGTCAAAAGAGGAGCCTTAAAAGTAGTTGTAACACATTTGCAAAAGTTGTAAAATTAAATGTATATAAACATGAGAGCAATTATTAGACAAAATTAATTCAGGTGAAGGTGACTTTGAGAGTGATCAATAGGAATGGAAGTGAAAGGGCAAAGCAAGAAAGATGATGACTTGGAGGAGTAGGGTTGCCCAAAATCGTCTACAATTTCTTAGACCATTTTCTCCCAATAACAAAGGGTATTTTTGTCCATTCTCTTTATCATTTTTTTGAATGAAATAAGAAGATTGGTCTTTTAATGTACTTTCATCTGTAGGCACAATTTAGCTTTCAATCTGATCTTTTTCACTAATTTTTTTTTTTTTGAAAAAGTCATTCTTTCAGGCGTCTGATTCATGACTGCGTACTGCATAGACTAATCGCAACTTTTTTAACAGAAAAAAAAAATGTCTCAATTTCGAGACCCTGCCGCCGGTGGCCGCGGGTCGGGGGTGAGAGCGTGTCTGCCTCCCATGCGGATGAAGCCGCCGCCTTGATAAAAAAAGCAGTTTTGTAAATACGAAAAATAACATATTCTGGTGCGGGCGGTTCCACATCACATTTTCTGGCAATCAGCCACGTGCCTGTCACATTTCATCAAATCCTACGTGGTCAACTAATGTTGGTTGCGTAACATGTACGTCTTCGTACCACGTTCTCTCTGATCCAAACAACGGTATCTTCCAGACCAACACCCACCTATGCTCGCGGGTTCTTAGGCCAAGTGACGTGGCCTTCAAGTTCCGAATCGTCTGCCACATGCGTCTTCCCTTCATTATTCGTTTCTTCCTTTTCGTCTTCACACGCCGATCGTGTTTTCGTCCATTTTGCTTTCTTTGTGATTGTCAAGATCATCCTTGAAATGTTTATACGATAAAACGTCGAGATGTTAGAGGATCAGGTGGCATACCTCTTGCAGAGGTACCTTGGCAATTATGTGAGGGGCCTCAACAAAGAAGCCCTCAAAATCAGTGTCTGGCAAGGTCCGTAAGTCCTTCATTGCATTTTCATAGTTCTTTACTATACTGCTGTGTTGAAATCAGAGTGTGACTGTTAGTTTGTGACCTCCATGGAGTGATTACATATAATCACGAATAGTTTGTAATTGCTGTCTTCAAATTCTCAACCTGCTGACGTCGAGACCGCGAACTCTGACTTGCATATAGGATAGTAAGCGAGGGAAATATGCGCGAATTTGTTGCTGCGTTAGAAGGCTAGAAGCCTTGAACACTGTAGTTTTTGGTGGGTTTGAGTTTTGTGCTTATAGCCAGTTGAACGTACAACTTCAAAAAGAAGTGATAAAAGATGCTAAAGAGACGAGGAAATGTATAAATGATAGGCAGCAGCCCATCTCTTCAAGTTAGTGAACTTGGTCTATGAGTGAATAGAGAGCATGGTGTTTGTTGATAGACGGAAAAACTAAAAAGGAGATACTTATAAAAGGAGTTTTCTTGCTCTCGTGAATCTTTAGAAACTTCTTCCTGCCTCTTATGTTATTATGTGATGCAGTCGAAGTTATATCTTGTTACTGACAGCTGGACAGGAAGGGTGCATCAATCCGTTGTATAAAGCTCGTGGTTGTTGTTGTTGTATTTTTTTAGTGACACTGTAGAGCTGATGCATTTCAGTCTGAGTTGTGAGACATGTCAATCCAATTTTACGTTCAGCTGAACAGTCGGAATTCTTGTTATTCACTTCTAATCTCTCTAACGTGTTGACTTGGCTCTTTTTGCCATACTAGTTTCTTCTATATGCAATACATGTATATAGTCTCCAGTATTAGAGGGCTTCTTCTGTATATTTCTTAAAAGCCAGGATTCCCCCCCCCCCGGCTACTTTTTAGTATCATTGTGCCAATAATGGGTGATATTAAAATTATAGCCCTGCTAATTGGTAAATTGCTAAAATTTCTTGCCGGCTTGGTCAATATCATTAAGCATTCAAAATGTTCATAGATTTATCCATTTTTAAGTGGGCCAAGATTCTAATCATATTCAATTCTGGAGTTCGTTGCGGGGGCCTGGAATATAATGACAAGGATCTTGAGAGCATTTTGAAAATCCTATTTGGAGTTTTGTGGAGGCTTGATTGAGGCATTCACTTTTGGTCATTGGTTAGCCTGCTTCTGGTTTAGTGTGGTTTAATATAGTCCAGGACTGGGTGATTTGGATCTTGTTCTTTTTCCCTACTTTTCTACCCCCATCTGTTTGTTTCATGAAGGACGAAGCCACTGTGCTTGGTTACTCTAGATTATGTTTTCATACGAAATTTGTGTTAAGATATTTATTAGTTTGAAAGAACTAAAGCAAGCTTGTAGGTGTACGCCTGCAATTTTGTCTTCCCCTTTTCATTTTATTGGAGCTAAGAATGCAGACTTTGCATTTTTCCAACAACCCCTGAATTGAGGAACAATATTTCTGTTTTACATGCTCTTGTTTCAGGCTACATTTTCTATGTCATTTCTAATCTCTTTCTTTTCTTTTTAACTAAAATGTAAAACAGGTGATGTGGAGCTTAAGAATATGCAGCTCAAGCCTGAGGCTCTAAATGCTTTAAAATTGCCAGTAAAGGTTAAGGCAGGGTTTCTTGGTTCAGTCAAACTTAAGGTTGGTTGTTGAATTTATCAATTATGATTCCAAAATTATACCCATTTAAATGTATAAAATTTTCTCACACTTGAGAGTTCTCAAGAACAAAAATCCAAGTGACGCTAAAGTGATCATCAACAAAGATTAAAAACCATCGGCGCCTAGTTATGTCTCTGGTTTTTGAAAACCCTCATGTGTCACAACGAATAAGATGGAAGGGCTATGGTGGTGTATAAGTGTATGTAGGATAATGTGATTTGATTTTCTTTGCAAGTTCAAATGTTTCACACTTTATTTCACTGATGTTATTATTAAATAGACTTGGTTATGTCTTTTCCATGAAGTGAAAATTATGGTGACCTAGTTCAATGTGCCAAAGCATAAATTAGACTCAGATTTAGTGTGATCTTTTTGCGCTTATGAGATATTGTCCATCCACTCCTTAGCACTGCCAATCATCTTGGATTCCATGTCCTAAAATTCACAATCCCCGTCAAAGAAGTGAATCTTACAGTTTTATCTTTGATAAGCTTTACTAGTAAACAAAGGCTTGAAGGTTAATTTAGGAACAAATAATACATTCTATAAACAGAATAATAATGGATATGGTGCTTTTCTGTGTGCTATTAATATTTGTTAGGGTATCATCAACAATTTTTCGCTATGAACAATGAGGTGTGGGGGTTAATATTAAATAGCTATTCATCATATGTGATGCTATTAGAAGCTCCAGAGTCAAGAATTCACTGATTTTTATTTTCTCAAGTGTTCAATGCGGTTGAAATCTTACCTGATTGGGGCATGTTGTTATTAGCCCCTACATTTTTTTTTTCTCATTAGCGTTTTGAGATCCGAACAACTTATGCAACAAGTCATGTTGATCCTTTGAGAGTGGATTCCGATTTGGTTCTGGTTCAAATCGCTCTTCTCCTTTTGCAACAAAGCCTTTGTTCTCATTTATGTTGGGAGGCTTCTCAAGTAACTTTCAACAATTTTCTTGCAGACCTCAGATTTGACAGTGATCACGTCGCCCTTTGCCATTTTTCTTATTGTCATTATTTGGGGGGTAAGTGATATTTTTCATTAAAAAACCTTAAGGAAATTATACTATGGGGTGCATATATGTCGACTTCCTCAACCTTATCCTAGTCTAATGCCAACTTTTGGACAATAGGCTGCTAGAGTACAAGCTAACCAAACCGCAAGGTAAGACTCTTTGTTAACCTTTCATTAACTAGATGGTTACATATATAAGTATATTTTTATTACCTATAAATATATTTGTTGTACTAATACCTTTCCCCTAAAAGAAAAGTTTGCCATATCCTGCACTTATAATTTGCAGCAACACTTCGGTCCAAGAGAAGTTTTGGATTTCCAGGCTTTTAGTTTCAGGTGGACAATAAAGAAAGTTGAGGCTGTGGTCCTTTTGGTTGGATACAGTGATAGAGTATTTAAGCATTACTTTTATGTACTATCACATTTTGTATTACTATATTTTGGCTTCCTTGTAATCTTTAAGGACATGTGTAGGAAAATTAGAGAGCCTTTTTCTGCTGCTAATACTGTATTTTTTGGCAGTATTGTAGGATCTTGATTTCTCTTTTTGTCAAAATTAGGTTTCCTCATTTGCAGTTGGTCAATATCCATTACGTCTTGTTTGGTAGCATGGAAGCGTTTTTGATGGAAGTAGAAGTGAGGTAGAAATGGAATTTTAAAACATGTTTGGTATGCACATGGAAGGGGGTATAATTTTTAATTGAAATATGTATTTATAGTATGAAAATACCAAAATGTCCTCTAAAAAAAAAAAAAAACTCTTTTGCCATCAGAAGCTTTCACAACCACCCTGAATCACTGTCGAAGGACAAAAAGAACTGCTGTCAAAGCCAAAAATTGAAAGTAGGACAAAGACCAATCAACAAAGCATCCAATATCATTGGATGCAAAAATCTACACGTCTTTTGAAATCTCCCTAGCTACACACACCAAAATGAATCTAAAACACAAAAGTTAGTCTACAAGAAGAAGATCAACACCACAAGAAGAACAGTTTAAAATTGAAGTAGAATTAGAAACATCAATGATGCATAACATAAACATTGTACTTAACAATGGCATCCCCTGAATTGGGAAGGAACCAGTGGGTTTGAGCCTTGATGTATCCTTTGGAAAATCTGAAAAGCCCACTTCCTTTGATTATTGGCATCTCCCTTGCCTTTTTGAACACTGGCTTCCTCCACAGCACTGTGATGGTGCTTCCATCTTACTTCAAGTCCCTTCCACGAACGCGAAGTTCATGGCAATCAAAAGCTATATCTCATTTCGACCCCGGCGAATAAAACCCTTAATCTCTTCCTATCACTTTAGAGCTCAAATCTGGACCCTTTTTCAGGGGATTATCGATTGTGTTTAGCAATATGAAGGTGGTGGTGGAGTTTATTGGCAGAGGAACTAAGGGGATGGAGGTGGGATTGCGACTATTGATGGAGATTTTCTTTCTTGAGACTAAGGAGCTTCCAGTCAATTGCACAAACAAAGTCGTATTGAGCAACAATGAAAATGAGAAGAGGAGGAGTATAAGTTGCTAGTGAACATTGGAGGTGGATGCGTAGGAGGGAGAGACATAGGTCATGATGGCAAGGGAGGCCTTTGAGAGAAGAGAGATTTAGAGGTGTAAAATTTGTCATTTGAAAAAATAGCTAGGGGTGTAACAATTAGAAAATCTCACTTCTAGGGAACTCAAACTAGTTCCATCCGGTATAGCATGGAAGTCAATTTTGTCAATTTTGATGGAAGTGAGTTCCTCATGGAACTGAGGTCATGTTTGGTACGGTAGAATAAGAGGTAATGGATTGAGAATAAGAGTAGAATAGGCTTATTACCTTATTTGGTACATTGCAATGATCATTCTAATGGAATGACTCGTTACCTCATTTGAGATAATCCCTATTTCATCACTAGACCAGGGGAATGGGTGCATTCCATGGGAATGAGTTTTTGGGTGACCAAATTCTCCCTGTGATTTTTTCAAATTTCAATTTTGCCCAAATCCATAATCCATCTCTCTCACCCTCCACCATTCGCCCTTTGTCTTTTTATCACCATTTTCTCACCGGCGTTGTCTGCACTTTGCACTCATCTCCCATGCCCTCCATTGCTCATCTCCTTCATTGATCTCTATGAATCTCCCTCACCGTCATTGAGTTTTTGGGTTCATTAAGATTGTGATAAGATGGTGTTGGAGGGGGATTTTTTTTTTTTGTTTTGAAATCTTTGGATATGTTGTATTTGATTGGTTATGCTGTAATTTGCTTAAAAAAAAAAATTGCCTTTAGTTTCTGGAATCTGGAAAATTTCATTTATGAGGAAGAAGCATAGGAGGAGGAAGAAGAGGGCAGTAGGGTCTTGACAAGGACATTTTAGTATTTTAATAATATAATTACAGATATAAAATAAAAATTATGTCATCGTTCCACTTACACACCGAACATACATTTTAAAATCATTCCCATTCCCATTCCCATTCCCATTCCATCAAAAATCATTTCATTGTACCAAATGAGGCCTGAGTTCCAATGTACTAGACACTATTTTTTCAATTTTGAGTCCACTTCCCCTTCCTTGATGTCAATTCCAGCATACCAAGCAGGCCTTAGTAGAAGTTAGAAATTCTAGTCTGCTTGGTTGTTTTATGGGCTGAGGTGGCAGTTCATTGTTAAGGTGATGGCTCTTGAATTTTAATTGTGATGATGTCTACAGAGCTTTTGGGATGAAGTCTAGAGATTTTTCTGTTTTTACTTAAGTATGCTTTGAGCAGACTATTTAACCAAGCATCCTCTTTTTTGCATAAGCAACTTTAGGCTTTTCGGCAAAAGCCTGAGAGTTATAATTGCTACAAGTGTTTTTTGAATCTATAGTTATGAGTGCTTGTGTATGTCCACTTAAGGTTCCATGGAGTAGGCTTGGTCAAGATCCAGTTTTAGTGTATTTGGATCGCATTTTCTTATTGGCTGAACCTGCAACTCAAGTTGAGGGATGTAGTGAGGACGCTGTCCAGGAAGCCAAGAAGAGCCGAATACAGGTAAAGATAACTAGTATATTTTTTTTAGTTATTTTAACCCAAAGACAAGGATTTTGATTGGAAATCTCTTCCCCTTATCTTTGGCAACAGGAGATGGAAATGAAACTTTGGGAGAAGTCACAGCAGTTAAAATCAGAGATGGTATGAGCTTTGATTTATATATTTTCAAATGAGTAGGAATAATGCACTTCAGGTGGTGTATCATTGTATGTATGAATATCATGCGTATGCACAGGGAGATGGATTCATATGTATTTATTTCTGTTTTTTAAGAATGTTCTGCATCCATGTTAATTATAATTTTAGACATTTTATAAATGGATTTCTACAACTAATAACAATTACACCTTGGCCACCAGTATGGGGATTGCGGTATCAAATGTAGCCCTAGGCAAATCTGCGTATGTGTGTAGCTGTGTTTGGACATTTATTTATTTTAACTTGTTCTTGCTGTTTCATTTTAAGAATAAATCTTGGCTGGGTTCCCTCATCAGCACCATAATTGGAAACTTAAAGCTTTCAATTTCCAATATTCACATCAGATATGAGGATTTTGAGAGGTAACCAATGTTTTTTTTTTTTTTTTAAATTTCTTTTGAGTCTCATTTCTTCTGTTATTTGAAAATTCTTCACTCTCAAGTTGCTGATGTAGCACGCTTTTTAACTTCTAATGTAGCCTGGTTAATTTCATTTTGTAGCAATCCCGGGCATCCATTTGCAGCGGGTGTTAGGTTGGAGAAGCTCTCAGCTGTGACAGTTGATGACACTGGGAAAGAGACTTTTATTACTGATGATGCACTTGATTGCATTCAAAAGGTTCTGTTGTGAACTGATAAGTGCTGTAACTGATGAAATCATTTTGCAGTGATTTAGATGCCAGCTTTATTTGTTGAAGTTCTAATATCTGTTAATGAGGAAAGATCTTTTTATTTTCACGTTCTCTTAGCTTGAGAAGAAGTGTAATTTGTTAATATTGTTCTTTAGTATGATCCACTCATTTGCTTTGCTTATTTACTGAAATTCTCTTGTCTAAGAAGCAGAATTCGTACTACATTAATTACTTCACCATTTGCGATTTTGCATTATGAGATTTTTTGGGCTTGGGGAAATAGGGCCGGGTCTTTTTGGGACAGGAACCATGAAAAATTTGTAAATTGAGGGAGAAAGAATGCTAGCAAAGTGGGCATAAGTCCGATTTCTTTGGCTACCTGGACATTTGTTAAGGGGAGAGAACATTAAGCTGGAAGGAGTAGAGAGGAAGGGAGGAAGAATCTAGTCCATTGTGGAGACTGGAGAAGTCTTTATTATTGTTGTTGTACCAGACCTTATAATGATACATGAGTTTCATCATACAATAATAATTCCATAACGATGATTTACTCCTTTTTTTTTTTGGGTCTCTGTTAATCTTTTTTCTTTAGGGGCTGACGTCTTTTCTGCTTATTGGTTTGCAGTCTGTTGAACTTGATCGGCTTGCAGTTTATTTGGATTCAGATATTTTTCCATGGCATGTCAGCAAGCCATGGGAGGATTTGCTTCCTTCAGAGTGGTTTCAGGTATATCCGTTAGATATTTATTGCTATGGCTTTCTTTGCGTGTGTTTTTTTGGGGGGGGGGATTATATCCACTTCTTTTATGCCCTTTGTCATCTGAATTTATGTCATATAGTTCCTCCTGTATATCTTTCAAACGGCTTGAGAATCACTTATGAAGGCGTCAAACCTAAATAAAATCTCATACTACCTCTTTGTTTCGCCTACACTCAGCTGAAGATCTACAAATCCACAAAAGATAGTGATCGAGTAATGGTGGGTGAGCACCATGTGCTGAAAATAAGACATTACAGTGGCTGGGACCACCTAACTTAGATAAACACTAGAAGGATTGATTGAGGTGCGACTTGTATGAAGACCTTAACCATGTGGTTATCATACGATATTAAAAGATGAAAGGGGATAGTTAGGGGCTGTGGCAGTAGCTGTTGGGTATTCATAAACAACCCCAGATTGTTTTCTTAGAACATTTGTCCATCCAAGAACGTCTTCTTGATGGAATCTTGTAAATTCCTCTTTGGTTAAATGAATTGGCAGCTGATACTCCTTGTTCATATATGTTGACAGGCCATTGCTTGTATTTTCCATTGGGTTTTGCCCCTCAACTTTACCTGAAGGGTCATTAGGGACCCTAAACTCAATTATGAGTCAATTTTATCCTACAACGTTAAAGATTCCTTCTTTCATCACCCTGACGTTAAAAGCACTTAAAATCCGTTAGTTATTAGTGGGTCCCACAATTTTTTAAATACTTTTTATTGGGCTAAAGGTTAATTTTGCACCTCAACTTTTATTTGAAGGGTTAGTAGGCACTCTCAACTCAAATATTTTATAATAAAAAATATTAGAAAATGTAATGTGGGGCCCACTAATAGTGAGAAAATGATATGATGATAAGGGAGGAAATTTTTAAAGTTGAAAGATAGAATTGACCTATAGTTGAATTTGGAGTCTCCACTCCCCAGTGATCTTTTGGGTAAAGTTGAGGGGTAAAAGTGACCTTTAACCTTTGTCTATTAATTGTGATGAAAATTCTTCAATCACCCTGTGGAGTCTTGAACATGTTGCTTTAGGGTAGATATTTGACTGTCCGCCCTCTGCAACAGGCTCTGTTCCACTGAATGAAGCCTTCCATCCAATTCTTGTGGCCCTGCTTGAGTTCTTGTACTGTTGGCCATTCCCCCACAGTTTGAGAAAAGTGTCTATTGCTATTATGATAAAGATTTGAGGATAGGTAGAAGGAGAATAAATTTTTTTTTTTTAATAAGAGGAGGAAGGGAGAGTAGGGAGGTAAGTTAGAGGAGAAGAGAAAACAGTAAAGAAGAGAGGAGAGATTAGAGAGAGAGAGAGGCAGGAGAATTTGGGTGAGAATTTGGAATCCATTCATAATGGTCAAGCCTAGCTGTACAATCAGCTGCCCCTTCCCTTGTATGGACTACCATAGCTCAATAGCTAATGCCACACCCCAACTTCCCTTTCTTTATTTTCTTGGCCGACCCTAACTTCCCCTTTCATCTATTATAATCAAATCATGTATGGCGTGAATTCAACTAAGGAGGACAGAGGATGGCACAAGCCGTAGGAGCTTTAGCTCGAGAACTCAAAATAGTTTTATTTTTTGAGGCTACCATTTCTAGTTCAGATGCTGTGACACAATGTAGGTTAGAGAAAGAAAGAAGGGTGGTTGAAATGGGCAGAACTGCTCACTTTGCTTGCCTTTGGAATGGCACATGTTGCTTCTATTTTCATGTTCATTTTGTTTTATCTGCCTCTCACCTTCTTAACGAATTTATTCTTGCAAATTTATTAAAAAACTTCAGGTATTTAAATTTGGCACCAAAGAAGGGAAGCCAGCTGATTATGCATTGAGGGAGCACTCATACATTCTGCAGCCAGTGACCGGCCAAGCAAAATACTCCAAATTGCGACCAAGGGAAGTTGCTCAAAGCAATGAACCTTTACATAAAGCTGTGGTGAATTTGGATGATGTTACAATCTGCTTATCTAAGGTTCATTCAATGAATAATTTTTTTGCTGTTGTGATATGCCTCCCCCCCCCCCAAAAAAAAAAAAATGAACAATCTTATCATTTTTATCTTGGCAGGATGGATACAGGGATATACTGAAGTTAGCAGACAACTTGGCTGCGTTCAACCAACGCCTGAAATATGCTCATTATCGTCCACTAGTCATGGTTAAAGCTGATCCAAGATCTTGGTGGATTTATGCTTATAAAGCTGTCTCTGACCAGATGAAGAAAGCAAGGTATTTATACTGGTTCAGTTAACCCTGGTTTGGGATTATCACGGCCTTTTATTTTTAAAAGACCATAATTTTTTTTTTCAGTTTTCACAAGTATTTGCTTTTTATTTGGCAGTGGAAAGATGTCATGGGAGCAGGTTCTGAGACATGCAAGCCTAAGGAAGAGATATCTATCTCTATATGCTTCACTGCTAAAATCTGACCCCACTCAGGTGACAATTAGTAACAACAAAGAAATTGAGGAATTGGATCGTGAACTCGATATTGAACTTATATTGCAATGGAGGTATTTTTTTTTTTTTAAGATTTGGCATGTTTTGTTGATATTTGATAATCATGAATTTTTTTTTTGCAACAAAAATCTCAACTACACGAGTCAGTAATTATTTTAGTCAATTCAATTATAGCATTATTGATTGAGTTCTTGTTTTCAGACTGGATTTGAATGGTGCGTATCCATTGTGGTATTGCTTGTATGTGGCTGGAACATTTTTATTTTTTTTTTGCTTTGAAGTTGTAACCAATCCATTGTAGGATATTGTAATAACTTGTACATGTTGCTATTTGGAAAGAGAAATGTTCTTACATGCTGCTCTATTTCTTTCATGTAGCATGCTGTATAAAAATTTTAGACAAAGTCCTAGTCTTGCGTCCTGAAAATTATCTGTAATAATAAAGCAGCATGATTGGACCGGTGGTAGATCCATAATTTTGTTGTTGTAGGGCAACATATACAATAACAAGTCTTATCCTAATAGGTGGGATTGGTTATGTGGATTGTACATTGCCATTGTGTTCTCAACAACCAAATCTTTGGATATAACATTCAATTTCAAACCTGTGACATCTTCTCCAATTTGTAAAACATTTTAAACCTTTTATGTAAAACAATTTGTAAATTAATGCGACATCTTTCTTCTAACTATATTCTAACCAATTTCATATTTTAAATATCAATATAGATTGAATCTAGCAGGGGTATTCTCAAATTGTCTCCGAAAAATTAATATCTTTTGATTGGCAAGAACTCTTTCATAAATGATATCTTCTAATTGCCATCTCTATCATTCCAAATTTTTTGCCTATCATCAAGACCTTTTTACAATAAAATTTCAAATGTCTTTTTCTTTCTTTTTTAAACAGTTTGGGTATGTTTCTATCATTTGGTTATTTTGATGTAGATTTTTTTAAGGAACTTTTCATTGTTAGAACTAATATGAAATGAATATAATCACAATGAATTTTATGACGAAGGGACAAAAATATCATTAAAAAATCCCAATATATCATTATATACGATGAATTTTTAAGGGAAAAAAACAAGTCAAACTAAAATATATGCATAAAAAATAGTCTCCATATTCCAAAATGAGATTTGATAATTGGTTCAATGTTAACTTAAGGATTGAAGTAGCGTCTCACATGAGGAGGAAAGGAGAAAACGTTCAATGGCACTAGTGTACTATAATCAAAATTTGGGGGCATTTAATAAGCATTATGAATAGTGTATCTTAGTATTAAGCCCTCTCAGTGCTTCAAGTGGGTCCACCCCTGAAAGGGACTAGCAAGGCCCATTCCCAGCGGCTGATCACATATACCAGGCATAGGAAGTACGTAGAGGTTTAACACTATGTATAAAATATCTGTAAACATTTCTTCTTCCTCCATTCTTTGCATGAGAACTTGATGTTTCTTCCTTTACGTGCACCTATAAACCCAAGCTACTCACATATTTGGGTCTAGCTAATATCTATTCACCAACATGTAAGATAGCTGTTTGAATTTAGAATTATCTGGCTCAATTTCCGTCCTTAAATTATTTTTCAATTTCATGGTATTGCAGAATGTTGGCTCATAAGTTTGTGGAGCAATCAGCGGAATCAGGTCTTAATGCAAGGAAACAGAAGGCGGGGAAATCTTGGTGGTCATTTGGATGGTAAAACTTTTTTAGTAAAAAAATTTCATGTCCCATTGTTAATAATTAGAATGGATTTAATTTTAAATTTGATGGTGCTACTCTCTTATTATTATGCAAACCAGGACCAGTCAATCTCCTAGAGAGCAAAATGAGGCATTTCATTTCAGCGAAGAAGACTGGAACCGGTTAAATAAAATAATTGGGCATAAGGAAGGTGATGATGGGCTATCAGTTACAAGTAGCAAGGTGGATGCTCTTCATACTTTCTTAATAATTCACATGAAACATAATGCTTCAAAGCTTATAGGGGAAGCCAAAGAGCTTGTCGCTGAATTATCAAGTGAAGATCTCAGGTGCTCTATAAAGCTCTATCCAGAAACGAAGGTATTTGATATGAAGTTGGGCTCATACAAATTATCATCGCCAAAGGGTCCCCTTGCAGAGGTTTGACTTTCCCCCATGGAGTTGAGTGTATAATTTTATGTGTTTTGGTTTTTGGCTTGTTGAGCTAGGCTTGTGTTAACTGGTTTGTTGACTCTTGTTCCCTGCCTTTGCAGAGTGCAGCTTCGTATGACTCGTTAGTTGGTGTTTTCTGTTATAAACCTTTTGATAAGAAAGTGGATTGGAGCATGGTTGCCAAAGCTTCTCCATGTTACATGACTGTATGCTGCATTGCTGTCACTAAGTTTTTCTTTTCTTCATTCTTCCTTCTAGTTTGGAGTTTTATTTATTTTTCCACTTGTATGCTCTCTCTGGACAGTATTTGAAGGAAAGCGTTGATCAAATTCTAAATTTCTTTGAAAGTAGTAGTGCAGTAAGTCAGACCATAGCACGGGAAACTGCAGCTGCTGTGCAGGTATTACTTATCCTTCTGCTATTTAAGTCATGTTTGGTGAAAGGAATCTTTTCTAAGGGACAAGGAAATGGAGTGGGAGGGGGACAAGAAAAGGGGAGGGCTTTACTTAGTGGGGTACAAATGTTTGGTATAAAGATGGAAAAGAAGGGATTAATGCCTCTTTGTTTATCGTGGTTTGGTTTGTTAAACTATATTGGTTGAAAGTTTGAAGTGTAAAAGAATCATTCGTGTAAATGAACATTATATATATATATATATGTATGTATGTATTTGGTCGGAGAAGAAAAACTACATCAAAGATATCAATCTTTTAAACTCATTGTTATTTTTAAGAATTAAAATTGATTCTCTTTTTTTGGGAACAAAGCATTAAAATTGAAAGTTACTATAAACTATTGTGGATGTATTATAAGATTTTAAAAGCACGACTATTAGATTATAATAAAATATTATAAATATTTAAAAATATTGTTTAAATTTTAATAATAATTTTGTTTGCGGCATTAGAAATAGAAGAAACTAAAAATAAAAGGTAACGGGTAGTAAAAAGTCTAAAGACAAGATAAATGCCATAATTATATAATATAAACTATAAGGATAAATATAACAACAAGCTTATCTTACTAGATAGGGTTGGCTACATAGATTGCTTGACACTGTTGTGCTTTATCAACAACCATGCCTTGGGTATATCGTTACTCAGGAGATCTTTTTCTTTGGTCTTCCTCCGCATCTCTTTACAAGGTTTAAGACTATCTATTCCACTCTTCTCATTGGCGCTTCTCACAACCTTTTCTACATATATTCAAACCATCTCAAGTGATTTCTAACATCTTCTCCATAATAGGTGCCATACCTACTTTTTCTTGCATGCTCATTGCGGATTTGATCTTTCCATGTATGCCCATACATCTATTTTAACATTCCCATCTTTGTTGCTTCAACTTATGCTCTTGTTGTCTCTTTAAAGCCCAACATTTACTATCATATAACATGGTTGGTCTTATAGTAGTTTAGTAAAACTTCCCTTTAAGCTCATTAATTACTTTTTGATCACAAATAATTCTACTTTTTGATCACAAATAACTCTTGTAGCCTTTCTCCATTTGACCCGCATAGCTTGCATCTTATGTACAACATCGCCATTAATTTCATCATCATATTGAATAATTGCTCTTGAATATTTAAAATTTTTTACTTGTGGTATGGTCTGATCTCTCAATCTCATTTTTAAATTACTACTTACTGACTTTTTATTAAAATTATAATGCATATGTTCCATCTTACTCCTACTCAAGCGGAAACTCTTTGATTCCAAAGTCCTTCTCCATAACTCGAAGTTTGGAGTTAATCTCTTCTCTTGACTTTGCAATAAGAACTATATGATATGAAGAAGATAGAAGAAATAGAAGTAGAATAGAAGAGAGAGATAAGATAGAATTTGAGAAGAAGAGGAAGAGAATTTAAAAAAGAAGGAAGGAACAGAGAGAAATTGAGAGAGAATCAGGAGGTTTCTGAATGATGCACTTTTATTATGATATCAGCCTAATTACAATTAAGAGAAACCAAGTATTTATAGGCTTTAGGTGTAGAATAGTCAAACAAAACAGCAAATGATCTAACTGCCCTTTAATAACCACCACTACCTGGATTACACATGGTTTTTATTATTTTATATATCACTATATCATTTGTAAAAAAATATGTAATTGGGAATTTCTTTTTGGATGCGCTCAATTAGAACATTGAAATCAGGTCAAACAAGTAAGGGCTTAAATATAATCCCTGATGTAGACCAATCTTTATAGAAAAGTTCTTTGTCTCACTGCTAGATGTTCTTCTACTAGTTGTTGCTCTTTCATACATATCTTGCATAGCTTTGGTATTAGTAACTCAAGCTCCATTCTTTTTCAAGGCTTTTTAAAATATTTTTTTTTGGCACATGATCATAAGTCTTTTCCAAATCAATGAAAACCATATGTAAGTCTCTAACTTTACATGATCATAGTTACTAAAATTTTGATAAGTAGGGAATAGGCTTTCTCTCAACTTTTTTGGGAGGAATGTAAGTTTCCCAACAAAACTTGTTGATTCGCACCACACATAAGAAAATCTTTTTCTCTCTCCCATTCCCTTTCCTTGCTTCTATTTTCCTCCTTAAAACATAGCCTTAATATAAAAGAAGGAAGTTATTTGGGTGAAAAGTTAAAAATAAAAATAAAACTAAGGCAGGCGCTCTTCAAGGTAAATTTTGCCTGAGCTGATGTGCATGATAAAAAGAGATAGAGGATGATATGTGTAAGAGAGCCTGCATAAAAAATTGTTGTATATTTTGCCAAGGTCAGCTATATCAATTTTTTTTTAATTTCATATGCCACTTGTTTTGCCATGCTTTGATGGTAAAAATAGATTTTCTATTGTTTAATTGTTGAATGGCTGTTTTTCTTTCCAATTTTTTCACCCTGATAAAAGAATATTTTTTTTGAAGCACAGTGCTAATTGTTAAAAGAAGATATTTTCTTCTTGATATATGAACTGCTATAACCAACGTGTTCTCATGGCTTCTTTCACTGTTTGTAGATGACGATTGATGAAGTAAAGCGCACTGCTCAGCAGCAAATGAACAGAGCGTTGAAGGACCATGCTAGGTTAGTACGCCTATGAAATATTTGTGATTATGTGTCTGGTTCCTTAGTCACTTCAATACTTAATTAAATTAAGATTGACTTAATATAGCACAGCTAAACCCTTGGTCGTTATTTTCAAGGAGTAATTTAGGAGTTATCTTAGGTAGTTCTTGGTAATCAATTATTGATGCCAAAATCCTAAAAGTAAGATGGAGGTTGAAGGTCAGCTTGGATGGAAGGCAAAAGTTATCGAAGGTTGGAGAAGGTTGCATCTGGGTTCTTCACTGTTGATGAAGATGGTGGTGGGTTCCTCGCTACAGGGAGTGGGGACAGAATGGGGATGGGAATTATTTTCCAAGAAATTCCCCCCCTCCCCCATAGGTTCAGGCCAGGAATAATTTTCCAGCCTGAGAAGCCAAAATCATATGAACAAAACCAACAAGTTTGGCCTTTTTCACACTCACTCCTTTTCTATCTCAAATTCATGTGAACCAAATGGGGCCTAGGTCTCTTGAATTGAAATCGGAAAATGGAAAAACACTCCCCTAGCCTTCAATTTTCACTGCTTGAGTCCTAGCTTCATCTCCTGGCTTCTCTTTAATCACTTCCCTTCTTGCTTAAGCTTGCATGAATTTCGTCCTTCCTCCAAGATTCAGGCCACGCGTTACCACGGGAAATAATTGAAGATAAGAGAAGTGAGTTGGTGATGGACATTGTTATGGTGGTGTGAGTAAGAGGCAGTGGGAGATGACGATGGATGTTGGTGGAAGGAGTGTGTGAGGTAGATGATGGTGAGGTGAGGACGCTGCCACCTCTAAAACAAAAAGGAAGAAAAGAAAAGGAGAGGATGGTGGCTAGGTTAGTGAAGAATTAAGGAGCTTTTGTCCCGTGGCTAGATGAGTGGGTAGGAATAGGAGAATTTAGGGGAAATCTAAACCATTTAAATTGAATTAGCTTTCTGTACGGTTCTGTGGTGGGCTTTTTAAAGATGTTGCTTCAACCCTTAAATTGTGGTTTCCTTCTCTGTACAGATTATATACCATAACATTTGAAGAATCTCCAGCAAATAGGGTGAATGGACTGGTGGTGGTACTCTATATGCTTACTTGATTAGGAGATGTATCAATAGATGGGTGATAGGCAGTGTTGTACCAAAATTCAACCAATGACACCATCTTAGCCTGCTCTCTGGAAAAATCCAGTATCTCTAAGCACATATGGTTAACTTAAGTTTGTGCATCATTGAAATTGGGAAGTCAATTTGGTAGCTGTTTGCTAGAATTGAGCACAATTAGCCATCTTCATTTTGTTCATGCTTGATGTAGCTCCCAGCTCCTCATTGTGACTATTGGTTGACATATATGGAATCATTAGCCATATTTGTGATGAAGTCTTTGATATGCGGGACTGATTAACACAGCTTGTTTACCTTGGTGATGTTATATGTTCTAGACATGCAATGTCTCTAGATATTGGCGTTGGTGTGCACTGGATGCTTGCTGAGTTTGGCCATAAACTTTTGTGATCTAGTCTCTTGTGCCTATTGCAATTGAAGATTGGTTCTGCTACCTAAGTTTTTATAGATGTACTAATTAACTACTTTTATAAGTACTCTTTTATGTCACCATCTCTCTTGCATAAATGAACTTACACAAAAGGTGTCAAAAGTGGGTATCGTTAATGTATGGTTGAAGGATAGAGCAGACCAGACTACTCAATTGAGTAAAATGTAACTTGTAGAATTAGGTAGCAAATCAGTAATTGATCATTGGGAGGGAATAGAAGGACGGTTGGAGATGATAAAATATGAAGGATGTAAACATGTGGACGATAAAAATCTTCTATCCTGAAATCCATTTACAAAGAATCAGAAAATCTGTTATTACAATATTTCCATTTTTATAGGGCATATAAATATGGCTGAATTAGTTACTCTTAATTAATTCATTCTAACTAACTCATCTTGAGCTACTAACTTATATTACTAGCATGAAATCAGAGAATAATGTTGTTTTTAATTCATATGTCTGTTAATTTATACAAGGTGGAGAAGCTCCAGGGAGTTAATGCTGATATTGACATATTGCTCTAATTGAGCCTAGAATATTTGTATAGTAAATAAAATATCTTATACTAATTATATTATATATGCACTGACCATTCTCTAGCGCTCCCCCTCAAATCGGAGTGTAAATGTTGTTATTCTCTAACAATGACAATCATTCCTGTATATCAAGGTGGCGCTTCTCTAGTACTTGTGTAATCTGTGCCCATATAGAATGCATGCCAATATGGTGACAGCAAATTGGTGATATTTTACTGATATAAACTGCTCTTCATCTATTAGGTTTTCATTGGACTTGGATATTGCAGCTCCAAAGATTACAATTCCCACTGATTTTTGTCCTGACAATACCCATGCCACAAAACTTCTGCTGGACCTTGGGAACTTGGTGATTCGTGCACAGGTTTGTATTGTTATAATTTTTTTGGGCAGCATCTTAATTTGAACCATTTTTAAGATGTTCCAAACTATGAAACGGTGCAGGATGACTGTCAACAGGAGTCAGATGAGAAGAATATGTACTTGCAGTTTGATTTAGTTTTAAGTGATGTGTCAGCATTTTTTTGATGGTGACTATTACTGGGGACAACCTCCACTAAATAAGTCAGTCTATGATGGCAATTGTTTTTTTCAAATCATTGACAAGTGTGGAGTCATCTTACATCTTCAACAGGTAAACTTCTTGACATTTCGAAATCTTTATCTATTTTGGTCTTCTGAGATATCCTTTTATTCTATCTTTTAAATGTGGTGAGTGAAAATGGTAATTAATTAGGATGGGAGACTCCAGAGTTAGTGGTTAGGGTAGCTATTTCATGCCTTTAATAATAAAGAGAAGCAGATAGAGGTCTAATTTAGAGGATTATTTGGCCTTCAGAAGAGCCTACCCAACTAACCCTTTTTTTTTTTTGCCAACTACTCAACTAACCTTCGAGTACCATGTCCTGGGAAAGGGGTGATCATCAAGGGGGATTTAGTAGTTGAATGGAGATTCTCAAACCCTTGCATTGGAAGATGCAAAGGCATAGTGATAGGATATGGATGGGATGTAATTAGGTTTATTTTGGATATTTAAAATTATTTTATTATGATCATTTAAATAAGGATATTTAGAATATCCATTAGATTATTTAGGATTTAATTAGATTTTCTTCGGATATTTAGAATATCCATTAGATTATTTAGGATTTAATTAGATTTTCTTGTCAATATCTTTCTTAGGATTTATTTTGGATTTTATTCATTTTCAATGAAATAAGATATCTAAGTAAATCGAGATTATCTGTTATCTTTTTGGATTAGATTAGGATTTTATTTATTGTTATTTCTAGGGCTCTATAGATAATGTTACGGTTTCTCAATTGTATTTAGATTAGACATTAGTATTGAATAAAGAGTTCCTATTTTATTGGCCTCCTTTCTATTTTTCTCCCCTTCCTCCTCTCTCTATATCAGAGATTGAGGGTTCGACCAGTTCTTAATAATACAAGCAGTTTTATAAGGTCAATTTCCCCAAATAAGGGCTTTGAAATTCATTGCTGTATCAACTTTTTCCTCCCTAATCACATTCCTAATCTCCTGGTATTGATTGAAAGAATCTGATAAGCATCAACCAAGCATGCCTGATATCATATTGACGTTTCTTAGCTTTCTGATTTGTTATTAGATTCGGTCGAAGACTCCATATTATCCTTCAACACGTCTTGCTGTGCAGCTGCCCTCATTAGGCTTTCACTTTTCTCCTGCTCGTTATCATCGACTGATGCAGGTGATAAAGATCTTTGAGGGGGAGGATGATGAGGGATCAAAGTTCCTTCACCCTTGGGATCAGGCTGACCTTGAGGGGTGGTTGTCTCTTCTTACATGGAAGGTAATGGTCTGTTTCAATTGGTGTTTATTTTTGTCTCCCATGAGGTGTTGTCTTCTGATGTAGAATGCTGCTTGTCTTGTATTGTTATAGGGTGTGGGAAGTAGGGAAGCTGTATGGCAATTACGATACTTCCGCTTAGTTGGACGTTTTCTTTATGTGCTTGAAAGCCCTGACTCTAAATCTTACAAGCAGTATACAAGGTGCATATCCATTTTCTACTGTTCTATTTTAAGGCAATCTGTAAAATTTGACTTAGATGAGATGTTAAACAACCTTATAATTATTATAGAAAGGAGATAAATTCTTTAGTAAGTGTAAAATTCTTTACGTAGTCTATTTCCTTTATATATTTAACTGTCTTCAACTCTCAGTTTTCCAGACAAAAAGCACACTTAATCTACAAGAGGGATCAAGTAACCCAGTCTTTGGGTAAATGAATATGATATGATAATAAGATCTGTTGCATGCTTTGCTTAAAAACTTATACTGAGGTGGTATACTCAATTTGCACCAATTGGCGGTAAATTCAATTCCTGAATGGTGTTTCATGGGAAATATGGAAGAATCCCTGTATCAAACAGAAGTTTTAGTATTTTCTGTGTCTTTTTTAATATTGTTTCCTGATATTTTTGGAGCAAAAATTTGATTTTGCTTGAACACAAGTGGCTGTTTGCTTTATCCCAAATCTTTGTTTTTTTTTTTAAATTGTTGAGATATGGTCATGCTGCTGATCAGTGGGTTGATGTTTCCACATTTTATTTGCATATAAACGTTTTTGGCTTATGAGAGCTTTTCCCCCTTGAAAGAACATTTACAAATCTTTAATAAATTATCTACATGCTGATAAGATCTAAGATAGGTAGAGCGAAAGGAAGAGGGAAAATCTTTATTAAAATATGAAATCAGAATGTAACTTCACAAATTAATAAAAATTGAGGAAAATCATTACTAGAATATGAGTGAGAGTCTTTAATTGATACAATTAATAAAGCCTAAAGTGAACTCCCAAAATTGCAACTACAATGAATTTCATTCTGCCTAGCCTCACTATCGACTCTCTTATTTATAATATAGACATTAAATAATAATAAATAAATTAGAAAACAATTCACCAATTCCTAACAATTGACCTTGTAATAAAAAAATCCTAATTTATTTATAAATAATATCTCATTATTTTGGCAAGAATCTTATCTCATTCTTGTGGAATTTCAGAGAAAAGATAATTCTTATTTATTATCATACTGAGGTACATACTGACTATATATACAAGAAGGGAAATAATTACTAATAATGACTAATAAAGCTTAATAAATACTAATGAAGGCTATACAATATTTACAATAAAGATTAGATATTCCCATACTCCCTTTCAAGTTGGATCATAGATACTAATCATGTCCGACTTGCTTATACAATTGTCAAATGCAGGTCCAATTAACCCTTTTTCCAAACATTAGCTGCTTGCAACTTTGTAGGCAAATATGCGAACATAGGATACCTTTTTCCACATTTTTTTGATAATGTGTCGGTTTATCTCTACATATCTAGATCTATTATGTTGTATTGGATTTAAGGCCATGCTTATAGCACACAATAGAGCTTCAATGGTGACCTTACTCCAACCTAACCCAAAAAAAAAAAAGAAAGAGCTTACTCCAACCTGTATTTCATTCAAGAGTCGGTTTAGCCACAACTCCTCTATTATTCCTTGAGTCAAAGCTCTCAATTCAAATTCAACATTGCTTCTTGAAACAACTCTTTGCTTCTAGCTTCTTCATGTGACTAAATTATCCTATAAAAATGAACAATAGTTGGAGGTTGCCTTTAATCTTTATAGATTCCACCCTAACTTGCAATGGTGTAAACCTCTATAGATCTTTGCTCATGATTTCTAAAAAACAGCTCTCTACTAGGTGTACTTTTCAGATATCTCAAAATCTTGTAGATTGCCTCCATATGGCTTTTTATTGGGGAACTCATATATTGACTAGCGACACTGACAACAAGTGCTATATCTAGCCTTGTGTGGGAGAGATATATTAGTTTTCCAACAAGTTTTTGATATCTCTCCTTATTAGCTGCTTCTTCCTTTTCTTTGACTTCCACCAATGTTTCTTCCCCTTGCTTATTTGAGTTTTCTTCATCCTTGGAATCCTTCTTTTTCTTAGACTTTTTCAATTTCTTGGCCTCAATAGGAGTTTCAACTAGTTTGCAACCCAACATACCTGTCTCCTTGGGGAAACCAAGTATATATTTCCTTTGAGAAACATATATTCCTTTTCTTGACCTAGCAACATCCATACCAAGAAAATATTTTAGCTTCTGGAGATCTTTGTCTTCGTATTCCTTGCCAAGGGCAATCTTCACACTTTCTATCTCCTCAAGGTAATCTCTGGTGAAAATTATGTCATTAACATTGACAATGAGGATACATTTCTTGCTTCCCTGAACTTTAACAAGCATTGTATGATCTGACAAGGCTTGCTAGCACCCTTCAGACTTTAAGACTATTGAGAATCTATCAAACCAAGCCCTTGGTGACTGTTTCAAGCCATATATAGACTTTTTTAATTGGTGAACTTCATTTTCTTTGCCTTTATCAAACCTGAGAGGTAGGATCATTTAAACTTCTTCCTTCAATTCTCCTTTGAGAAAAGCATTTTTGATGTCAAGGTGGTGGAGAGGCCACTCAAGATTGGCTACTATAGATGGTAAGACTTTCATAATGTTCAATTTTGCCATCGGAGCAAATGTTTCGTCATAGTCCAGGCCATATGTCTAAGTAAACTCCCTTGCAACCAAGCATGCTTTCAGTTTGTTAAGGGCTCCATTAGCCCTATATTTTAGGGTGAATGCATACTTACAATTCACTATTCTCTTTCCTTTAGGTAGTTGAACGAGTTTCGATGTCCCATTCTTTTCTAGGGTCCTCATTTCGTCTGTGATAGTACTCCGCTATTCAAGGATGCTTAAAGCTTCTTGTATAGTCTCAGGTACTTTCACCTTATCTAGATTAGTGACAAAAGCCCAATATTGAGGAGAAAGTGTATTGTATGAAACAAACTTCTCTATCAGATGGAAAGTACATGAGTGAGGTTGTTTCTTTAAAGCAATCGAAAGATCAATGTTAGTAGAGTCACTTACTTGTTTTGTACCATCTGTCTTTGGGGTTTCAAGAGTTGCCCCAAATTCTAAGCCTTCATGAGTTTTTTCTTCAAGAGCTAACTTCGGTTCCAACTCTCTTGGTGCTTTAGGTACAAGTTGCTCATTGTCCTTCGATTTCTTTTTCTGTGTGTACATTGACATTTCTTCCTTTCGTGGTCTTTCTACATCTTCTCTTGTATGCATGTGTTCCTCAGGTTGTGGTGTAAGAGAAAGTGGTAGAGCTAATAGGGTAGGTAAAGGTAATAGCTTGGGGGTTGATGGTAATGGCTCATTTGGTGTAAATCATGGCTCAGGAAGTACTAGTTCTTTGTTAGGTTCTTGGTCCCAAGCCTGAGACTCACCTATGCGCTCCTCCTGAATCAAAGGATTAGGATAAAATGGAGTAACTTCATGAAAGGTAACATCAAGACTGAGAAATGTATGCTTTGAGATAGAGTCGTAACATCGGTATCCTTTCTAAGCAGTGGAATAGCCAAGGAATATGCATTTTATAGCTCAAGGGTCAATTTTAGTATTGTGGTGGTTATGGACAGAAGCTGTGCAACCAAACACACACATCAGAAGATTGGTTTCAATATGGGGATGGAGAAAACACTTTACAATTTGTGGAGAGGAGTGTCAAAGGATAAAATTTGACTAGGCATATGGCTGATTAGGTAGGTAGCAGTTAAAATAGCATCCCCCTAACAAAACATTGGCATATTGCAAGCGAACAAGTGCTCTAGGAACATTAGGGAAATGGCAATTTTTTCTTTTTGCAACCCCATTTAATTAGGGTGTATGGGCATAAGAACTAGTATGGATGATATCATGCATTTGGAGGAAAGTATTTAGCACCACTGTTTGTGTGTAAGACTTAGATGGTAGTGTTGAACTAGGCTTTGATCATGTGGAAGAAGTTCATGAATGTAGATGTAGCCTAAGACTTGTTTCTTAAAGATAAACCCAACAAACACAATTATAGTCATCAATGAAAAAAATGAACCATGTTTCAGTATGATTGGGGATGTGAGATGGTCTCCACAAGTCATTGGGAATGGTCGTGAAAGGTTTGGTGGGTGTGTATTTGGTTCTTGGAAAGGAAGTTATGTGGTGTTTAGTAAGTTCACATAGTTCACATTGAATGTTATTATTGTTCAAGTTTGGGCATAGGGTGGGGAACAATTGTTAAAGGTAATGAAAATTAGGTTGATCCATTCTCTTATGTCACAACATAAAATCATTAACCTTAGAGACAGATACAGAGTTACCAATAATAGGTGAGTTGCCCACTCAAGTGATGACTTCAAAAAAATAGAGCCCCTCATACTCTTTTGCACTCTCGATTATTGCTCCAAAGAATAGGTCCTAAAACGCACAATGAGATGGGAGAAATTTAGCATAATAATTTGACTACTTAGTTAATTAACTAATGAAAAGTAAATTACAATCAAGTTTAGTTGTAATACTATAGAGTCTGAAATATGAATGCTCCCTTTTCTCGCTACCAGTGCTGCGAAGCCATTTGCAATCTCAACTTTTAACATTCCCAGCACATGGGGTGTAATTGGTTAAAAAATTGATGACTATTAGTTATATGATTAGAGACCCTAAAGTCAATAATCCACACAATTTTATTTCGTGGTGTTGTTAAAATGTGAAGAAAAGTCCCCTTTTTTGCCATAGTTGCTCTATGTATAAATCCAGATAGGGTAGATCTGTGGCTTGCGAGTACCCATTAGAGCACTCCAATGACTAGAAAAATTATCTCATAATAGAGAAGAATAGAACACCACAGCCCCACAACGGTGAGCTAGCACACAGAATGAGAAACTTGGGATAGAGGAATTGCGACAAAGGATTCTCTAGATGTAGGAAACATCGAGATCTAGCTGGAAATGTCATGTTGTTGGAGGGAAGCATTACTGTTTGATCGAGCCATGCACGCGCCCTTTCTAACGCAGAATTTGCAAGTGACGTGTGTGAGCTCTATGTGCCACCCGCTCGCCGTTGCGTTCTTGGGTTGTACAATCAGACCCTTGTGCTGCTCTTTAGGCTAGCAGTGAGTTCCATAACTCACTCTACCACCACCAACAGCCACGGCCAGAGACACTCCAAAGAGGCTTATCGTGCAAAAAATCACCTAGGAAAAAAAAACTAGTCTCACCCAACCAGAAACCCTAGATTCACAGGCTTTGATACCATGTGGAATTTTAGAGAAAAGAATAATTCTCATTTATTATCATACTGATGTACACATTGGCTATGTATGCAAGAGGGAAAATAATTGCTAATAATGACTGATATAGCCTAATCAATACTAATAAAGGCTATACAATATTTACAATAAAGATCAGATATTCCCACAATTCTTATTTGCAATAGAAAATAAATTAACTGTTGTTACAACTACCGCTACTATAAATATGATAACAAACTGATTCGCTATTTGACCTACTTTCATTCACAATCCCATGATATATGGTACTTTATCACATGCACGTGCATGTGTTTTTTGTGCGGTGGGGTGAGGGCAACGTGAACCAATGCTACTATGGTATTTGAGCTTGCCATGTCTTTGAAGTAACTGTGTTTCTTTAAATGTTATTGGCATTTGGCCTCCTGTATGTTACTAATAGGCTATCTGATCTGGTTTTTATAGCCTACGTGGGAAACAGATTTATCAGGTCCCCCCTGAGTATGTCGGTAATGCAGAGCATGTTTTGGCTGTCTGTTATCCTACACGATCCAACAGTAAGGTGGTCTTTTTTTCTTAGGTGTTCGTGATCAAGGCTGATTATTTCCTTTGTTTGAGTCTACAAAGGTTTGAATTTCTCTTATTGTCAATCGGCAAATCCATACAGGTCGTGGAGGACGCAAATGCTTTGATATTACGTTGTGAATCTGATGATTCAAGGAAGACCTGGCAAAGGCGCATACAAGGGGCTATTTATCACGCATCGGTTTGTTTATCTTGAATTCTTGATAACTTAAATTTTCTTTTGTTAGAATATTAATATTTTATCTCCATTCTTTGCTTAGTTACACTATGGAAGGTCCACATAGCTTCTATCACAAGTTTGCCTATATTTTAAGCTTTCCAAAGTTTTTTTCCCCTTTCCATATTATCTGTCATTTTTCCTTTTATTTTATTTTAATGAAAATCATGTTCTTCATATTATAGTCTTCAAATAATTTTAACCGTGTGATGTTTGGCATTAAGTTTATGTCTTTGCATATGGTCTTGCGTCCTCTTGGTCAAAGAAAGTAAGGTTTATCTTTCCGGCCTTTTGTGTGTGTATGTGTTTTCCTATGTTTCATTATTAATTTTTGAATTTTTAAATTTTTAAAAAAATAAGATTGAGAATTGTATTGGAAAGGGAAGAATCGATTACTGGCTAGAGGATAAGAAATCCTCAAACCAGGAAGTACAAAATGAAAAAAGGCTCAAAAGCTGTGTCAAAATCCCAAAAAAAGGCCTAATTGCATGAGTTTTGTTCGGTCTCTTTCCGTATCATCTAAGGAGTTCTGCTTAAAAAGACCATTTGACCATTTGCTAGGGACCAAAAGGAACCAAATGCACAATTTTATTGCACAAATCAATAAAGGAGATGTGCCTATGAAGATGTATGCTCTCCTCTCCAATCTAAAAACCATAGAATCCCATAAACTGTGTATTGCTACGAAGGTCCACCCTCCTCATATTACCTAACTCCTATTGTACAAGGAGAAACTGTTCCAGGGTATTAGGAGTTTAGGATACACACTACCCTTTCCAAAATACCGATGAGCTTATTTATAGTTATCTCACTGCTGGATTGTAGAAACCTTGCTGTTATAATCATAATTTATATGGTTTGAGCTGCCCATTTTGATATCAGTTCACCTAACCGGTCAGTGAAGGCTGTTTTTGTGCCATAGGAAATTAGGAATATTTTGCTCTCCATATTATTTGAGAGTAGTCTCTCTGTGGAAGGCTGTTTTTTCAGTGTTGCAAAAGAAGCTTGCATGGTGAAGTCTTTTTTCATTTTTTTAGTGATAAAATCTAATTCAATTAAGCTTGGCTTATTAGTAAGAATTTATTTAAGCAGGATTCTGCTCCTATTGCTGGTCTATCAGACACCTCTTCAGATGATGATGATGTGGAATTAGAACATGATGATCAGGGTGCGACTGATATAACGATTGCTGAGAGATTATTTGTAACAGGCATTCTTGATGAATTGAAAGTTTGCTTCAGTTATAGCTATCAGGTTAGCCTGTTGGTTTTGGTGTAGTTGTTTTGTTCTTGAATTTTATTTTCTGCACATTTTAAATTTGGTGCTACCTCCTGTAGCCTGAACAGAGCTTAATGAAGATTCTTTTAACTGAAGAGAAGCGTTTATTTGAATTTCGTGCAATAGGTGGCCAGGTAAGATAACTTGATTTTTTTTTTTTTTGGAAACTTTGATTCTATGATGCTCATCCATTTTGAGTTTTTTTTTTTTTTGGGTAAAAACAGGTGGAGCTCTCCATCAGAGAGAACGACATTTTCATTGGTACAATCTTGAAGTCCTTGGAAATAGAAGATTTAGTTAGCTGTGATATGTCTGGCCCTTGTTATTTGGCAAGATCATTTATTGGGACTGCAGATGCATATTCATCTTTTTATGATTCAATGAGAAAAGGTGTTGAAATTCATGATTTAACTCCTACTGAAACTGATGATAAGTTCTATGAGGCTCCTGATACTTTGGCAGATGTTGATTATCCTTTACAATCCCCCCGATTCACATCTGACTGCTTGTCAAGTTCCCAGAGTCAGATCCCATCTAGATGTTTATCATCAAAATGCCCAGGGTTTACACGCATTTCTGGTCTGCTACCTTGTGAGGCTCGAACTAATAGAACAAAGGAAATTGAACCTGGTGACACATTGGAGAGTTTTATAAAAGCACAAATTATTATCTATGATCAGAACTCTCCCAGATATAATAATATAGATAAGCAGGTATGTTATTTGATTTAATTAGTTCCCAATAACGCTGTGGTTTTCTGACAGAATACTACCACCCATCATTTCAGGTGAGGGTGACTTTGGCTACCTTGACCTTTTTTTGTCGGAGACCAACAATCCTGGCCATTATGGAATTTATTAATTCTATCAGCATTGACGATGAAAGCCTTACCACTGAAAGTTCTAAAACAGCTATCGTGAAACATAATGAATCAAGGGATGTGGATGATCTGCATTCCGCTACCTTTGAGGAACTGGCCATTAAGGGTTTGCTTGGAAAAGGAAAATCCAGGACTATATTCAATCTGACACTGAAGATGGACCAGGCTCAAATCCATTTAATAAACGAAAGTCAAATCAAACTTGCTAGTTTGTCACAGGAGAATTTGTTTACAGATATCAAGGTGTTTCCTTCCTCCTTTAGTATCAAAGCTGCTCTTGGGAATCTAAGAATAAGCGACGATAGTCTGTCTAGTGGTCATTTGTATTACTGGGCTTGCGATATGAGAAACCCTGGTGGCAGTTCTTTTGTGGAGGTACTCTCTCTTTTCCGCATTACATTTTAATGTGTGTCCCTTATGTTGGGATTAAGAGTCATAGGGTCTTTTGCCATGCGGCCCCAAAGTTTTACATATCATTATTGTTATTTGATAAAATTTTTATACGTTTTGAAGACCAATTTAAAATATGTATGAAATGTCTGAATATCTAATATTCTATTTTCTAGAAATATTGTGCTCATTCCGAGTAATTTTCATTGTCGTGGCTCTTAATATTGATGCTTGTAGGTGCATTTTGTCCAGATGCATAGGAAACAAGATGGAAGTAGGATCTCTTTAGAAACTTCACAGCTCAATTGGCATTCATATTCCCATGGATAATAAAAGTTTGAGAAAGACTAGAATATTGGATTGTAGTTTACTGAAGAGGGAAACGGATAGAGCAAGAAATGATGATGACAGGAAGTACAGAAAAGAAGTGGGGAGTTGATAGGGAAAAAATAATTTATCAAGAGAAGAAAAGAGCAATATGAAACTGAGGACTAGAAGATCTCTAAAATCAAAGTGGGAAATATAGGTTTGTTAACTTAAAGAGAGTTCAAAATGATTGTGCGGATTTGTTTGATTTCTACTCCTCATTTTGTTCCTTGCGGTCAAATGTGTATTTATTATTGTCTCTCTTCATTAGAAAGGAGTTAGAAGGTGCAGATGTCAATAAGTAATTCTTAGTTTGTTGTTTACCTTGGTCTGAATATTCTTTATTCCAGGTTAAAGTTATTTCTCCACACACACACCCTGTACAATATTGGAATAGGAGATCAGAATATTTCTCCCATCTATTTGAATCCTGATGGTATTAGAGCTGGACAAGGGAGACAATGATACTGTTGTATAGAACAGAAGAGAGTAGAGAGGAATAGAAGGGAAAAGAGAAGAATAGAGGGATAAAGGAGGGAATTTTTGAATAGTACTGAGGATGTTATTATGCATAAGAGAAAATAAGGTACACTCACATCCCTTTATATAGGAAGCTAACCGAAACTAACTAACCAACAGCTCTCCCTATATTTATTCTAATTATGAGAATTACATACCAATACCCCCCCAAGAACTCTTGACCTCAAGGGTCAAAAACTATAAATGATGGGTGTTGCTTCTGCAAATAAAATAAGGAAATCCAGCTTGCTTCTTCATCCAAAAGACCCTTCCATTGCATTAGAACCTCTGTAAGGATCCTCCCTTTTCAGAATCAGAGTTGGAGGAGCCTCTAGCCAATCGACCAGAGGATGCTGCTGCTTAAATAAAGGATTAGGGTATAACTTGAGCGAAGATACATGAAAAGTGGAATGAACTCTTGATTATGGAGGTAACTCCAACTTATATGCCACTGGAACCACTTTTTTGTACAGATTCTATAGGGTCCAAAATACCTTGGAGCTAATTTCTAAGAGCTCCTTGATGCTGCAGAAATTTGGCGATAAGGTTGCAACTTGATGAACACCCATTGTCCCTCCTCAAATTCTCTATCACTCCTATTGCTTCATTCTGTTCACAACCCTGTTAAGGTGGTATTTTGCTATCCCTAAAGCCTCTCACGTGGTGAAAATGTTCTATCAGTAGCTTCTACAGCCACATCTCTAGGCAAATAGGGAATGTGCATTCGTGGAGCCTGCCTATATAATAGTTCATAGGGAGTAGTCTGGGTAGAAGTGTGATAAGAAGTGTTATACCACCATTCTACTAAAGAGAGTCACTTACTCCACTCTTTTAGTTTTTCTTTGCCTATGCACCCCAAGTAGCTCTCCAGACATCTATTGAGTACTTCTGATTGACCATCTGTTTGTGGATAATAAGAGGAAGTCAGCTTTTGTCCAACCCCTATAACCTTCAAAACTTCCTTCTAAAAATTACTGGTAACAAGGGGATCTCTATCACTAATAATTTCGACTAGAGCTCCATGTAACTTGTGCACATTATCAAGGAAATGTTGTGCCAAGGTAGATGCTGTAAAAAGATGAGATAAAGGTGTTAAAAGGCTTTGGGCCTAAGCCCAATAGATAAATTTTTTTACTGAGCATTATCTATTTAATATCTATTTTATTCTCTTATAATTGTACCTTTTATTTTCTTGATTTTTAGGATCAAAATCTGAGTTGAATTTCAAATTAGCTATTAGATCAAATTTTATTCTGAGTTGAAGTACTTTGGAAGCCTTTGGAAAAGAGGGTGCCCGGGTTGCCTATATTCGAGTTATACAAGATATGTATGAGGGGGCAACAACTAGTATAAGAACGCTTGGTGGTGAAACAAAAGATTTTCCTATAAAGATTGGATAGCATCAAGGATTATCTTTGAGTCTTTATTTGTTTGATCTAGTGTTAGATGTTTTGATTGAGCATATTCAAGAGGAAATTCCTAAATATATGCTTTTTACAGATGATATAGTTCTTATTGTAGACACAGAAGAGATAAATTGTAAACTTGAGTTATGGAGGAAGATATTGGAGTCAAAAGGTTTTCGCTTGAGTAGGAGTAAAACAGAATATTTGCATTGTAATTTTGATAAAGGGTCAGTGAGTAGTCACATGGAAGTGAAATTAGGTGATCAGACCGTACTTCAAGTGAAAAAGTTTAGATATTTGGGAGCGATTATTCAACAAAATGGAGACATTGATGGAGATATTACACATAGGATATAAGCGGGGTGGTTTAATTGCAGAAAGGCTAAAGGAGTTATTTATGATCGTAAGATACCTGGTAAGCTTAAAGGAAAGTTTTATCGAACTGCTATAAAACCAATAATTTTATATGGTAGTGAATATTAGGCTTTGATAGGATCGCAAGAGCATAAAGTTGAAGTAGCAGAGATGAGAATGTTGAGATGGATGTGTGAATATACATGTAAAGACAAAATTCGAAATGAACGAATATGGAAAAAAATGGGTGTGGCACTTATTGAAGAAAAAATAGTAAAAAATTATTTGAGGTGGTTTGGACATATACAAAAAAGACCACAAGAGGCACCTGTGAAGAGAGTGGAACAGATGACTTTGAGCCTTGTCAAGAAGGGTAGAGAAAGACCAAAGAGAACACTTTTGGAGGTTATTGAGTGAGATCTTTTAATTAATAATATTTTTAAAAATTTAATAAATGATAGAGCATAATGGCGTCATATAATCCATGTAGCCGCCCCACTTAGTAGGATAAAGCTTATTGTTGTTGTTGTTCCATTTATAGTTGTAACCTAATCCTCCCTATTTGTACCTCATCACGGTTTGATTAATCAAAAGATGGGCTAAGATAACATTTTTCCTCAACAAACTTCATGGTGTCTGATTTATGGCTAGTCAAAGTCTCCAGTTCAGTTAGTCCAGTGTTTACAATACAAAATCGATCAATACATATTCCTCTCGTGGTGCGCAACCTCCATTTTTCCTTCTCCTTTCTCGCACACTCCTAGAGACCTGACGAGTCTCATTACTGCTCATAAACTTGATACGGAGAATTATTTGCAATGGTCTCGATCCTTCCTTTTGTCGCACACTCCTTTTGTTCTTTCGTGGTCGTGGCAAGGAAGAGTTTCTTGATTGCCAAGCACCTGCCTTAGCTTCTTCTAATGCTAAATATGCCACATAGAGGGCTAAAGACAGCCAAGTCTTGTCTTGGTTAGTAAACTCAAATGACCTTGGAGATTGGACATGATTTCTTACTTTAACATGTTGCTTAAGAGATTTGGGAGGAAGCTTGTGAGCTTTATTCTTCAGATTTGGATACTATAGTTCTATTCAAAATAAAAGGCCAACTTTATGAATTGAAGCAAGCAACTATGGCAGTGACTCTTTGTTACAATTCCTTGCTCCAACTATGGCAACGGATCGATCTTTACAAAACTCATGCATGGTCATGTACTGCAAATGCTAGGTATTATCAAAATTTGCTTGACACTGACTGTATTTGTATATTTTTATTTGGTCTAAATCCAGAATTTGAGGAAGTCGGAGGTAGGATCTTGAGTCATCCTATACTTTGGGATGTCTTTGCTATTGTTAAACAGGAGGAAAGTTGCAAGCATATCACTGGTGATTCACCCTTGTCATCATCTGGAGAAGCCATGGCCATGGCAACTCGTGGACCCCCTTTAATGATGGGAAAGGCCGGAAGAATGAGATGTATTTTTCAAGACCTGACCTTGGGGATGAATATTGGTGGTGTTAAAGTGCACGAGAGGCTTTACAATTTGGGAGAAATCGGGGTGAGAGCTCACAATTCACTAAGCTAGTGTAACAGTGTCAAACCCAAGTGATAAGGATCTTATGTAATGGCATAGACATCAAAAGCCTCTTTTCCTAGAAATGAATTGATTAAAGATTGAAGGGCCTTTTCCTGGAAATGAATAGAAAAGCTTTTAAAACTTTATCCACTATCCATAGTGACTTATTGGGGGGCATTTAGAGCTCCTAATAGAACTAATACCAAATGGTTTCTCACTTTTATTGATGATCATACAAGAGTTTGTTGGGTTTACTTGTTAAAAGAAAAATTAGATGTACCTAAAATATATATGGATTTTCATACAATGGTTAAACCCTATTTCAATCCATCCAATCATGCAGACAATGGTACTAAGAACTTCAATTAGACATGAGAGAGTTTTTTGAAAGAAAATGGTATTGTTCACGAGAGCACTTGTGCTCATACCTCTCTACAGAATAGGATAGCTGAAAGGAAAAATAGACACATCCTTGAAGAGGCAAGAGCACTTATGTTTGCTAACAATATTCTAAATTATTATTGGGGGATGCTATACTTACTACCTTACTAACAAGATGGCTGGTTGTCCCTTATCTTTTAAAGCCCTAATTGGTGTGCTCAAACGCAGCCATCCCTTACATTGAAAAATAACCTTCCTCTCAAGGTATTTGGATGTTTTACTTATGTTCACATACGTCACCATGGAAAGCTTGATCTTAGAGTTGTAAAATGTTTATTCTTAGGTTGTTATGCTTCTCATAAAGGATAAAAGTGTTATGATCCAGTGTCAAAAAGGTTGTTTGTGAGTTGTGATGTTGCCTTTTATGAAGAAAATACTTTGCCTTCCAAGTTGTCAATTCAAGGGGAGTGTTGGAGTGAGTTGTTTGTAAGTTGTGATGCTGCCTTTCATGAAGAAAATACTTTCTCTTCCAAGTTGTCAATTCAGGGGGAGTGTTGGAGTGAATTTCAGAACTTGGAACCAACAAGAAATGAGTCAATAATACCTGATCCTACCAGTGTCAATAATACTTTATCCTGAACCAGAATTGTCACTCTTAGAGTCATTAGATGCATCTATGCTAGGGACAAGAGAGAGTTTTCAGCCAGGGGGAGATACTAGCACACGTGATGTGAGAGTGTATACAAGAAGATGGAGGAAACAAGGTAGTGAACCAAATGAACCTGAGGTACTGCCTGAGTAAGAACCAAAAACAAGCCTTAGACATGAGAAACCTGTAGATAAATCTGATCAGCTAAATATAAAGGAAGAAGCTCTTGAAGAATCTAGGAGAGATTGATGATCTTGATCTCCCAATTGCCTTGAAAAAGAAAACAAAAGTGTGCTCTAGACATCCAATCGAGACAAAGCTTTGTCTCCTTAGATTTATGCTTTTTCCTCTAATCTTGATAAAGTGTAGCTACCAAGATCTATTGAACAGGCAAGAGAAGTACCTAAGTAGAGGAAAGCAGTTATGGAAGAGTAAAGAACATGTGGAATGTAAATGGGTTTTTATAATAAAGTATAACTTAGATGGAACAATTGAAAGATACAAAGTGAGGCCAGTTGCCAAAGGGGTTCATACAGACCCACGACATGGACTGTATTGAAACATTTGCTCCTGTTACAAAATTGAATACTATCCTTGTTGCCAACTTTGATTGTCCCTTATTTCAATTAGATATAAAGAATGCATTTTTCAATGGAGATTTGAAGGAAGAATTATATATAACATTTCCACCTGGTTGCATTGAAGGAAAACAGAATCGGTTATGTAGATTGAAGAAGTACTTGTATGGGTTGAAGCAATCACCTTGTGCATGGTTTCAAAGATTGGCACAGAATTGAGTATGTTGATCAAAAAAGTACTTGTATGGGTTGAAGCAATCACCTTGTGCATGGATTCAAAGAATCACACAAGTTCTCAGGACAATAGGATACACTTAAGGCCAAGCAGATGATATGTTATGTAATTGTAATATTGAAATATTAGTTGCTGTTATTGTTAGTTAGTTAGTTACTGTTAGTTAGGGATTAAATAATAGATAATCGATAACGGGTAGGTAAGGGTGTTAGATGAGAAATTATTGGATTAAAAGGCTCTATATAGGACCACATATGTAAATCAAACCATGTTACCTTAGATCGGAATTATTCAGAGTATTCTTCAGAAATCTCTCGTCTCTCTCTCCCTCCACTCCTTTCCTTTGTTTCTCTCTTCTTTCTTTCTCTTTGTTCCCAAATTATAAAGACCTATCATGATACAATGTTTTTTAGACATATAGAAGGGATATATCTATTTTGATTGTGTAGGTGGATGATATTGTGTTCACTGGAGATGATATTGAGGAGATGGAGAAAGGGGTGGGGGGCAATCTGTTTTGTTCAGGAAAAGTTTGGTTAGGAGAGATCTGGCCTTTCAAAAGGCATAACCACTGCATTTCTGTGTGGTATTCTGTTGTTTTTCATTTGATTCTTTGTGATTACCACTGTTTTGCTGGGTGTACTAGGGGAAAGGGTTTTGGCTTGAATCAGTATTTGAGTGTGCAAAACTGCTTCATTTTCTTTTGCTCATTGATAGTGAAGCTCAACTTTCTGCGTTTGAATTAGTGTTTTGTTGTTATTTTCATGTTATTTTGGAAGAAGACTTGCAGGCTTCTATCACTCTTGCTTTTATTTTATTTTATTTTTTTGGACCAAACTCATGCTTTTAGGTTCAGTTCCAAGAATTTTTGCGAAATTTTATGAAGAGGGTGATATGGTGATACTGTCTTTTGATACAGTAACTTGATTAATAATTTTCTGTGTGGCCTTGTAGTTGGAGTTCACTTCCTTTTGCAAAGATGATGAAGATTATGAAGGTTATGATTATAGCCTTTTTGGGGAGCTTTCAGAAGTGCGCATTGTTTATTTGAATCGATTTGTACAGGAGGTAATTTACTGCTTAGTTCAAGCATGAACTTGATGTGACCTAAGGTTATTTTAAGTGTCTAAAATTGTGTCCAGGTTGTTGGTTATTTTATGGGTCTTGTTCCAAATGGTCCAAAAGGCGTTGTGAAATTAACAGATCAAGTGACTAATTCTGAGAAGTGGTTTCAAGCAAGTGAGATTGAAGGATCACCAGCTATGAAGTTGGATCTTTCTCTTAGGAAGCCTATAATATTAATGCCTCGGAGAACAGACAGCCTTGAGTAAGTTGAAATTTCATTTCCCCACCATAGATACAAGTTCCTCATATGTGTGTTACATTTCAACGACACGATGCGACATGTAATTCATGTCGAAGAGTCATTGAACTCAATAATATAAGCTCTTGAACAAGGGAACTTATGTGTTTTTTTTTTCACTTGTTTAAATTAGTTTGTTTCTATTGTACTTATACAGCTTCTTGAGGCTTGACATAGTTCAGATAACTGTCAAGAACACCTTTGAATGGGTTGGTGGAGGTAAAAGTGAAATGAATTCAATACACTTGGAAACTTTGATGGTCCAGGTGAGATTGGTTACTTGTAACTTGGTTTATTTGGAGAGATACATAGACTTGGGTATAAAGGATCTGCTTTTGTGTAATCTATTTTTGCATTTTTTTGTGGGATCCTATGGTGTGTTTTAGGTTGAAGACATTAATTTAAATGTTGGAACCGGAGAAGAGTTAAGTGAAAGCATAATTCAGGATGTGAATGGGCTATCTGTGATAATTCGTAGGTCACTTCGTGACTTGTTACATCAATTGCCAAGTATTGAAGTGATTATTAAGGTATGGCTTTACATTTGCAGCTTGCATTGAGAATACGCCCTAATAAACTAAACAGCTACCGTTTTCCTTATTCTGTTGTCGTCATTTTTACTATTTGTTATAATTTTGGTTGTAAATTATTTGCTGTTATACTTTAATTAATTAGAGTGGTTAATTCCTGGGACTGTGCTGCTCTTATGGTGTGTCTTGTATGTATTTAAAATTGTGGTTCTGCAGATTGGAGAGTTGAAAGCGGCAATGTCAAATAATGAATATAAAATCATTACTGAGTGTGCGGTGTCTAACACTTCTGAGCCGCCAGTTATTCCCCCAGCATTAAATCAATATTCAGTCACGTCTTCCATTGATGCAACAGGGGATGTTCCTCAGGACACTGATGATGTTAATTCAGGGACCTCATTGGCTGAAGCATTTGTTTCACTGAAAGTCTCTGTTTCCATTAAACTGGTTGAACTAAGCTTGTATATGGGAGTAACCCGAGATGCATCTCTGGCTACATTGCAGGTATATATTCTCTATAATGTTCTGTGAAAAAATTAACTTTTCTATTAAAGAAGAAAATTTTTAGAAAGAAAAAGAGAAAACATACAACAAAGCGGGAGAGGATGAGATATCTTTCTATTTCTAGGCAAAAAACTATGAGAAACCAGTGAGCCTAAAAGGCTAAATGTTGCAGCGATGTTATTATACCTCTGTATATGAGACGAGGAACTCCCTTTAAAAAACCATGTAAAGAACATGGGAGACGTGATGAAAACCACTTTTCTCATAACACATGAATGATTGAAGAAACTGCTCCGAGGTGAAAGGATACACCTAGTATCAAAAACCCAGACCTTTTATCCCGGAAATATCTGTCTGATAATATGAAATTAAAAAGGCAGTTGGTTTTGAGCTTCACGCGCTTGACACATTCATCAGGGGCATAGCCCTATAAGTTGTTCAATTACAAGTGAGGTGATTGATATTGCTCTAAATGAAACTAGAGGGACTGAAAGGATCCCAACAAACCAAAAAAGAAAAAGAAGAAGAAAAAAATGAACCATGCTTTGTCTTGGGTCAGTTCTAAGCTCACTGTTGTGCAGGTCAGTGGTGCATGGCTACTGTACAAATCTAGTACATCAGGGGAGGGATTTCTCTCAGCAACACTTAAAGGATTCAGTGTTTTTGATGATCGTGAGGGGGTTGAACAAGAGTTTCGATTAGCGATAGGAAGGCCTGGGAATTTTGGGGCCAGTTCACCAAATACACTTGGATTTGAGCATGAGCAGGACTCCTCAGTTGACAGTAACATGAGACAGGGAGATAGTTTTGAGCCTGTTCCCACAATGTTGATTGTTGATGTGAAATTTAGTCAGTTAGCAACATTTGTTACTTTATGTGTTCAGAGGCCTCAGTTGCTTGTTGCACTTGATTTTCTTCTTGCTGTAGTTGAGTTCTTTGTTCCATCAGTCAGCAGTATGCTATCCTATGAGGAAGATGACAGCTCTCACATTGTCAATGCTATCTTCTTGGATCAGTTCATTTACAGGCAACCTTGCCATGAATTCTCTCTCTCTCCACAAAAGCCCTTAATAGTTGATGATGAAAATTATGATCATTTCATTTATGATGGTGGCGGTGGAACCTTATATTTAAAAGATGCGCAGGGTTTCAATCTTGCAGCACCTAGTTCAAAAGCTTTAATATATGTGGGAAATGGGAAGAAATTGCAATTCAAAAATGTTGTTATCAAGGTCTCGTCTTTCGGTGGTCCTGTAACACTTCCTTTATGAATGTAGTTAAGTTATTGGATGCTGAAATTTTAACTACCCTGGTTTTGTTCCTGTAGGATGGGCAGCACTTGGATTCTTGTGTTTTTCTTGGAGCTAATAGTAGCTATTCAGTTTTAATGGATGATCATGTCTATTTGGAAGCATTACAAGAAAGTCATCACCAAAGTGCTCTTGGAGGAAGTGTTAATGGAGTACCTTGTCTGAATAATGGAATTAGTAATTCTACTGAGTTCATAATTGAGTTGCAGGTAAGTGTTTCTTCCGTTCAATAACTATGCATAACCTAGACACATAAATATGTATGTATTGTCAATTCTTTTAGGAAGATTTATTTCGGCTAGGTTCAATTGTGTTGACTCAAATTAATGTACAAGCACTTGATACATCAAGGACTTATATATCTATATATATTAAGCATTGGAATTGCCCAGGTGTTTTTTTCGTTTACACCTAAGATTGGGGTAAGAAACTGCTTCATGTGCTTCTTGTAGGCTGAGTTCCATATACTGTAGGCTTTTTTGTGTTCTTGGTGATTCTCAAGTGTGTCCGTTGAATTTTGGGTAATTTCTTTTGACTAAATTAGGATTTTTTTGATATTGATTGTTTTGTTGAAGGTAGAATGTAAATGCATTAGAATTGGCTATCCTTTCTCAATAGACAATTTCTCATCTTTTCTGAGTTTTTTTTTTTTAACTTTTTTTCCTCCTTTCCTCTGAGAAGGATTCCCGATAGCCATGTGGCTTTTTTTATTCTGTTGTCTATTATGATAAAATTGGATGCTTTGATTTCGAGGAAGAATTCTCAGTTCATATGCTTGCTTAGGGGCATGGTAGCTTTTTTCTAGCTTTTATTTTAGTAGCTTTATGCAATGGGATTGACTCTTTTATCTTTACATTATTTCTTTCTTGTATGTTTCTCTTAGTTGTATTACCTTTTCTCATCATGTCTAAAGCATCTGATGAGCGCCTAATTATGATGGGGGATGAAAACCTAATTGTTGAGGTTGGAGAACCATTTAACTCAAATGCTTCACGGAGCATTTCATATTTCATACTACTAAACATGAGACATGCCATACTATAATTAATCTATGCTGGCAAGCTCTAATCCCAATATCAGGGCCCATTATCATTAGTAGTTGACTTTTTAATTATAATTTATTTCTGCATAATCTTAGGATCATAATCTAAGGCACACCTTACTTAAGCATTTAGGTCTAGGCTGTGTAAAGATCAAACTCTAAATTGTTTAATCAAAGAAAGTTTCGTACCTTTTAAGGATAATTGAATCTAAAAGAGAGCTTAGTTTATTAGGTTTAGCCTCGGCAATGTTTTTATCTGTAACAATGTGTTTGACCATGGTTGTTGAAGCCTTTCAATTCTACTTGAATAATCGTGAACTCTGTTTAAACTTAGATTTTTTATCTGCAAACTGCTGCTGAAGTCATACTTTTTACCGCCAATAGATCTTTTCTTAAGGTTGAACATTTGCCTAGTCTGTCATTTATAAGACTAAGATTCTATTTGAAGTTTTCCAGCATAAGGATCATTGGCTGCATTGTTCTTTATTCTCATTAAGGTTTAAATAAACAACTTAGGCAACAGGCCTGCCTGATCTGACCAAAAATCAAGGAATATCAGAGGTGATTTTATTCTATAATCTAATCATAACATAAGCATATAGCTTCTCAGTTGCTAATTAAAATATAATAAAAACAGAATAATAACTGACAAAAAAAAAATCAAAAATAACCCTAATAGCTCCTGCAACTTCCAATACTAATTATCAAGCAATTTACTCTTTTTGCAATACAAAGTTTTTTTTGTGTGTTTACATTTTTAGTGTCTCTTCATTCTTGTGTCAAATGTACCACTTACGTGTATTGTGGTAACAATGATTCATGGATTTGCGCTGTTCAATTCTTTTCACTTTCCTAACGTTTATTGTGCCTTACCTTAAAACTGAGCTATGTTTGCAGGCTGTTGGTCCAGAACTGACCTTCTATAACACATCTAAAGATGCTGGTGATTTATTATACCTCTCTAATAAACTCCTGCATGCACAGCTGGATGCATTTTGTAGGTAATAATCCATTTTGCTTTAGTTTTCCTGGACTCCAGCTGTCCTCTATATTGGTTTTTGATTCTTAGGTTATGTTTCTGAGTTCCAAGTGGGGAATTCAAGTGACCCTTGATGGGCACCTGAGTAGGGAACTCTGCAGAATATCCTTTTTTTTTTTTAGTAGGAACTGGTCAGCTAGTTTTTTTTTTTTTTTTTTTTTTGGTACTGGAGGAACACTGACATTGCTCACAATGTAATGTGGACCCAATAGGAACCTGTCCTAGAAATCTCAGAAATTGCAGATTTAAAGACAATTAGAAACAAGAATTATTCAAAAGAAGGAGATAAAAGATCTAAAACTAGGAACCCAAGGAAAACCGTTCCTAGAACACCAAGTATATGAAACGTGGCGCCCAAAGGAAACCTGTTTCATAATCTTCAATGCCACTTAAGCTTCACTCTTGGTAATTCTCCTCTATTCTTGACTTTGGCCTTGTAAGACTCTTTTGGACTGTCCAAATCCTTGTTTGGATTACTATTCACGTTCTTAAGCTTCATTGGTCCTTTGCAATATGTATTTGGGCTCAAATATGCAAGATTATAGCCTGATTTGCTTTCTTCATTTGTATATTTTTGTATTGGGCCTTCAATTTAGTGAATTGGGCTCCAAATACACATTGTAGCCTCTTGGATCTGGATTTTTGTCTTTAGGCTTTCCTCTAATTGAATGACTTGGCATGCCCCCCTAAAACGCCACATAGGATCTCATCACAATTTCATATTATTTGAAGAATTCAGCTGGTTTTTGATAGTTTCCAGACGGATACAGGTTTATTCATCTAATAGGGTTTTTATAAGTGGGGCAACAAGTTTGCCGCCATAGCTAACAAATAATCTAGGGTAAATCTACTTAATCTGATTAGATAATTATGTATTAGATTTTATCCTAAAAATGAGCAGGACTGCTTGTCTGTCTTCTATGCATGAGTCCTTCACAAGTATGTCTTTCTTTTAATATTTCCAGCAGGAATTTTCTTACATAGAATTTATACTTTAGAGGAGAATGACATCAGATGTGTCTTATCCAACGTGCAGGCTTGTCTTGAAGGGTAACAATACAGAGATGAGTGCAGACATTCTTGGTTTGACAATGGAGAGTAATGGAATCATTATTTTGGAGCCATTTGATACCACTTTGAAGTACTCAAACACTTCTGGGAAGACCAATATACATTTACATGTTTCAGATATATTTATGAATTTCACATTCAGTATCTTGACACTTTTTTTGGCTGTGGAAGATGATGTTTTATCATTTTTAAGGATGACATCAAAGAAAGTGACAATTGTTTGCTCTCACTTTGATAAAGTTGGAACGATAACGAGTATGTAGACATTCTCTATTTTGTTTTTAGAACTGACAAAAATTTTGGGAATTTGTGCCTGAAATTTCTAAAAATTATTGCACTGCCCAGATACTCTTACTGACCAAACATATGCCTTTTGGAGGCCTCATGCTCCCCCTGGTTTTGCTGTACTGGGTGACTACCTTACACCATTGTCGGTGAAATCTCTTAATAATGCTTTTCTTGGAAGTAGTTTCTACTTTGTTCACCTTGAATTTATCATTGATATGATGTTTTCAGAGACAAGCCACCGGCAAAAGGAGTTCTTGCAGTAAATACCAATTCAATAAGAGTCAAGAAACCCATTAATTTCAAATTAATTTGGCCACCTTCAGCTTCTAGGAGCATGGCTGGTAAAGGATTGGATAATTCTGAATTGTCACCAAGTGGTGCCGAAAGTGAGGGAGATGATTGCTGTTCCATTTGGTTCCCTGAAGCTCCCAATGGTTATGTCGCTCTTGGCTGTGTAGTTACTCATGGAAGAGCACCCCCTCCTTTATCTTCAGCATTTTGCATCCCATCTTCATCTGTCTCTCCATGTTCTTTGAGAGACTGCATCATGATCAGCAGTACTGATATGTAAGTGGAATTGAGAAATTAATTTTCTTGTGAGTTCTGCTTGTAAACTCTATTGAAAGCTTGATACCCCCAATTGGCGATTCTTGCTTTCAAGTTCACATGTTTGTATCTGGTAAAGACTTCGAAGTGATGGTTTTTTTTTTCACTGTTTAAATTATATTACCACATTCATGATTTACTGATTTGGTTAATGGTATATTAAAAGAGATGGTTGTGAATAGGGCACAATAGTGTCATTTGATCTTTGTAGCTCACACCACTTAATGGGACAAGGTTTGTTGTTGTATTCTTACTAATTTGTCAGACATAAGAATGGATCTTTGCCACTTGGAAACATGAGATTGTTTTTGTTTATTCATGGCAGACAATCATCAGATGTGGCATTTTGGAGAGTGGATAATTCTGTTGGCACTTTTTTGGCAGCAGATCCCAGTAAGCATAATTTACTGGGTAAAGCTTATGAATTACGTCACATAAAATATGATTTTCTTAAGGTGTCCCCAGCAGCATCAAGAAGCTGGAATATCCAAGGTCCATCTGATGGGCATCAAACCTTGCTATCTGACGAGTCTGCTGATGCAAACTCTAATAGACGTTTTGAGCCTGTTGCAAGCTTCCAATTAATATGGTGGAATCAGGGATTAAACCCAAGAAAAAGGTTATCCATATGGCGTCCAGTTGTTCCAGATAGGATGGTTTATTTTGGCGATGTAGCTGTTAAAGGGTTTGTGTTCACTCCATAAAAATGCTCTTTCTTTTTCATTGAAAAATGGTTTGAGATTTCTTCTCTTCTTGTTGACATTTAAGACCATACCAATGTGGTTATCTTATTTCTAGGTTTGAGCCTCCAAACACCTGCATTGTTCTTCATGATTCCAGAGATGAAGATCTTTTTAAAGCCCCCCAAGATTTTCAGCTTGTTGGACAGATCAAGAAGCAGAGAGGAATGGAAAGCATAACATTCTGGCTTCCTCAAGCTCCCCCTGGCTATGTATCCTTGGGTTGTGTTGCATGCAAAGGGAAACCAAAGCAAAATGAATTTGACAAATTAAGATGCATACGCAGTGATCTGGTCACTGGAGATCAATTTTTGGAAGAGAGTTTGTGGGATACATCCGAAGCTAAGCATACAACAGAGTCATTTAGTATATGGGCGGTTGGCAATGAGTTGGGGACCTTTATTGTCCGAAGTGGTTTAAAAAAGCCCCCAAGAAGGTTTGCTTTAAAGCTAGCAGATTCCAGTGTTCCAAGTGGCTCAGATGCTACAATAATTGATGCTGGAATTGGGAGCTTCTCAATTGCACTTTTTGATGACTATGGTGGCTTGGTGAGAGTAAAATATTCCATTTAGTACTTTCAGTATGAGTGGTTCCTGAACAGCTTATGTGATGAAAATTCTAACCTTTTTTTCTCCACATCACAGATGGTTCCATTGTTCAATGTATCTTTGGTTGGTGTATCATTTAGTCTGCATGGAAGGACTGAGTATTTGAATTGCACTGTCAGTTTCTCTTTGTCCGGCAGATCTTATAATGATAAGTATGAAGCCTGGGAACCTCTTGTGGAGCCAGTAGATGGATTCTTAAGGTGAAATGCTGCGTTATGTATTGACCCGGGGAAAAACCCTCAACTGACTATTGACAATTTTACATTAGTGATATCTTCTTGTGACCTGTTGATAAAAGTGACGTTCCCAATCTTGAACAAAAGTTGCTATATCACAGAGAAAGTATGCCTTAGACATATATTAGATGAAACAGTTATATTAGATTGCAAACCCATCAATACTCCTATTTTTCCTAATGCTAATAGTCCCTTTAGTATAATTTATTCAATTATTAATTTGAACCCTTAGATATATTCTGAAGTTTCGTTTTCTTTCTTTTGCCTAATTATTTTATGTTGTTATAGGTACCAATATGACCTTAATGCTCCAGGTGCAGCTTCCCAGTTACGTTTCACAGCAACTAGAGATCTGAATTTAAATGTTTCAGTTTCTAATGCAAATATGATCATTCAAGGTTATGCAAGCTGGAATAACCTTAGCCATTCCCAAGAATATTGCAAAAATAGAGTAATTTTCTTTGGAACTCTTTAATTTCTGCTGTGTTCAATTTCTTTTGTCATTGTTTTTTTCTTTGTTACTGCATTTTACCTTTTTCTGGTAGCGTTCTAAAGTTCTTCCTTTTTTCTTTCTTTTTTCATTAGGATTCATTTTCTCCAACTTATGGTAGAAACTCTATACTTGACTCTCTCCGAGAGAGAAATTATTACATAGTCCCACAAAACAAGCTTGGTCAAGATATTTATATTCGTGCTACTGAAGGAAGGGGTCTTCAGAGCATAATACAAATGCCATCTGGAGATATGAAGGCTGTGAAAGTTCCCGTGTCTAAAAATATGCTAGATTCTCACTTGAAGGGTAGGCTCCGTAGAAAGCTTAAAAGAATGGTGACAGTCATCATTGCAGATGCGCAGGTATGGTCTTTGTTCTTTTTTCCCTTTTTCATTATTTACTAATTTTCAATATAAATTTTCTTATTTAGTGGCCTAAAAACTTAATATTTCTAGTGCAGTTTCCCAGAGTTAATGGCTCTGCTTTGCAGCAATATACTGTGGCAATCCGCCTTGCCCCTGATCAAAGCCTATCTAATGAAGCATTTCTTCACCAACAAAGTTCTCGCACTTGTGCAAGCAGCCCATATCAGTTATTGCCTCCAGATCTTGAAGTAGTCGAGTGGAATGAAATATTTTTCTTCAAAGTTGATTCCCTGGTAGTTGCAAAATATCTCAACTACTTTTGTTTATGCTTTGTGTGTTAGCTGTGTTGGTCTTTGTGGAAAACAGGATGTTACTTATCTTTCTTGTGTTGATATAGTATATGCTATGTTTGGTTTTCACAATTCTTCTTGTTGCTGATCTGTGTGGATATACACTATCTTTAAATTCGATTTATATTTTCTGATTCTTGATCATATCTCTATTGCTTGTTGTGGGCTTTACATTAAGAACCATTGGCTTCCCACCAGTTGCGACTTCAAGTACCAGCTTCAACAAGTTAATCCAACCAAATGGATGGCCCAAAGGCGATGGGTGAAAGCTTAATATGCATTAATAGGAGAAACAAAAGGTGGGATGGAGTGTTGCTTTGGAAGATTCTAATGAGCTACCGTAGGAGCAATTCAGAAAGTCTCTACCTCTAACTCACTCACTGGGGTCATGAGGTGTAGGAGAGAGTGTAACAATTAAGAAGATCTAGGGGGATATATTGGGGCCCTGGGTATGAGGAGAATTGAAGGAAAGCTTTGTACGTGGCTATGTAGGAACACTCGCCAGTCTAGATCTTGTCATATCTTTTTTTTTTTTTTCTATTTCCCGTTTTTGCTATTGTAATTCATCTCATCACATATCTCACTTTATGTTGCAGCTATAATTTGACTCCTGAGAATGCACACCTTCCCATGCCAGCTACTAGCAATAAATTCAAGTGGTCGCTCCATATACACCACTTCCTACTGTTCACCATGACAAAATACATTCTTGACATCTAACCCATGTAGTGGCCACTAGTTAGAAGATGCAGCTAGAGAGAAATAAATGAACAGTTACATCTATAACGATTATTATATTTCCTGTGGATTTTTCTTTATGGCCTTGATAAAATTTAGAATATCATTTGAGGGCTACATCAGTTATTGTTAAAAATGTAAATCTTAATGTCAAATGCTCCTCTTGACTATGCATTTTGCAGTTTTATGTCAAACATATTTTGCCTTCCAGAATTTGTGCCCTCCTTGTTCTTTTTTCTTCTTTTGGTATTATGTGCCTTCCTCGTTCTCTCCTCTCTCCACGTAAGCTTCACCACTGAGAAACTAATGTGCAAGTTGTCTTATGCAGGACTATTACTCATTGGAATTAATTGTTAAGATATGAGTAGAGGTACTTCTTGGAATCTCCCACCAAATTTAAAGTAACGAGAGATTTTTTTAAGTACTTGGAGGATAGATTACTACTTTTTGAGATATCTTCTAAATATAAAGTGTTTTACTGCACGCGCATGCGTAAATATATCAATTAGGTGACATGAATTACTTTTTGGAATTATTGATTACTTGTGTATGTTTCTTTGATATATCAACGCCTTAAATGTTTGGTGGAGGCCCCTTATATTGTTCTATATTTTGTTATTAAATCCTTGTGTGGTTTTGAAGGTGCTCCCGTAGGATTCTTTTCAGTATCCTTGAACCAGATCGCAAGGACTATTGAGGACTTCTCATTCCCCCACAATTTTGCTAATAAGTTGGACTGGATAGATTTATCTGCAGAAAACTCCATAGTGAGTACTGCAAAGGGTTTGTGTCCTTTTCTGTAAGCATGTTTTGTGTGATGTACTGATTTTAATGATGTCATACAGAGTTTTCAGGATGAATATCATAAATCTCCTGGGAAATTACGCTGTGCTGTACTAGTACAACCCTCTGAAGTTGAGAATGACTGTCAACTGTCCACTTCTGAAGACCATCAATCTGGGTTTATTCAAATTAGTCCTAGCAAGGAAGGTCCTTGGACTACTGTGAGGCTAAACTACTCTGCACCTGCTGCTTGTTGGCGGCTAGGCAATGATGTGGTTGCTAGTGAAGTTAGTGTGAAGGATGGCAACAGATATGTGAATATTAGATCTCTAGTTTCTGTTCATAACAACACAAATATTGTGCTTCATTTGTGCCTCACGTCCCAAACTTCCTGTGAAAAGAATAATGTGCTAAGCAATTCAAATAATTCTGAACGGGTGCAAATAGAAGGAAACCTAGTTCAGACAGAAGAGTATTTTGAAACTGAAAAGTATGACCCACAGATTGGTTGGATTGGTTGCTCATTTCATCCTGGACAGGGTACGTCAGAAGGGGGAGATTTCCATCAGGTGAATGATGAGTGTCTTCAATACTAGTGTCTTGCTTACTTTTTTGTCCTGTCACTTTTTTTCTTCTCTATTGACGAAGCGATTGCCCTTAACTTGAAATTTTGCGACATTCTTGGACTATTTCAATCGGTAAAATTATCATATGGATTAGTGATATATGGACGATACTTTAAGCACCTTCACTATTCACTTGATAAAGAAAAGATTTAGAAACAGACCATGCAAGGAATTAGTAATGCATGAACTGTTTGTCCTCTTTTCTGCCCCATTTTGTTGAGGGGTGCAGTCACAGACAGTTCACAGGTTATCTTTCTTTGAAAAGTTGACAGTTCAATTGACTTAATGCTTTGCATTATCAGGCCTAAGGATTTTATTTTTATCCCAAATTGGGTTTGGATCACCAATGGGGGGTTGGGACTAGTGAAAGGGGTTGGTCTTTTGCAATGTGGCAAACCAAAATTTTAATCCCCACCAGAAGAGGTGCCTACATTTAGTGTCCCACTGTGCTTTAAATAGGATTGTTTCCAATAAAAGAATACTTATATACAATAAAAAAGGGGGGATTTGGATCATATTTCCTGTCTACCACGATTTTGCTCCCGTGTTCAAGCCCCATCTCTGATACTAAAGAAAAATGAAAGCTAACAAAGATGAGAGATGTAAGAGGGGCAGTCAAAAGAGAGAAGCAGAAGATATTCAAAGCCTTTTCTCATTGTTTCTGTGTGGATCAATGGTACAGGGTATAATACACGATGAATTGAGAAAATCATTGCTTAAAATAAAAGCTTAGAAGCAGGGAACGACGACTTGGACAACAGAGATCATGATCATTTATTTATTCTTGGTCTTGGAATTCATATTTAATAATAGACTATTGATGGGAAACTGATAAGGGTCCCAGTCAGCATAACAAACCCATAATCACTTATCAACGTAGAAAAAGGAGGAAGATAACAGAATCAGATGCTGTTATGCAGATTATGAGGGATTTACCTTATTTAAATTAATTCATTGCTGTTATTTTAATTAATTATTGTTTTGTTTTACTGTTAGTAGCTGAATAATAGGACCTTCACTGCGTTAGTGGGGTACCAACGTGCTAGTCAGTTATTTCCTGATTTTAGGCTAATTATCTGCATTATTTGATTTATTTAATTGTAATTTCTGGTTATAAATATCCTGGCTGGTATGACAGCAGGATACCTGAATGAATAAACCTTGTTTTTCCTTGGAGATTCTCCTATTTGGCTATTAAGTTCAGTAGAGTAAGATCCTTGCTCTATTTAATTTAATAGAATCCTCCTTTCCCTTCATATTTGTCTTGAGCCCCTACCAGAAACACTGCAACAATTCAGGAAGGAATCTTCAGTTAATATTTTATCTATGTAGTTTTTCAGTTTGAATGGCTTTAGCATTTGTATGTGGTATATTTCATATGATTTTTGTCTATAATTCAGGCTTTTTCTGGAGTTGATCTTCCCTTAGGTTGGAATTGGATTGATGATTGGCATTTGGATATGACATCAACCAATAGTGATGGCTGGGTCTATGCTCCTGATGTCAAGAGTTTGAGATGGCCCGAATCGTTTGAGCCAAAGGAATCTGTTAACTCTGCAAGGCAAAGAAAATGGGTTAGAAGCAGGATGTTGATAGCAGATGATCTGAAGCAGGAAATATCCATTGGGCTTCTTCAACCTGGTGAAACTGTACCACTTCCTCTTTCTGTCTTGACACAATCTGATCGATATTTCTTGCAGCTAAGGCCTTGGGATTCTGCGAACCCCAACAACTACACTTGGAGCTCTCTATTGGATGGGTCTACTCAACCAGACAATGCTGGTAAGCTGAAACAAATGTCAAGGATATGTGTTTCAGCTCTTTCAGAGTCAGAAGAACTACTGTGTTGCAGTGAGATAAATGGAACCTCAGGGAGTTCCCATAAATTGTGGTTCTGTGTAAGCATACAAGCAACAGAGATTGCGAAAGATATCCACTCTGATCCCATTCATGATTGGCATTTGGTAGTCAAGTCTCCACTAATGATCAGCAATTTTCTTCCCCTTGCTGCTGAGTATTCTGTTCTTGAGATGCAACCAAATGGTCACTTTTTTGGATGCTCAAGAGGAATATTATTATCTGGAAAATCCATGCAGATATACAGTGGTGATATCAGGAAACCATTGTTCTTATCACTGCTGCCACAAAGGGGTTGGCTGCCTAAGCATGTAACATATCATGTCTATCTGTACTTCTATTTTGTTTGTTACCTGGCTATCTTCGTAAGCTTTAAACAGATGGTACTTTCTCACCCACTTTTATTTGAATGAACAGGAGGCTGTTCTCATATCCCACCCTCAAGGAATTCCATCTAAGACATATAGTTTGAGAAGCTCAGTATCTGGAAGGTTATAAAGTTTTGCTTTTATTTTTGGGCTTTGCCTTTTTTTTGGGTGGGGGAGAGCAATGGGCAGTTATAATTTCTTGTTCTTGTAAACTATTGTTTCTGCATCACAATTTTGGCTATTTAGATTTATTCGCTGCTACTTTTGAGGTGTATGTTACTTTGTTATAAATTTGTCTAATGTGCAGGGTTGTGCAAGTCATTATTGAGCAAAATTATGACAAAGAACACCCGGTGCTGGCCAAGACAATCAGAGTCTATGCTCCTTACTGGTTTGGAGTTGCTAGATGTCCCCCACTCAGGTACAGGATTCTGGATATGGCAGGAAAAAAAAGTACACAAAAGATTGCTGCTCGATTTCAATCAAACAAGAAAAATGAATCAATCCTTGAGGAAATAACTGAAGAGGAAATCTATGAAGGCTACACAATTGCATCTGCTCTGAACTTTAATATATTGGCTCTTTCAGTGGCTGTTGCTCAAACAGGCAATGAGCAATTTGGTCCTTTTAAAGATCTTACTCCTCTTGGAGATATGGTAATGTCACAATTAATTTGTCAAGGTCAAAAGCGAGTTCAAAGAGGATTTTTCTTAAGAACTACTTTGTTTTGTCCCTAGGATGGATCAATGGATATACATGCTTATGATGCTGAGGGAAATTTCTTGAGGCTTTTCATTTCTACAAAACCGTGCCCCTATCAATCTGTTCCCACCAAGGTAGTTATGGAAGATCAAGCTTAGCATAAATGCTATAATGTACTCTCAAGTTTTGGCAGTCTTAGACTTACAGTTTTCTTTTCAGGTAATTACTGTTCGACCATTCATGACCTTTACTAATAGACTTGGTCAAGATATATTCCTCAAGTTAAGCAATGAAGATGAACCAAAAGTTTTGCACTCTTCTGATTCAAGAATTTCCTTTGTGTATCATGGAACTGGTGGACCTGAAAAACTCCAGGTTGGCTAGAATTCTTTCTTTTTTTTAAAGAAGGTTGGCAAGTTGATATATAGCTGCACTTGCTGATTGTTGTTCTGCATTTTCTTTTTCTTTTTTATTTTGGCCAGAGTTCTGGATGTTCAGTTCCAACATTAATATGAAAACTTGGTTGCAATTGAGATTACGTTTTTAAAGATATTGATATATGTGGTCAGATCGTGTAATTATTAGATATTATGTGAATATATTCTCTATTAATATTCATTATCCTAGGAGATTAGGTAGGATCTGTCTTTATTTAGATATTACTTTATTTAGCTGCTGACCGATACTGGTCCCTTATTCTTCGGAGAGATTAGTGCTCCTATTCCTGTATATATATGTACTCGGCCTCCTTTGATCAATATACGAGAGAAAGCAGATTGCTCATTCACTACATGGTATCAGAGCTAGCTGCTTCTCCACACGTTTCCGACACCGAGCACGAGTCAGAAAGCATCGCAGACGAGTTATACCCCAGTCGCCCGTCTTCACCGATGACGCAGAGTGATGGGTCCTCGCTGTATGATTCAAACAAGGTTGGTGGTCCCTCTGGGTTGACTACTAACCACGATGGATCTTCGATGCAAATCGTGACTATGAAGCTAACGGGCGACAATTACCGCACATGGGCACAGGCCGTGAAACTTGCTGTTGGAGGCAGAGGTAAGATGGGTCTTCTGGATGGCTCGTCCAGAATCCCAGATGAAACCAAACCCGATGAAAGGCAGCGGTGGTGTACCAACGATTCTCTGGTCTCGTCATGGCTCATTAACGCGATGACACCGGAAGTTCAATAGAGCTTCATGTTCTTACCTTCAGCGCATGAGATATGGGTGGCTGTGCGAGACTCTTATTCAGATGGAAAAGACTTGGCACGACTGTACGAACTCAAAACTAAGACGTGGACTATTCAACAAGGTGAACGAGATGTTACGGCATTCTAGTTGGAGCTTACTGCATTGTGGCAAGAACTCGACTTAATGACTGAGGTAGAGTGGTCAAATGCTACTGATGTGGCTCGTTATAAGGAGCAAATCGAGAATGAACGTGTCTTTCAATTCTTGGCTGGGTTACATCAATCTCTAGATGACGTACGTGGACGTATTCTCAGTAAATCACCACTGCCTTCACCGAGAGAAGTTTTCTCTGAAGTACGCCGAGAAGCTTCACGACGTAAGGTGATGCTCCCTGGTACGGTTCCCAATTCTTCACCATCTCTGGACTCTGCTGCACTTGTTAGCAAAGGAGCAGATCATAGAAGCCAAAAAGGGAAGACTTGGTGTGAACATTGTAAGAAACAAGGGCATACTCGTGAGACCTGTTGGGAATTGCATGGGAAGCCAGCAGATTGGAAGCCTAGAAGGGGAAAGACACGGGGATATCAGACTTCTCATGACACTTCACAAGAGAAGACCGACTCAAATTCATTACCTTTGATAAACAAAGAACAGTTGGGTAAGTTGATTGAAATGCTTGATGTGATTCAAAAAGCTGAGCAGAATCAGAAGCAAGGTCACACGGCATCAATAGAGCACAAAGGTAACTGTACTCTACTTACTGCTGCTAGTAATTTCAAGTGGATTGTTGATACTGGAGCCACAGATCATATGACATCAGATTCTAAGTTATTTAGTTCCTATACACCTTGTGCTGGGCATGAAACTGTCAGTACTGCTAATGGGTCTGCCTCATCTATAGCGGGTAAAGGGAATGTTATTATTTCTGATGTTATGAAGTTAGAAGACGTACTTCATGTACCTTACCTAGCATGCAACCTGTTGTCTATTAGTAAATTGACAAAACAAGCTCAGTGTTGGGCTCATTTCTGTGCTACCCATTGTATTTTTCAGGACCTCTTATCGGGAAGATGATTGGCAGTGCTAAAGAGCATAATGGTCTCTACTATCTCGATGAATCAACCGTGAGTAATCTTTGGTCTAGAATTCGGTGCAATATTGCCTCTACCTCTAAGAATAAGGACTTTAATGATCTTATGTTATGGCATAGGAGAATGGGTCATCCAAATTTTCAATATTTATGTCATTTATTTCCTGAATTCCATAAGTTGTCTTCCTTTCAGTGTACTGATTGTGAACTTGCTAAACATCAAAGATCTAGCTACAAATCTTCTGAATATAAATCTTCTCGTCCTTTTTCCATTATTCATAGTGATGTGTGGGGCCCTACTCGTGTTGCTAATCGTACTCATACCAAGTGGTTTGTTACCTTCATTGATGACCACACTAGATTATGTTGGGTTTACTTATTACGTGATAAATCTAGTGTTCCCACTATTTTCTCTGAATTTTATACCATGATTAAAACCCAATTTGACACCACTATCCAGGTACTTCATACAATAATGGAACTGAATATTGCAATAAGCCAATGAATATTTTCTTAACAAACCATGGCATTATTCATAAGAGTACATGTCCCAACACCCCACAACAAAATGGTATTGCTGAACGCAAGAACAGACACATTTTGGAAGTTGCTCGTGCCATCATGTTTACCTATAATGTCCCTAAATATTTCTGGGGTGATGCGATACTCACTGCAACTTACTTGATAAATCGCATGCCCAGCCGTGTCTTGTCTCATGTTACCCCACTTGATAAGTTAAAAGAATCTCACTCTATCACTCATCTTGAAACTCATCTTTCCCTTAAAATCTTTGGCTGTACAGCATTTGTCCATTCTCATCATTCCCACAAATTGGATCCTAAAGCGGTCAGATGTATTTTCCTTGGTTATTTCTCCACTCAAAAAGGGTATAAATGTTTTGATCCCTCCTCCAAGAAATTATATATCAGCCGAGACGTCACATTCTTTGAATCTGTCCATTTTTTCCCAAATTCTTCAATTCAGGGGGAGAAGGGGAGTGAATTTCAGGATTTGGGAAGACAGGAAAACCAGGAAAATATTTTTTCAGAACTGTCTGTCTCGCCAGAATCTATTCCTGACCAGCTAGAACAGCCTCAAAACGGTTCTGAACTACATGCTTCAAACATACCTGCACCGGAAATTCGGACTTCTAGGCCAGAAACTGAAGTGAAAAGTCCTTTAGAGGATAACAGTAATGCAGGTACAGCACCGGAAAAAGAACTCATAACTTACTCAAGAAAGAAGAGGCGAGATGTAGAGGCTGCCATGCCAATAGCACTACCAATTTCAGTACTGAAAGAGGTCCCTGAAGGTGAGATTATGGAGAATAACGAACTAGAAGTGAAAGGTATTGCTGAAGAAAAGGAGATAGATGATCTAGATCTACCTATTGCTCTTAGAAGGCAACCGGATCGTGTACTCAGCACCCTATTAGAAGTTTTGTAAGTTACCATGGTCTATCTCCTCAATTTCGTGTGTTTGTGACTAATCTTGATACAATGAAGATTCCTCGTGATGTATATGAAGCTTTGAGCATACCAGAATGGAGAGCTGCTGTTATGGAGGAGATGAAAGCTTTGGAAAAGAATGAAACGTGGGATATAGTGGAGTTGCCTAAGGGAAAAAGAGTAGTAGGGTGCAAATGGGTTTTTTCTCCAAAATATGATTCCACAGGAGCCTTAGATAGGCTAAAAGCTAGACTGGTGGCACGAGGCTTTACACAAACATATGGCTTAGACTATAAGGAGACATTTGCTCCTGTAGCTAAGCTAAATACCATCAGAATTCTACTCTCTGTGGCGGTAAATCTTGAATGGCCATTGTATCAACTAGACATAAAAAATGCTTTCCTGAATGGAGATCTCAAGGAAGAAGTCTATATGATCTTACCTCCAGGTTTCGGCACTGGGCACACAAATCAAGTATGTAAATTAAAGAAATCACTCTATGGCCTAAAACAATCCCCACGTGCGTGGTTTGATAGATTTTCAGAAGTCTTGAAAGCTGAAGGGTACAAGCAAGGTCTCTCAGATCACACCATGTTTGTGAGAATGAAAAACGGTAAGAGGTGTATTCTCATAGTATATGTGGACGATATAATCATTACAGGGGATTATGAAGAGGAGATTAGGAGAGTAAAAAATGCTTTAAGTAAAGAGTTTGAAGTAAAAGACCTGGGCAACTTAAAATATTTTTTGGGAATGGAAGTTGCAAGGTCAAAACAGTTGCTCTATGTGTCTCAAAGGAAATATATCCTCAATCTACTAAAGGAAGCAGGTATGCTTGGGTGCAGACTGTAGATACGCCAATTGTAGTAAAGAAGGTAAAAAAGAAGTCCAAGGAGAAAAAAGAAAGTGAAGAATCAAATGAGGAACTTGAGGAAGAATTAGAAGAGAATGAAGAGGAGGATGAACCTGCAGACAAGGAGAGATATCAAAGGTTGGTGGGAAAATTGATCTATCTTTCCCATACTAGACCGGATATAGCTTTTGCTGTGAGTGTTGCTAGCCAGTACATGTGTGATCCAAGGAAAAGCCACATGGATGCTGCATACAAAATTCTAAGGTATCTAAAGGGTACACCTGGAAAAGGTTTATTTTTCAAAAAACAAGAGCAAAGATTAATAGAAGTTTACTCGGATGCAGATTGGGGAGGAACTTATAAGGACAAAAGATCAACTTCAGGTTATTGCTCATTTGTGTGGGGAAATCTTGTTACCTGGAAAAGCCAGAAGCAAAGGGTAGTTTCTAAAAGCAGTGCTGAGTCCGAACTAAGATCTCTCTCCCAAGGCATCTCAGAAGGATTGTGGATAAGACGCGTAATGGAGGAGATACATGTCAAGGTTGATCCACCATCAAAACTTTATTGTGACAACAAGGCCGCAATAAGTATGGCTTTAAATCCTGTTCAGCATGAAAGATCCAAGCACGTGGAGATAGACAGGCATTTCATAAGGGAAAAGGTGGAAGAAGGTATAGTATGTCTTATATACCTCCCTAAAAAGCTACAGGCTGTAGATGTATTGACCAAAGGCTTACATGGACCAGCATTTGATAGTTGTATACCCAAGTTGGACATGACTGACATCTATGCTCCAACTTGAGGGGGAGTGTGGTCAGATCGTGTAATTATTAGATATTATGTGAATATATTCTCTATTAATATTCATTATCCTAGGAGATTAGGTAGGATTTGTCTTTATTTAGATATTACTTTATTTAGCTGCTGACCGATACTGGTCCCTTATTCTTCGGAGAGATTAGTGCTCCTATTCCTGTATATATATGTACTCGGCCTCCTTTGATCAATATACGAGAGAAAGCAGATTGCTCATTCACTACAATATATGTATTTTACTCATAATTTAGCCATTGATTTATTCTAATCTCGTGTGATCTGTTAGCTCTATGTACATGATATTGATTGATTAATTATCGTTTATTATATGCTCACCAATGTAGGCTGTAGGCTTGATAAGCCCTGCTAGAGAGAGTAATGATAGTTCAGTTGTGTATGGTCATGCTGTTACTTAATAGTCAGTGTACTCTATAAACTCTGAACATTGTATTATGACTATATGCACGAGCACAATAAAATCAAAAACAAAGCTTGAGTGATAATTTTATAATTCCCTAATAATGTGGGATTCCAACGGCATTGTAGTATTATATTCATATCACCTTGCTTCAGTTCTCATTGAACTCCTTTTATCTGGAATGTGGAGGCCGTGTTCTCCATTGATAGATACATCCTCTTTTAGGCATTCCAGATTTCCTTTGCTGTCATAGTAAGAAACTATGTCTTACTGATCTCCAAGGCCATGGATTGAACTAGCCAAGCCATCACCATATTGTTCTGGCTAACCCAAGTTCATACCTTGGTCCTGCATGCTTGGTTTAGTGATTTTGCCTTTCAAGTACTTCTATTTACTCTTCCCTTCTATCAAAATCAATGACATAGTGTTATTGCCATTCATTTGATGGTGGGTGATGAATTGAGGAGGGTTCTTGGTGTTCTAGGTCCGTGCAATAGGCATGGTGGCTGAGTTTTGTGGCAAACTTCTGTTGAGACTTGACTATTGACACGGGCAAGGTGTTTCCTGATGTCATATCCATAGCTCCTACCATGACGAAAGAGATCATTCTTCAAGTTCATATCAGTTACTTTGATACCATGTTGAATGACACAGGAGTTCTCTCCTATTATTTCGTAATTGATGTGTAGAAGTATTTAAATATCTGCAGCAGTCAAAACACCCTAAGAAACTTTTTGAGAACTTCTATGTAACACTGCATACTAGAACACTAGAATTTAGGAATTCAAACCATCAAATAAATCTTAATGAAATCTATTTGAATTCTAGTTACAACTACCAAACTAGATGAGGATAGATATAAATAAATAGAAATGAAATAAATCTAATGGGCCTGGGGCCCAATAACTCATCAATCTCCTGCAGTGCTCATACCAGAATTGCTATTACTCCCCCATCCTAGTAACATTTATCCCCTGCCCATATCTACTTACACCCCTTAAAACTATTACAGGAATATTTTCTTTATTCTTCCTATGTTCTGCCTTCCTTACTGGACCTTCTACAATCAGCATTGAATATTGAAGCCCATGAGAACTATGTGATTATCTGTGAAAGTACATATTTCTTGACATTTTGTTGAGTGTGAAGTAATAATGAGAAATTTGACGGTGTATGGTATAATCTTCTAAATGTGTGTAATTTTCTTCTTCATGCTTTTTTGAAAAAATTACTGAACTTTTGGCACCTTTTATAATAACCATCATGGATTGTTGTTAGGCCAACAATAATTATGGAATTGATTCTTCAAGCAATAGACACTTTTTCTCTATTTTCAGGTGCGATTAGAAGATACCAATTGGTCATTTCCAATTCAAATTTCGAGAGAGGACACAATTACCATAGTTTTGAGGAGATATGATGGTAATCTTGAATTTTTGAAAACTGAAATTCGCGGATATGAAGAAGGATCACGTTTTATTGTTGTATTCCGCCTGGGGTCAACTGATGGTCCAATCAGGTACTGATATTCATATATGGATTAGTCTATATGTATAGGCATCGCAATCTGAGAGAGACATATTATTCAATGTTGGTTTAGATCTACTTTTTTAGGTAAAACCATTATCATGTGCATCCCGTTTTCAGGTTAATTGCACTTACTGTTTTAATTACTCCCAGCTGCCAAGCATCTGTTGCTCAATTTTGGATGTCACCATCTCTGGTTCCTTCTTTTCCGATATGTTATATCCAGATTGAGACTGAGTCTATGACAAACACGTATTTAAGAGTTTTCAATTTTTGTTGAAGTGTTTTTTATGGCTTTTGTTAATAAATAAATAAACGAGAGTTTGCCCATGTCCTAGTTTTGATTCTAGGTCAAATTTCAAATACTTTTTGGTTGTTTAAAAAGCAATTTATGTGATTTGTGAATTCTTTATTGTCTTCTGTTTAGCAAAGCTTCATTTGCTTGTACCTTTGTCTAAATTTTCAGATACAACATTTGGCAGCGAAAGAGCATATAAATGCATAGGTACATTAAAAAATGCATCAATGTAGAAAATACTGGAACTGAGATACATAGAAATATATTTGTTTAATTCAGAGTGACTAACTGCATGAATGTATTTCTACTAAGATGCTGGCTTTGCTTGGAACAGATTTGAGAACAGAACAAGAAGCAAAGAACTTCGTATTCGGCAATCTGGATTTGGTGAAGATGCCTGGGTTCAGTTGCAGCCTCTTTCAACAACAAATTTTTCTTGGGAAGATCCATATGGCCAAAAGGATTTGGATGTTAAGCTTTGTACAAGCTCTAGTTCTTCAGTTTGGAAGCTTGATTTAGGGAGGACTGGATCATGTTGTGCAGAATTCGGATTGCAACTTCATGTAACTGAAGAAAGAGATAAGACAATTGCCAAATTTAGGGATGATGGCAATCTTAATTCGAGTTCATATGAAGAGATAACAGGCCCAATGCCTGGTGACAGTTGGCGAGTTTCTGGTGGACAAGCTGAAATGCAGACCAGTGCTACACCTTTTGAACTCTTGGTTGAGTTGGGAGTGGTCGGAATATCTATTGTGGACCATCGACCTAAGGAACTCTCCTATTTGTACTTGGAAAGAGTCCTCTTATCATATTCGACTGGCTTTGATGGTGGAAGGACAAGCAGGTAAACACCTGTGGAATCATTTTTGTAGCCTTTGTGGTATTGGTCATTATAGGCCATGCAAGGGTGACTACCTGTGTTCTCTACATGTAAGCTTATACATGTATATTGTGTACTTATACGCAGCATATTTTCTTCACTGATATTGCCAAAAGCCTATTGGTTCTGCTTTAAATCTCAAATTCAGCTTTTATTTACATTGTTGCTGGAAAACAAAACCATCACACCATATAGAATGTAATATATCTAACAATATGCTTACGTGCTTAGTTGTGAAGTTCTAAGCATTGATGTCCATGTCCTCATTATTGTTGAGATTTAGAAATGACCAGAAGAACAGAGGAACGTGAGTTTGTGGGATTTGTAATTGCAAGGTTATAGGTGTGTCAGCAATTAATCACAGTGATTCTAAGGAAGGATTTTGACAGGTTCAAGCTCATGCTTGGTTATTTGCAATTGGACAACCAACTCCCTCTAACAGTAATGCCTGTCCTCTTGGCGCCAGAGCAGGCCCCTGATGTGCAACACCCAGTATTCAAGATGACAATTATAATGCAGGATGGGAGTAGAGATGGAGTTCAAGTTTATCCATATATTTACATACGGGTATATTTATTAGAATTTGCTGTTTATGCAATCCGTGCAGTATTCTGGTATGCCCTGACAAAATTTAAATTTAAAACTATTTTAATATCATCAGCATTGGTTTAAACTATAGGTTACTGATCGGTGCTGGCGGCTTGATATTCATGAACCTATTATCTGGGCTTTTATGGATTTCTACAACAATCTACGGCTAGATCGTTTCCCAAAAAGTTCTACTGTGACAGAAGTTGATCCAGAGATACGTTTTGAGTAAGACTTGTTTCTCTCTTGTTCTTGTAAGCGGGATTTTAACTAATATCTTGAAAGATTATTCTACCATGAAAGTTGCATTGTTGGTTTGCAAGCGTCTGAAGTTTGTATACGGGCTTGATATTTAATTCTTAGCAGTTGTGAAAATGGGGGGAAATATGAAATAAAGATTCGACCATAAGTTCTGTCAGATATGCTTTCATTTGAGAGAATTAACAATAAAGAAAGCGAAGAGTAGTAGCACAATATTGGGGAATGCTTTATATTCCTTGTTGATTTTAGAGTAAACTTTGCGGGTATCCATAGTCCTTTACATGTAGACATAACAAAAACAAAAGTAATGGCGAATTTCACAAAATCATCCCTTGATCCCTTTGTTTCTATGTGCAATGAATAGGAATATCTATATTCTTTGACACCGTCTCCCCTTGAGCTCTCGCAGATTAAAAACAAGGTCATGGAAGTTTGAATTATTTAAGCCACATGTTATAACGTTTGCTTAGTGGGACAGAACTTCTTGTCTTGCTGACTTTTGGTGATCTTGATCTATAACCAAAACTTTTTCTTCTTGAACATTAATATATCTTACTTTCAGACGTAATGGTTTTGTAAATCTAACTAAAAAATAGCATCTAAATTTGGTTATATTTGACTAATCTTATTTAAAATATCTAGAGAAAAGATAAAGCAAAAATAGAAAATATTAAGCCAATGAGATAGTGAGAAAAAAGAAAAAATATTGTGTAAATATTAACTGAAATTTTTTTATAACTTACGAATGATGGGTAGGTCGAGTTGGTCAAGTAAAGAGACTTCATAACCTTTAGGCAATGGATTCTAACCTTGTGGATGAAAAAGTACATTGGGGGAGCTATCCTGATGACTTCATAACCTTTAAGTCCATAGATTCTAGCCTTGTGGATGAAAAAATACATTAGGAGAGCTATCCTTCCTCATGTGGACTCATTACTGCTCGAATATGGATTCCTTAATAGAAACAAATACCGGATTGTTGCTAAAATTTAAGATAGTTTAAGAAAGAGTTAAAAGTGATGAAAAATAAGAAAAATATATTGGTAAATTTAAACAGTTCAAATTAATTTTAAATGTTAAAAAAATATTGTATGTGTAAATCAATATCAATGCATCAATGTATTTGAAAAATCTATACTATACTATTCACAAGCCATGAATGGTGTAGTTTATTCTTCAAATTCCATAAAATTTGCCACCCAAAAAAAAAGTCTGGTTCAATAAATCTAATAGGTTCAAAATTATTTTATATGGGGGTATAATATACATTTAACATTACATGTATACGCATTGCAAGAATTTGAAGGGGGTGTTGATTATATACATGTGGGCTTGCCACTAGTTTGAGATTGCTGAGTCATTTGCTGGACTTCATCTCTGGCAGTGCTACAGCCTGAGGCGTGCTCTGATCCTAAGAGTGATGCATGGAGGGAGAAAATAGAGAGGAAAGTGAGAAAATTGAGAGAAAAGTCATATTCACAAGAGCTTATTACATGACATTTGGGAATAGGGACCCACTGTTCTGTCAGCATTTGGCTATATTTGACTAATAGTCTAATACTACCTAACTAAACGTGCATACTGGTTGGTACCATGTGATAACCTTGTTGGACACGGTTCACATGAATAGTGCAACTTGTCCAGTCTCCATTTCCCCCCTTTATCTTATCATCATTATTTTTTTAATCTTTTTTGTTAACCTTATTTGAATATTCCATCTAAAAGTAAAAAAATTTACCTAGTTATTTGTTCCACGCTTCATATGGTAGAATGATCTAGCTAGTTTTCTAATCTGTCGCCTTTTGTTTGGCAGTCTAATAGACGTGTCAGAAATACGGCTAAAGTTATCGCTAGAGACAGCTCCGGGACAGAGACCTCATGGGGTCCTTGGCATATGGAGTCCTGTCCTCTCGGCCATTGGAAATGCCTTCAAGATTCAGGTGACGTATCTAATCTCTTGTTTAATAAACCACCTTCTTCTTCTGTCCCTGCTTTCCCCTGCCAAAAAATAATGCGGCCACACACATGTGCATCCATGCATGAATTGAGAGGAAGTTGTATCCAATTGCAATTGCTCATTCACAGTATATTCTCAATCTCTTTCATTTCCTTGACAACACTAAAGTTGACCATCCTTCCTCTGCAATATCAAGTTCTAAGTTGTGTCTTATCTTATACACCTAGAGATGGATGAACCCGTTTATTTCCTTTATTTTGCCAGTTTTACATAATAATTTGGATCTTTGGTGGAAATGAAGCTAGAGAGATGTGGCCATGGGAAATTGGGACCATTGTCCAACTTAATCTTATGGAAGCTCAATAAGAGGCAAGTTAGAGATGATTTGAAAGTAAAAATTGGAAATCAAATCATACTACAAGTGAAGAAATTTAGGTATCTAGGATCAATAAAACAGAATGGCGGTAAAATTGATGGGGATATTATGCTTGGAATACAAGTTAGGTAGTTAAAATGGATAAAGGCAATAAGAGTCATTTGTGATTAAGAAATACTATACAAACTTGAAGGAAAGTTTTGTTGTTATGTTATAAGACCGGCGATAGATGAAAGAAAACATTTATAGAAATTATTGAATGAGACTTGTTAGTTAACGATATTCCTAAAAGCTTGGTTGATGAGAGAACACAATGGCATTGTGCAATTCATGTAGCCAACCCCACCTAGTGAAATAAAGCTTCTTGTTGTTGTTGTTGTTATTAGACCCTCGATATTATATGATAGTAAATGTTGGCCATTAAAAGGTCACCAAGAACCAAAAAATTGGGGTAGCAAAGATGAGGATAGATGAGACTCAAAATAACTATATACGAGTCTCATGCATTGAGGAAAAGTTGGTAAAAAATTGTTTAAGGTAGTTTGGACATATAGAAAGAAGATCAAAAGAGGTACCAATGATAAGGGTTGAACAAATGGTGTTAAGTCCTTTGAAGAGAAGTAAAGGAAGACCCAAAAAAACACCTAAAGAAGTTATTGGGTGGGATCTTTAGGTAATGGTTTATCTAAAGAGTGGGTTGTTGATAGAGCATGTTGGTATAGTGTATCCCATATAATTGACCCCACCTAGTAAGATAGATTTGTTATTTCTTTTTTGTATCGTAACGTGCCTTATCTAACCTGCCTAACTCCTTATTCTAGTTTATGCAAATTGGCTTATTCCTCATTGCTGTTAAATGCTTTAGTGCTATCTTAGCTCTAGAATTTTCTTGCCCCTTATCCCTAAGTATAAAGTGTTAAATACTCAATGCTGTAGTTGCATCTGCAACCTTGTCTTAAACCAAGATGATGTGTTAGCACGTGATGTCATATTGGTTGGTCATGCGTTGAGGTATTTTGAATGGTTTACCATATGTCTGTATGACTGTTTGTCTTTCTTTCTATGCTTGTTCTTTTTGCCTCATCTTATGAAGATTTCTTGTCCTCCATTCGTGTACTCGTTCTTCTCTCTTTTTTTTTCTGTTTAAATTGGGATCATGTTCCTTCAACAAGGCTAACAATATGACATGTCTAGGTGCACCTGAGGAGGGTGATGCACAGAGACAGATTCATGCGGAAAAGTTCTATCATTCCTGCCATTGGAAGCCGTATTTGGAGAGATTTGATTCATAATCCTTTGCATTTAATATTTTCTGTAGATGTACTAGGTATGACAAGTTCAACACTGGCTTCTCTCAGCAGAGGGTTTGCTGAGCTTTCAACAGATGGACAGTTTCTGCAATTACGTGCAAAGCAGGTATGCATGTTTTGTCGTATTAACGTTGTACTGTTGTGTAAACTAGGAGAGATGACTTGAACTCTGAAACAGGTAAGGTCAAGGAGAATCACTGGGGTGGGGGACGGGATCATTCAGGGAACAGAAGCCCTTGCCCAAGGTGTTGCTTTTGGGGTGTCTGGCGTACTAAGGAAGCCTGTAGAGAGTGCTAGAGAGAATGGTCTTCTTGGATTGGCTCATGGACTTGGACGTGCCTTTTTAGGTTTTATTGTGCAACCAGTAAGTGGTGCACTAGATTTTTTCTCATTGACTGTTGATGGAATTGGTGCAAGTTGTTCCAAATGTTTAGAGATTTTCCACAGCAAGGCCAGCTTCCAGAGAATCAGAAATCCCCGGGCTATACGGGCTGATGGGGTGCTTAGAGAATATTGTGAGAGAGAGGCTATTGGCCAGGTAAGTTAGTTTCTTTTCGATAAACATTCAGTACCATCAAAAAATTTCATCTATTGACCGTAAAAGTGAACTGAAATACAAACAATGGGGAATATTAATTCCATAGCACAGTGAAAATCATTGAGGAAGCTGTTTCCATCTGTTCTAGCTGATGCTGTAGCTTTTGTATAGCTACTAATTGCTTTTATATTCATTTTGAACATTTGAAGGATTTGTGCTTGTCACTTTGTTGTGCTTAAAAAGATGAGCTGTTCGATAGATGTGCATGCCATAAATTTCTGCCATAATATTTAATTTCATTTATGATATCTTTTCTTTGAACGCAGCTTATTATTTATTTCCTATTTTCTTCAAATGGAAGTTCTTTGGGCGTGAAGTTTTGCCAAAGCTTAAGCCTAGTGGACCATGGCCCAAACCATGTTTAGAACCACATCAACTCAAAAGCTTAAGTAGTTAATTCGAGGCTAATTAATAGTTTTTATCATAATCCCTTGTTTCTGTTGTGGCTCAGATGGTGCTTTACCTGGGAGAGGCTAGTCGGCATTTTGGTTGCACTGAGATTTTCAAAGAGCCCTCAAAATTTGCTCTGTCTGATTATTACGAAGAGCATTTTAATGTGCCTTACCAGAGAATTTTTTTGGTCACCAATAAACGAGTCATGTTGCTGCAGGTTTGTGGAGGAACTTAGTCATTAAGAGTTATCTTTCTCATCTTGAGAATAACTTGATTTATTGCTTTGCTTCTTACTAGTGCCTGGCACCAGACAAGATGGATAGAAAACCTTGTAAGATAATGTGGGATGTGCCTTGGGATGAGCTGATGGCGCTGGAGTTGGCAAAAGCAGGAAGCAACCATCCATCTCACTTGATCCTCCATCTGAAAAATTTCCGGAAATCAGAAGGTTTTGTTCGAGTCATCAAGTGCAGTGCTGTAGAAGAATTTGATGGAAGAGAACCACAAGCAGTGAAGATATGTTCAGCGGTGCGTCGAACATGGAAGACATATCAGTGTGATCTGAAAAGCTTGATTTTGAAAGTAAGTGGTGTTTAGATCACTATTGCTTCAGGATGTTAAACAGAATTCTGATGGAGCTCTGGTTTCCAGGTACCTTCAAGTCAGAGACGTGTATATTTTGCATGGAGTGAAGCTGACAGGAGAGAACCACGCATCCCCAACAAGCCCGTTATTAGTTCAAGAGAGCTCTTATCTCATGCCACTGTTCCTGAGGATAGGAGATTTATTAAGCGCAGTATCACATTTTCAAAGATCTGGAGCAGTGAACAAGAATACAAAGGTCGATGTTCACTCTGTAGAAAACAGGTGCTTCATTAACCCACTTATAATCATTTCAGATGTTGATCATCTTTAATATTCCCATCAGTAGTGGGCTCCACCCCCTTTGTCCCTCCCCTACAAGATCGTCTTCAATATTGGAGATCTTGTTTCACTTATTTGCCGCCAGAGTTCATTAATTATATACACTGGGCATTGTTTGTTATTATCGAATGATTATGTGGTTTCTAGTTTGACACGTCTTTTTGTGTTCTAGATCTCACAAGATGGTGGAATATGCAGCATCTGGAGACCAACCTGTCCTGATGGGTAATAAGCAGTCTTCTTCTTTTTCTTCTTGTTTTCTTTTTTTTTTTTTGGGCCAGAAGTTAGTCTGCTATATGATTCCATGTTACTGCAATTTATTGCATTTTTTGCTTCCAGTGTTATTTTAATAAACCAAGGAAACTAATCATGTAAGGTGTGTTTATCTAATGTTTTGAGAAATAAAAAATAATAAACAAATTATATACCACCCTAAAAACAGTTTAAAAATTATTGTTAGGAGGTGACTCTAGTATGGTGAAACCTTAATAACTTTTTTTATTGTGGACAATTGGACATTCTTAATAGCTTTTTTATATGTATACCATTTTCTTTGTGGACGTTGTATGGACCCTGTATAATATTTAGGGTTAAGGTTAAAAATATCCAAGAACTTTTTTTTGAGGAGCTTCTAGCATCCTTAAATTAACAATGATGTATTGGTATACATTAACCTGCAAAACAAGCCAATCTTCCCCAATCCGTTAATGTGGTGTGATGTCCATTAAGTGAGCAGGGTGAGGTCCACAAGTTATGCCAAGTGTTAAATTATTGCCTTTGAGCCTCTAAGATTCTACACATTCCCCTACAATGCCTCGATTGAATAAGCTTCCTCTACTTCTTTACTTCCTTATTTGATTACTTCATCCCTTGTCCTCCTTTCTCATCTCTTTCCCCCTTTCCCTTCCTTCGATGAATTATCAAGGCTGTTTCTTTGGGCTGAATAAGTATCCGTTGGAATCAAGTGACGGCTATGGAAGGCAACCATGACCAAGAAGTAGAAGACCTCAAGCTTTTCTAGAAGCGCATTAGTGACCAATTTGCTGATTTCTTTTTGCCACCAAGTCCGTGCAGAACTTCCAGAAACTTGGTGAGATAGCCGTCTCTACTCTGGAACAATGAACGATTGGTAATGGCCAGGATTGACACGCTAAGGATAAGGAAGAAAGCACTTCTAAGTTGACAGAGAGAGCCTGGTCTTTTGGACTATCTATGTAATGAGCACGATATTTGTGTTTGTGATATGGACTCTGGTTGTGGCTATCCTGTGTCGAGAGAAACAGGTTGGGGACCCATTTTCTGATGCCGAGGCAATCGGGTTGGGATAGTGCTGTAGGAGAAGACAGCAAAAGAATAGAAGGAGAAGGAGAGGAAAGGGTCTACGGGACTATTGGATGAGATGCAGAGGTTGGTGAAGATAGACCCATCCTTGATTGATTTTACTGATTCGTTCCAGTTTCCCACGGAAACAGGGTGCTTAGAGGGGGTGAATTCACAGGTGGAAGAGTTGGCAGATATTTGTAGAAAGATGGAAGGAGGTTTGGTACCTCTACAGCAGCAAAACTGAGGTGTTTCGTAGGGTTGTGAGGAAAATCTGAGTTTCTTGACGTCTTGGATCAGGCTGGGAAATTATTTATGCCTACTATGTAAAGACCAAAGGTAGCTTCTTGTTCTTCTCCTCTCCTTTTACTGTTCACTCTCCATAGCTTCTGAGGGGTAAATTATCAAGAGAAAAAATGACTTAACCTCGTATTGCCAGCAATGATAAGTTAAGTTACACATTTCCTTCCATGTCAACTCAAACTGACAAGCATTTTCTCTCCTTTTGGCCTTATAGGCAATGTCATGCTAGATTAACAGATTGGAGAATATTGGCCTGTTTTGTGAGTTAATAAATACCAATGCACCATTGTTGACTTAAAGATGTCAATATCTTCTCGATAAAAAGTTCTTGAGCATTTTGTACCTTGACTCTAATGTTTATCCTGCACCTGCAATCTCTTTTTGTTGTTCTATATAGCATCTATTTTTGTTTACTTTTAAAAAGCACGGATTTGGAGGTTTGTAGAAATATATAATATTTAATGTAAATATTCAGTAATTATTTCTTTAGATATTGGACGATCAGATATATTAGGGAAATTTAGATTTTATTCTTTTCCTCTGTAAATCCCTTATTTCTTGGCCCGCATCATGGCTGCTCTGCTGTATATATCAGTCGAACCCATTGAATAAAGTGAGTTCAGGTTTTGCTCTCAATTATCTTCAAGGTTATTTTCTTACCTTTTAATAATTTGCTGGGTCTAGCCGCATATCAGTAACTAAATAAATGAAACAGAAAATGCATAACCAATTATAAATCAAAGAAGGGACCTTGGGCGCCATGGGTCCTTGTACGGCGTCAACACTGTTCCTTTTTTTTTTTTTAATTGTATACAAATGGTCCCTTTGACAACAGGACATTCCTAATAGGTTTTTTATATGTATTCCATTCTCTCTTTGGACGTTCAGAAACTACTGACTCTATAGAATGTTTATTATATATTTGTAATATTTTATGTCATTCATAGCATCTATTTTTGTTTACTTTTAAAAGGGAAAATTAATCCCCAATCCTTATAGTTTCACCTAATTTTTAAGCAAGTCCTTAGAATTTTTTTCCTTTTATTAAATCCTTGAAGTTGTCTGTTAAAGGTGCTGGTCCTTCTCCTCCCAAAACATTAATCCGCCGTTAAGTGCATTGAGGTGGGTAACAAGTGTCCATGTATGATCAAAGTCTATCCTTCTCTCCTCTTAATCCCTCATCATCTCACTGTAAGGGAGGCCATCATCACACTTCCCACCCAATTCTACGTTGCAAAAGAGACCACCACTCCCCCCTTTCATTCCCACCCCCTCAAGTCAAAGCCATTTGTGTTTTATCCATAAGTTTCCTTTTTTTTTTTTTCCGTGTTCTCCCACCCTTCTTTCAATTTAAATAAGTTGTTAAGTGAGAGGAGACATACAATTTCCCTGCAATTCAAAAATGCTGTTCTGATTATGGAGTTGATTCTAAAAAGCTCTATTTGTTATGCGACTTGCACCTTCACTCTACCATTGCTCTCACTCAAGCACGTACACTTCAAGCTTTGTGATCCCATGCTCAATCGACAACCTCATGCTTTGCCAACACTGTGATGGGTCACCCGCAGTCACAACTACCTGGTTCAAGGCTTCTCCAAATGTCCTTCCATTGTTGATCTTGTGGAACTACCACTTGGGTCAGGTCTTAGTTTGGTCCACATGGATTTTCAGTGACATGTGGTACCAAAGTTTGGCTCCTCTGTTTTTTCAACATTATATTGTCTAAAATTCAGAATTCAAGGCAGGTAAAGAATGAGGGCAAGTTATATGAGTAGATAGTAGAAATGGGAAGGAGGAATTTAGGAGATGTAGATGAAGGTGAAGGTGATTTTAGGGCCAGAACACTGTTATAGTGTCGAAGCAAACATTGAGACAATGATGTTTGACTACACAGCATTCTCGTCCTTGCTCATGTTGGCAGGCATATTGATGGAATAGAAAAGGATTACAGATGCGAATGAGGTCTTCCAATAAATTGTAATCCACGTGTCAAGGTAGGGTTGCTTAAGATTGTTGTATTTAACATTCATAGTGGCTTGTGACAGAGGTGGTGTTAGTGACCCGTGGAGCGTAAGATGTTGAAAACAATGGTTAGTGCAGGAGACGACACGAGAGAGAGAGAGAGAGAGAGAGAGAGAGAGAGACTGACTTTGATGATTCAGGAACTCATGTTGACCACTTCATTGCTTTTAACGGCAAGTTAACGTTTCTGAAGAAGGACTGATATTTCTTACGGTGATAGTTCAGTTTCAATTGAAAGAGAGAAAATTATAAGGACTTTATTAAAAAACTATGTGAAACTATGAGGATTGTGGATTAATTTTCCCCTTTTAATAACTAGGGATATGGAGGTTATTTTTTATCTTTAAAATTATTTTTCTATTCAATTTTCTTTTTTATTGTATGCAAATGGGCCTTCAAAAATTTGGGCAGGCTGCACACTTATAACCTTTTGGCCCATGCTATGCAAGATGGGCTTACTTTTTTGAAAAAACCTTGCGATATTGTCGTGAATTTGGTTTACCATTGGAAGCTATTAAAACTATTTGGTGGAGGCATATAGTCGCTTGCTTCCATCAAAATCATGATTTTAGTTGTTTCCAATGTGGAACCAAACGCGCACTTAATCATTGTTCAGACCGAGTTCACTCATTCTAACCTCTAAAGTAGAAGCAGAAATAAGAGGTTCTTTGCCATTTTTTATGCTGTCCTCTTCGTTTGTTTGAGTGAGTCTGCTGCATACATACATTAGACATTCGAATCAATGTTATCCAGTATCATAAATCCCACATTCTTTACTAAAGGGAGTCTTCCCCGATTTAATTGATTTGTTCTAATGCTAGAGACTTGAGACTACTTTTGCATACATGCTAGTGATACTGCAGGACTGTTGCGATAGGAGGGTAATTGAAAAGGAAATGCAGGCGGTTCCATCTCCACCCCTCTTTTTCTTCTTGATGAAATGCAGTTTTGTTTCCCCATTTTCTTATTACGGTGCTCTATTACTTGTATCGTTTCTTGTTCGTTATTATTATTTTTTGGTCAGTCTGTTCCATTCATTTCAGGTTTATCGTTTTATACTTCTTTGCCCGACTGCACCGTTTTGTGTGTTTGTATTTTATAAATAAATAATGTACTATAGAATTTATAATTTATATTGATTGATTCTGATATTTAGCATACCAAATCACTTTAAATGTTTGCTATCCTGAAAAGTTAAGAACAATTTCCAGCTATGCACATATCGGAGATATTGCTCATGTTGGCATCCATCCACCAAATGTTGCTGCTGTGTACCGCAAGATTGATGGCTTTTCAGCCTGCCCATGGGGTACGACCTGGTATGCTTCTTCGGATACCGGGAATACGAGCTTAGTTGCCTTGTTATTTCCTTATTTTCAAGACTAGAGATCTATACAACAGCATTGTCATTGACTATATCGGTTACTAAGCCCCATTACTTTATGGAATGACACCTAAATAACTCCTGTTCAGGTGTGGCGAAATTGCATGGATGACTATGTTAATCGAGTGTCAATTTGGCACCGCGCGCTCCTGACGGATTTGTTTCTCCGGGTTGTGTTGCTGTTGCTGGTTATACGGAACCGGAGCCTGATCTCGTATACTGTGTTGCTGAGTCGCTTGTCGAGGAGGCACAATTTGAAGACCAAAAGATCTGGTCTGCACGTGACTCATACCCATGGGCCTGTCATATATATCAAGTCCAGAGTGACGCTTTGCATTTGTTGCTCTCAGACAAAGCAAGGAGGAATCTGATTGGAAGCCCACGAGGATCCGAGACGATCCCCTTGGTCGCTTGCAAATAGAGTAATCTTCATAGTCTAAACTAGGAGAGGACTCATTACAGATTTCAATGTTTCCCCGAGAACATCGCCATGTAAGTTATTCGAGATGATCATGAAAAGCGGTGTTTTTGCTTATTCGAGAAAAGATTTTGGTGGGATTAGTACGTTATCGCGCTCTGCTCCTTTCAGTGGTGCTGGTAAGTGATTGCCGTGACTTCTGTGTCACCGTTAGTGCCCTTAACAACGTCGCTGATTGATATATTACTCAATGACTCAACTATACTGTGGCCCGTGGGAATAACCAAAAATGAAGGACGAGCCGATCGGCGATTATTGATGAAGCCTGATGATATATGTCGAATGATGGGATAGTATAGACTTTGTCGCTGATTATGAGGACAATTTTTTTTATGTATACGTAACTTCTCTTTTCAATTATTTTGTGATTATATTTTTTTCGATTTGTAATTTGTTTTGCTATTTACATTATTATACATAAAATTTCTCTTCTTGCAAGTGAAATTATTTTCACCAAAAAATAACAATTATATACTAAAAATTGTAGTGTGCATCATTTATCATTCAATTAGAGCAGTTTAATTCTGCTTTGAACACAACGAACAAGTTAGTGTATAAATTGAAATTGCAGTGTATTCGCGTATAATTTTCATTCAAATTTTTATATTGAGGGTATTTTAGTCTCTAAACTTGTATTTTTATTTGGGTTAATGAGTAAATAAAATTTTAAATTTTTACTCGATAATTATACTGGACTCTGAACTCTTAAAATATGTAAAATAAATTTTAAATTTTTTAAGTTTATTAATTTAAGTTTATAATAAATAAACTTTGACTGTTAATTTTTTAATACTGTTACTGTCTATATTGGTACTATTTAGAGTTTATTTTTCTATAAATTTAATCCCTACTATTACAGTACTCATGTAAAAGTAATAATGTTAAAAAAGTTAATAGTTAGGATTTATTTTGTTATGAATTTAAAAATTTAAAATTTATTTTATTATTTTAAAAATTTAGAATTTAAGACGATTTTTGAGCAATAGTTTTCAGGTTAATTAAATCAAATTAGCAATATAGCAAACAAATATTTTTAACAAATCTTTTATTGTCATCATTCTTAATAATGTACTAGCTACATTTATGGTAATCATCATTTTATTTCATTTCATTCTGTTTTATTCTTAATAATTCATGATCTTATTTGTTCATTAATCTTTTTTAATTAAGCAAATATAACAAAAAAATATTCTTTAACAAATATCTTTTTTGTAATCATTCTTAATAATGTACTAACTACATTTATGGTAATCATCATTTTATTCCATTTCATTCTGTTTATATTCTTATATTTACTAACAATAAAAAGATGGGATCTTAGTTGAAAAACTTAAGAGAAAAACACTTGAAAAGCTCATTAAAATTTGAAAAAAACTTTTCTTCAATTTGTTTCTCAATTATAATCTTCAAAGTTGATTATTTTAAAAAACAATAAAATTGTAATGTTAAATTAAACCCTAATGTGAACTAAAGAAGTAAAGAACTGAAGGCATATTTTGTTGTTTTTATGTATCCACGAATTCTCGGGGCCAAAAGGATATCCATCCCGTACGAAAGGTCATCGTTAAAGACCATCCTTTATTATTGTCCCTTGTTCTTCAATTTCCCATCCAAAATCCGACGTAGATATCCATGGTCACATACGTTTTCCACATGCACTGACGTAGCCTAACTGACGCCATCCGATTGCCCACCCTCATCCAATCCACCTCTGCCGACGCGTTTCCCGCGTCTTATCCGAATTTCTCTGTGAGTTTCCGGAACTGCCCCGTCATAAGACTTGAAGTTGGAGATCGTTTTTTATCCCCCAACCCATTCCCGTTAGAATTTCCGATTTCAGTCTGTTTTGCTTTTTTTCCCCCAACTATAATTATAAAGGTTCTTCTAACTCTGTCCACTCTGTCTTTCTACCTTTTTTTTTTTTTTTTCTATAGTACTTTATTTTTCCCCTTGAGATTCAGTCTTTAGATGTTTCATTTCTGAGTCATACAGCGCGTGCTTCAAATTACCCGGCTACATGATGAAAGCCGATATTATCTCTCGCGCATATCTTAAATAAAAATTTAACTCATGATCAATCATGTTTTGAAACGTGGTTTTCACGACAGATGATATGCACACGTGATTGGGATGTAAGTTTGACAACAAAATAAAAAGGGCAGTCATTAAAATCATTTACAGATGTGTTAAAGTTTTATGCTAAGAGATCGGCTTTACTTTATAAAGGCATTTTACTTTATACTAATAAATAATATTACTTGTTTGCCTTATATTCTCTCTATTAAAAAGTATAAGTATTTTTAATTGAATCGTACTTTCAATAAATTAATTACATACTTTCAAATTAACTCTTTTTTTATATTTATTACTATTAAACACCCTATAATAAATATAAGTTACTATCAATAGGGACTTTTAAAAAAAATAATAATTATACCTTAAAAAATTAAAATATTTATATTTTTTAATATCTAACTCCTCAAAAAATATCTTATATTTTTAAATAGAGGAAGGAAGTATTTTTTAAAACAAACATGTTGATTTCTTTTTGGAGGGGGTAGTACTCCCAAATATTTGGTTCAATTGGTAGGCACAGTATCAGCTTTGAATCCTACTCAACTCGTTTTGAATCAGTTTACAAGTCTGTTTGAATGACACTTCTCAAACTTCAAAATACTTTTGAAGGATTTCTCAACAATATTGGTGAAAAGTAAAAAATTATAGCTTTTGCAAAAGCCCAAAAAAAAAAAAATATATATATATATATATCGTTGCATGCTACAATTACAGCGGGGTTGTTTGGGACAGGCAGCTTCAAGCCAAGCCTTCGATGCCAATAATAATTGCGGGAAAAAAACAAATCACAGAAATTCACGTCAAAAATGCTGTGTAAAAAATTCACACGTTGATTGAATAATATACTACAATGGTGGTTGCGTATACAAAAGTAAACTCGGGAACGGAATCTAAATATCACATGATCAATTATGGCCCAAAGTAAAAAAAAAAAAATCACTATCGATTTACCGAATTTTATATAGCGTCGTCAATGTCATTTGTCACAATCGTAAAATGAATGGGGACCGCCTCGGACCCTGACAAAGCTGCAAATAGTGGGGCAACTAATGGGAAAATAAAAACGATGAAATTGCAAATGAAAAGGGAAAAAGATTCATAAAAACCAGACTCGTCCGCGTTTTCTCCAATTCTCTCCCTCCCCTGTCGCCTCTCGCCATTCCCTTCTCTTTCGGAAGTTGGGAATTTCACCTGTTTGGCATAGCGAGTTCTGAGCATGGCAGAATCGGTGGAGCTGCCGAGTCGGTTAGCAATCCTTCCCTTCAGGAACAAGGTCCTTTTACCAGGCGCCATCATCAGAATTCGGTGCACTTCTCCCAGCAGGTGCTTGTTCCTCAACTTCACCGTCTTTTCTTCCTTTACATCGGCTTCATGCTTCTACTTTGTTCTGGTTGTCTACAAGATTTTGCTCGGTTTAACTCGCGATTTGGCTTAAGGTCTGAACATTGCTACGATTTTGAAAATGAGGTCAACATACGTATTTCGTGACAGTTAAACCAAGAATAATTGCTTCCTTTGTTGTCAAGTGGAAACATGACCAATAATCTTTAGTTTCCGTTGGCAGTTGGTACTTTAGTGCTTTGTTGCCAAACTTGATGAAACAGATTTACGGTATTTTAGCAGTTTTATTCATTGATAGAATTCTGTTTCTTTCTCTTCTATTTAATTCCCCATAAATGGAGCATGAATATTATTGAAAGTTTATTATGCTGGCAGTAAGGAACTCAATTTGGTTGCCTTTTATTTACCATGGTATCATATGGTAGTCGAAACACTTCATACATTGTATTATGTACCTTAATAGTAGCTTAATTAGATTGATTTGTACTTTGCCATTCTTCTTATTTTGACTATTTTCTTGATTAAAACTTAGTGTGAAATTAGTGGAACAAGAACTTTGGCAACGAGAAGAGAAGGGACTGATTGGCATATTGCCTGTACGTGACCCTGCTGAAATTAAACCAGCGAGTCCTGCGATATCTCAAGGTGTAGGAACTGATTCTCTGGACCAAAACTCAAAAATTCAAGGTGGCTCATCTGATTCTCATAAGCCCGACACAAAAAATCAGAATGATGTTGTTCATTGGCATACGAGGTATACTGTTAGTATCTTTTTCTTTGTGTTTATAAACTTGGATCTAAATACTTGACAGCGTGTATGTAATAAAAATTCATATTACCTTGCATATGCTTTCTTCTAATGGTGTCTGGATTACGTTTGTTGCTCTTTTCTGCTGAAGTGACAACTGACAAGTGCCTCTGTTATATTTTTGCAATCTAACCAGAGATTTTCCTAACTGGATCTCTTCCTTCTTTATTTTCTTTCATATCATTTTGTGAAAAAAAATGAATAACATCTATTTCTTTTATTCCTCTAAAATAAAACCTGCAAATTGAGATAGATTTTAATAGATCTTTTATTACAGGGGGGTTGCTGCTCGGGCCTTACATTTGTCCAGGGGAGTGGAGAAACCAAGTGGGAGAGTCACATACATAGTTGTTCTTGAAGGTCTCTGCAGATTCAGTGTTCAGGAACTTAGCACAAGAGGAACATACCATACTGCAAGGATTGCTTCCCTTGAGATAACTAAGAGTGGTAAGTTGCTTGTCTTAGTTTTGAAGGAAACATAGATTCTTGATCTCCAGGTATTTTTCTTCAAACTCAGGCCTGGCTGTTTTGGTGAAAAATTAGGACATCATAAGCTAGATTATAATATGATATGATGTAGGATTCTAATTCCTTATTTGTTCCAACAAAGGTTTGAATTTTTTTTTTTTAAATACATGGCTACGTGGGAATGTAATCCTTTTGATTATTGAGTAATAAAATATTCCATATATCATGGCCTTTGTTACGATGGAAATTTTAGCACTTTTAGTATTTAACATGCTAATCCCAAATCCATTTGAACAGTTAATAAATCTTCATATGGCGACCTGAAAAATGTTCTAACATTTCATATGATGCAAGCATGAACTTATTGGACGGGAAAATATAGCTGGGATAGAATGTCAGTTATATGCCATTACTTTAGTTATATTTCTCAGATCATCTACGTACCACTTATATAAGAAACAAAAGCTGGGAGGAGTATGAACTTTTACAACGCCTTTAAGTGGTTTCAAGCACTTGTGCTTTTCTTCATTTCAGCAAGCCATTGCATTAAAGTTTCTTTGTTTAATTACTTTTTAAAAAAGGAATAAAGGATTTTTTTAAAGCAGTTCTCTTTGACATAGTCCTGGTCAAATTCTATTTATTATTTTCAAAGATAATGAGGCTTCATTTTTCTAATATAGATATGGAACAAGTGGATCAAGACCCTGATTTCATTCTGTTGTCTCGCCAATTTAAAGCTACTGCCATGGAGCTTATTTCTGTTCTGGAGCAGGTAAGAGCTCATGATCTGAATGCTTCTCTGAGGCCAATAAAATATGGTGATGCTGGTTGATCTTTGATCTTTAACATCCTAGCAAGCCAGTCCAATTTGTTATATTTATCATTATCATCTGTGTTTGCATGAAATATGTTTTTATTTGCAATTTGCGTCTGGACTTTGTCTTGATACCTTGGACATAGTCTGAACTCTCATCTTTTGGGTTGTCATTATGGACTTCTAACCAATACTTAAGGTTCACTTTACTGACACCTTGATGTGTCAAACTTAGTTTGATGTTTTCTCTATGATAGCCACTTATGCTTTCGTTTTGTGCTTGTGCTCATATATAGAAGCAAAAAACTGGGGGAAGGACAAAGGTTCTTTTGGAAACAGTTCCAGTTCACAAGTTGGCTGACATATTTGTTGCCAGCTTTGAGATAAGTTTGAAGAACAGCTATCTATGTTGGATTCAGTTGATCCTAAAGTTAGGCTTTCAAAAGCAACTGAGTTAGTTGACAGGCATTTACAGGTAAGTAATAGAGTTGATGAAGTTTGTTGAGAAGAAATGTTTGATGTGAGCATGGTGTTTATGATCCATCTGTAATTTTGTTTGTTCTTGCTGCTGACAGTCAATACGTGTGGCTGAGAAAATTACTCAAAAGGTTGAAGGACAATTGTCAAAATCGCAAAAAGAATTTCTTCTGCGCCAACAGGTTAGATTTCTCAATCATTGTTTTCTTATAAACTTCCATTGTTGCTTGCTGGGATACTTGAGGTATGCCATACATATTTATTTCCTGCAAAATTTAATTGCATTTTTTAAGCCAATGCTTTTTATGCCCGTCATGGTGTAAGCTGGAAAATCCCCCAAGAAATTCCCATGCTGTAACTCATTATCTCCTGTAACTTGTTAAAGTTATGTGATGTATGTCTATGTCAGTAATTATGTGACAATTTACGACTTGGACATAGAGATAGCAATTTCTTGAAAAAAAAAAAAAATTTGCGCCTCTCTATCTCTATACTATTGTTCAGATGTAACTTCATTTATTCCGATCAGTGTGCCCTTTCTGCCAATATGGTCATTGCTGAACCTCCAGTTGTAGTTAGACTCAAATAGTTTTGTGAAGGCATGCACTTGGGAATTGTGTAATTACCATTAATTGTCTTCAATCTAAACTATTGAAGATTGTCTCTACTATAGCATTGGCAGTAATATGCTTGCAAATGGTTACTTGTTTCAATTACCTAAAGTTTTGGCTCTCTTGGCTACAGCCGAGCATTTTATTTCCTTGTCTAACTATGCTTTTGTTTGAACAAATTATTCATCTTTCCTGTTGTGTGTAAAATATGTTGTAGATGAGGGCTATAAAAGAGGAACTTGGCGATAATGATGATGATGAAGATGACTTAGCTACCCTAGAAAGAAAGATGCAAAGTGCAGGAATGCCACAGAATATCTGGAAGCATGCACACAGAGAGCTAAGGTACTTTACATCGGAAACATAGTTGGTGGTGGTGGTGGTGGTGATTGAGAGTTCTGATTTTGCTATATCTTTCAGTAACAATGATATTCATGTTATTATTCTTGTTGAATATACTCTACAACGTGGTGGTTACAGTCAATTTATTGTATTGTAACTTGTCTCAGGAGACTTAAAAAAATGCAGCCTCAGCAACCAGGATATAATAGTTCACGTGCTTACCTGGAGCTTCTTGCTGATCTGCCATGGCATAAGGCCAGTGAAGAGAATGAACTAGACTTAAGAGCTGCACAGGAGCGCCTGGACAGTGATCACTATGGTTTAGCAAAGGTCAAGCAACGGATAATTGAATACCTGGCTGTTCGTAAGGTTGTCAATTTCCTCTGTTATATGCCTGTAGGTGTCTCAAGTAGTCAATGAAACTAAATTAACTGTACATTGCAGCTTAAACCAGATGCAAGAGGTCCTGTGTTGTGCTTTGTTGGTCCACCTGGTGTTGGGAAAACATCATTGGCAACTTCTATTGCTACTGCTTTGGGCAGAAAATTTTTGAGGATATCGCTTGGTGGAGTCAAGGATGAGGCTGATATTAGGGGACATAGGAGAACATACATTGGAAGCATGCCTGGCCGGCTTATAGATGGTTTAAAGGTTCGAAGTGAACTTACATGTTGAGTGTTACCTTACTACTGTTGGATATGTATGATATTAACTAATTCTTTTTGGAAGGATATCTTATCATCCCATTGATATCCTCATTTCCTTTCTTCTTTAAATGATTTTTTCTTTGAAATAGCTGAGATGGGAGTGATAGATGTGTGGTAACACCATGAAAGATGGAGTAACAAGGAGAACTGTGCAATCTAATATAGGAGTTTCCTCAATATGGGATAATAAGGAGAGATCTCTGAGGTGTTCTGGCCAATTTTGTGTGGTTTACATGAAGGCTATATTATATCTCTTACATGCATGAAAAGTAATAGAGAAAAAGATATAATTGAATAATTTGTAAATCGTGCTAATTAATTAACATGTTGCTTCATAAGTAGTTTTTTCAAGTGCTAGTATGTCCCTTTTTTCCCTTCCATATTGAAGTCTGAAATGATGTGCGGAAATTTGTACCAAACATGACAAGATTTATGAAATTGTTAAATCTTTCTTCCATTTTTACTTCTGTCTGAGGTTTCATTATGACTAATAATTGTTTTTGACATTTGACCTGCAGAGACTAGGTGTTTGCAATCCTGTCATGTTGCTGGATGAAATCGACAAGACAGGCTCAGATGTTCGGGGAGATCCATCTTCTGCATTGCTGGAAGTTCTAGACCCAGAACAGAATAAAACATTCAATGATCAGTATCCTGAATACTTGATTTTATCTTTCCCTTGCTGCCAAAAAAACTTATGTCTTCCCTCACATTAGTTGGAATTTCTTTGTTTTTAAGATTTATAATTGTTTGTTTCCTTCATATACTTTGCCATTTTCTTACTTGTACGATATTATAATTGAAGTATCGAGTGCTGCACTATCCATTTCCTGATCAGTTCCATATGTTTTATTGCAGTTAGTTTGTCAGGCTCTCATTATGCATGTCAGTTTAGTAATTTGAAAGAGCTTCTAATGTTGGTCTTAACTGATGTCAATATATTTCTGTATGGATTTACCCCCTGCTTGGGATGTATACCAAGCCATCCTAATTTTTTTTTTTTAATGTTTTTTGTGATGTCAGTAGATGGTATTCAAGCTGTTCTTTTTCTATGGACAGTTTAGTTAAGAGAGTTGTGCTAATTATTTTTTGCTTGTCCATCTTCATCTACATTCTTTTTCCGTTGTTAAGGGTGCTTTCTTATTCTCCTATTTACTTGTATCTTGTTCTCCTCCCTTCAACTTTATTTCTTTCGGAAAAAAAAAAAATCTGAAGTTCTTCCTTGATGTTACCAAGCTATTTGAATGTTCCATTTGATCTATCCAAAGTGGTTTTTGTGGCTACAGCAAACCGCGTACAGCCTATTCCTCCACCACTCCTCGACAGGATGGAGGTTATTGAGTTGCCTGGATATACACCTGAAGAAAAACTAAGAATAGCTATGAAGCATTTGATTCCCAGAGTTCTGGACCAGAACGGGTTGAGTTCTGAGTTTCTTCAGATTCCAGAGGTCTGTATTTGTTTACATAAAAGGTGCACTTTTCCTTTTATCCTACTGATTCTTTTTCCATTATGGAAAGACTAACTTCCTCTTGTTTGCACTTTGCAGAGTACCTTTTATAATGTTAGTTTTTAAGGCTGTAGAAAACTTAACTTCGTCAAACTTCTAAGAAAATGAATATTCTAAGCATATAATGTTAGATAGTAATCCTGGCTTTAAATGGTCGCAGGTTTTGAAATTCAATTTTATAGTAATCCCCTTCTTGCTATTTTTTTGTCTCAAATCTAGGAAGATGAGTGGTTGGATGCCACTTGATTAACACATTTTATTTGGCTATTAAAACATCACAAGCTCCTCCGCTGTTTAGTGGTAATTGGGGTTTCCATTCTTTCCTTGTCTTTGGTCCATCAGTTCAAAAGCAGAGTGTGAAACTATGGGGTAAAAATATGAAGCACACAGTAACGTTGAGAAATATTTTTTTTATGCTAATCATGTTCTAATAAAGCAATTCTCTTGTAGAGAATTTTAACTAACTACTATTTTGATGTAGGCTATGGTGAAGCTTGTCATTCAGAGATATACTAGGGAAGCTGGTGTGCGAAATTTGGAAAGGAACCTGGCTTCCCTGGCTCGTGCTGCTGCAGTCAAGTTGCAGAGCAAGAAGAAGCAGTTCCCCTGAACAAAGGGGTGCAGGGACTTGCTACACCATTGCTGGAAAACAGACTAGCTGATGGTGCTGAAGTTGAAATGGAAGTGATACCGATGGGTGTGAACAATCGTGAAATCTCAAACACTTTCAGGATTGCCAATCCGTTAGTAGTTGATGAAGCTATGCTGGAAAAAGTGCTTGGGGTAATTATCTGTGCATTTTTCTGTATGTGTTTAGTTGAACTTTTGAATCCATCTTTCTGTCACCCTCAGTGGATCAAACCTAAGATTGGCGGTTAAAAATATTGTAGGTGGTTTTGAATGCTAGTATCTACATTTTGTGTAAATTCCATATATGCTTTGGCAAACTTACTGCGATATTATAATATACTTTCACTAATAGGAAAAATATATTATTACATTAAGGCTCGACCATATACATGAATGAGTTTCTTATTTGTGACACCATTCTTAAAGAGGTTTTACATGAGCGAATTAATGGAAATTAGACCCTATGTTCAGTTGTTCATAAGGAGCTAATTCATGAGATGTTGGTATCATTGAATGCAGCCTCCAAGATTTGATGGCAGCGAAACTGCAGAACGTGTTGCAACCCCTGGAGTCTCTGTTGGACTGGTTTGGACTGCCTTTGGAGGAGAAGTTCAGTTTGTGGAGGCTACTGCAATGGTGGGGAAGGGTGAATTGCATCTTACTGGACAACTAGGGGATGTTATTAAAGAGTCAGCTCAAATTGCACTGACATGGGTAATGCATTCTATCTAATCGAAATTCAGTTTACATCATATATTGTTGGGTTTCTTCCTCTCAGTTTTTTCCCGAATGAGACAGTTCATGTTACTTATAGGTGGTGCGACAAAAATATTTTGTAATGTGACGCTAATTTCAAACAGACAAAAATATTGTGCGCCAAAGTCAAATATATATTACAACTAATAGACAATTACTTCGGGAATTATCATCTGAAATTGTATAAGCTTCTTTACATGCCATTTATGGGATTATGCAATGAGGTGTACCAGGTTTATTTAATTCAATATCCTTGACATTGTATCCTTAAGCTTCCTTTTTTTCCTTTTGAGGTGTTAAGTTCGAACTTATCCTGGAGTTTGCTTCTTGTGAGTGGTTCAGTAAGAAAAAAAATCACCCATATTGTATCTTGCGCTAAAGTGATTTTCTGTTATATGTATTCTTTTGACACCTGTACTGATGTAAAAATTATTTTTATTGACGATGGATTGATTTCATAGGTCAGGGCAAGGGCGACTGATCTTTGGCTGGCTGCTGGAGAAGGGATTAATCTCTTGAAAGGCCGTGATATACATATACATTTTCCTGCAGGTGCCGTGCCTAAAGATGGGCCTTCAGCAGGTGTGACTTTGGTAACAGCATTAGTATCACTTTTCTGTCAGAGAAGTGTTAGATCAGACACAGCTATGACCGGAGAGATGACTTTGAGGGGTCTTGTACTACCTGTTGGTGGTGTCAAGGATAAGGTAAAAATCTTGTGTCATTGTGTCGTGTTAAGTTTCTGGTAAATGTTGGTATAAATATTTTGAGGTAAGATGTCCATGACTGTATCACAAGGATAGTTGTGATTTTGGCAAAAAATGTTGCAGCGTGTGAGATTATTGCTACAAAATCCACCAAAGTGATTCCTTGCCAGCATGAAATGCACAATTGTGTCATTATTTCTGCGTTATAGAGAAAGGTTAATTACTAAAAATCTGATTAAACATGTGACCTGTTATCATCTATTCAGAAAATGAGTGGTTAAATTTTTGTCAAAGCTTTTGTGAACTTCAGTAATTGAGAGAAGACACTATGAGAAGATGAAATGATGAGCTTTCTATATTTTTGGAAGGAAAATTAATAAAGTGAATGTTATTAATTACCGAATCAAATAATGAACTTATTTTGTCATTAACTACAGTAGGCCTTGTACATCTGTATCGAACTTGAGATGATTTGCATTATTCACAGTTTGTGAACATGACTTACTATACTTTTTATTTGTTATATTGGTTGATATTTTGATAAAAGGAAAATTTGTTGTTCCTGTTCTCTCAAAGGAAATCACACTGCAAATTTTAGTGCTTTTACTATCTCAGTTTGCCGTTTAGATGTATTAAATACGTTGGTCATGTCTGAACAAACATATTCTCTAACAAGAGTGGCAGAAGTAAAACACCAAGGTCTACATAAAAAGTGGCGTGATCTGATCCTTTTTAATGATCCCCAGGTTTTAGCTGCACACCGATATGGCATAAAGAGAGTCATTCTGCCGGAAAGGAACTTGAAAGACTTGGTTGAAGTACCATCATCAGTGCTTGGAAATTTGGAGGTAGTTTTTTTTCCATGTATACGTAATAAGTCTGTTGTGTCATAGGTCTGCTGTCCGTCTATGAACTGAAGATGTTTAGTGCTAATATGCGCACAAGTATATGGTGTAAGCTTTAATCACTATTCTATTGCCCTGTTTGAAATTTTCAGATATATTGGGGTTCAGTATATGGTCCTTTTGTCTGACTACTAGTGTCTTTAATTTCTTTATGGAGCTCAGTGAGCCCTTGATTTTCTTATTATTATTATTATTATTATTTTTGTTTTTGTTTTTTGCCAAATATTTTCTTATTAAACACACAAGTGAAACACAAGGTGACACTTGGCTTTTTTGAACTTCCTTATCAGATATTGCTTGCAAAGCGAGTGGAAGACGTGTTAGAGCATGCTTTTGATGGTGGGTGTCCGTGGAGACAGCACTCCAAGTTATGACAGGATTCTTGAGTGGCACCTGTTATCCTCCTTCCTGTTTCCCTCTTAAAACAGCACTGTGTCGATTCAACCTCTGATCCCATCGTGACTTACGATGCCTGTTGTGACCATGGGCGACTTAGAGCACTTCGATATTCAACGGGTTGTAACCAAGCGAAGCTAACAATGAGCATTACATTTTGGGACTCACATCTCCACTGCCAGCTTTTGTAAGTATGCCTTTTTTATTTTGACTAGCCTTACTTTATCAAAATTGAGCAACTAAATTATTTTTAATGCTCCCGTGGATTCTTTTTTTTTTTTTTTTGGGGCCTTGTAACCATAGTCAATTCCTTATTGTGCATAAATCATTATTTTCTTCAAGCAAAGAGGCACTTGCTTTCACCAGTGGCTACTTCAACCTTTAATTATTTATTACAATATTAATTATTGTTCTGGATTTTCCTTTTACTTTTTTGCCCCTTGCAGGGAGAGGGAGGGTTGGGTTGGGATGGTCAAAAGTCTTGTGAGGGTTGCGGACTTGCGGGTAGTATCCGGGTTATTTTATTAGATAATGATGATCAAAGATTTTATGATATTTATTTGTATTGTGAGAAATTTAAACGTAATTTTTTAAAAAAGATATTACCAAAGTAAGAAATATGAAATGCCTTCGTGGATTTAGCCTTGTCCAACCAACACAAATTGGTTTTAGTGAAGAAAAATATGTCCACTTAATCAAGGATTCAAATTTTTTTTTCACAAAGATAGGCAAAAGCCTGGGTGATAGTCTAAAGCAGTATTGGCCTGACACCCAACCATGGGTTCAATCAAAAGAAGGTTCCAAATTTAAATTTGTAAGTAAAATATTTTTAAATGTATTACTTTCAAATGGATCAGACAATACTTGAATTTGAGTATAATATTTTATTGGACATCGTATAACTATTTAAAAAAGCAAATAAAAGAAAAGATTGTTCTGGAAGCACTGTTTTAAAAATTGAACCTGATTGATTGAACTAGTTAGGCTAGGAATCAGTCCTATTGTCTGGTCCGGTATTAAGGGTAAAATTGAGAATTGGTTGGGAGCTAGTTTAAACAGTAAAACTAGTGTACTAAGAATGATATATTTATCTTTTTAAATGTTCGATAATTTTCTTGACTAGCATGTTTGAAATTAAATTATTTCTTTTTATGTCATAATATAAAATATCTATTAAAAATCTTGTTTAATCTAAAATATAAAAAAATTGAATAATTTATATTTGTTTTTTTAATTATGCTCTCATTTTATTTATTACTTTTTAAAAAAAGTGTTAAAATTTTAGTTATTATTATTAAGGTACTTAAAAGAAATTAGCAACGCAGTTTTAATGAGAGTAAAATTAAAACAATATAAAATTTTTAAAACATTTAAGTTCTACCTAACATTTTCTGAAAACTGTAAATTAGTTACAAATATCATATATTTTAGTCCAGAGGAAATATATTTGATGCATTTCTATGAACCTTGAAATGGAAAAACTACAAAGAATTTAATCAAAAGAAAAACTATTAAAGAAAACGTGCAAAAATGCAAATAGCTTGTAGAACTCTAAAATAATTATATATTCTATACAAAAGCTGCAACTCAATTGATTTCCTTTTATTTTTAAAATTATAAAATATTTATTTTTATTAAATTATATTTTTTGCAAACTAATATTTTGCTAAGTGAAGTTGACCTACCATCTAATTTTTTATGTGCAAATAAAATTATATTTAAAAATTTAATATTAAAAAAGCAAACTATTCTAACTCCCCCCTCTAGTTTAATTTATAAAATAATTTTATAACGTATTCTCTTATATTTAAGATCTGAAAAGAAAAAATAATCACAGCCCAGCTATTAACCCTTGAACTACGGTTTATTACCTGCTTAAAAGACATTGGATGCTTACAAGATATATAATAGAGACATGGCAAACGGATCCTCATTTGTGTTGCTTGGGTTTCGATCTTATTGAAGCTATAAAATATATCCAATAATTACGATAAACGCATAATAAACACTCCGCGGGACTGTCAAATTATAGTTCTAGATGAGAGGGTACAAGACAGACAGCAACCATCTCACTATAGAGGAGACTAAACAGGAACACGCCTGCCTAACGCTATGGCGCGCAAATACAGTACGGAAAATCCTCTAGTACAGATAATCTGCCAGTCACTCGGAACCTTGGTGATTTACAAGTCACACGATATCCACTTCTATATACCACCAAGTGATGCCAGTTGTACAAAGGAAAACATTTTCTGACATCTTCGTAAAAAAATAATATGGAGTATAATTACAAGCTAGGACGAATTGAAAGGGCTCTCCATGTAATGGCTCTGCAGAACAACTTCACGTTGATATCCCAAAAACAACAAAAATGAGCAAGGGTAATAATGGGGTTATCTTTTCCTTCTCAGCCAAGGATGTGCTGCCAGTACACCTTCCTAATGCCCCCACAATTCCACCAATCAGATTCCGGGTGCCAAACCCTCAGGATGGTCGAACCCTCAGTAGTATGGTTTATGCAGAGATGTCCCGAGAAGGGTATTCTTCCAATTTGTCATGCAAGTACATTCCATCGTGTATAAGACAGGCACAAACCCAATGCAAAGACTATAACCCATCAAAGCCATGGTATACTTCTATTGTTCCTCAACCATTATAGTGTATTTTCTGATTTTGGGAGCTCTGACCCTGAGGCTGTGGCTGGGAAGCCTGCATGTTCATCGGCTGTGTGTTGTATTGAGCAAAAGGCTGGGAGTAGAGAGAATTCATAAGGCCCTGCGCCCCCCCCCCCCCAAAAAAAAAAAAAGCGCTTAGACTTGACTGAAGAGAGCAGCATGCACAAATATAATAAGTTGCAAAGCTAACAAAATGAGAACTTGTCATATTTTATCTCCACATCAAAATAATAAACTAGCAGAAGCTAGAGGAAACCTGAGACTGAAGAGGGCTGGCATTGCCCACACCAAATTGGCTCTGTGGCGCATCATCTTGCAAGGGATCATTGAAGCCAACCTGAGTGAAAAGGCCTTGGGATCCATGGGTCATGTAGTCCTGATAAATAACAATGGAGGTTACAAAAATAAAGAAACAAGCAACCCAAATCCAAAAGAAATGAGCTCATAATGTAGCGGCTTCTAACAACCTGAGACATGAAATCATTTCCAGAACTAAAACGTGAGTAACCCGCTTGAGAATTCTGGTTCAAAAAGTTTCCAGGGAATCCACCTTGTGCTCCTTGTGTGACATAATCAACAGCATATCCACTCTGAGAAGCCTATAAGGTGTAGGCAAATTGTGAGCAACTAGGCCAAAGAACCTCGAAAGTTCAGGGAGGAAAAAGATAGTAGACAACACAGTAAACAGATCAAGAGACATGCCAAATGCCTAGACAGATTTGAACAACATAATTGTCAAAAAAATAGATAAATTAGCATAATATAAAGGATAAATTATACATAACCCCCTGAACTTAGGGTTATGTGCAAATAATATAATCTCCATGACCTTTAAAACCTTGCAATAAAACCCACCCTAAGGTTTTATATTTATGCAAATAACTACTGTGCCGCAAATTTGTCCATTATTTTACTAAAATAATGTAACATACAGAGGGTTTGTCTACACGACTGATAGTTTATGGGGGATTATCTACATATAACTCAAGTTTGAAGGGGTTATCTGCATAAAAAATAAAGTTTAAGGAGGTATTAGATCAAATAACATATTATGCTTCATTAGTGAAATAACGAAATGATCAATAGCAAGAATGTTAGCCTAATATAAATTAGTTGAGAGTTGAGATGATAAATTTTGATTTTGGTACCAAAACTTATTTAACTTAACATATATCAAGAGACAACAGAGTCCTCCAGGTTGTTCGAGACAAAATATAGGTCTCACGATTAAGAAATCTGTATCATGCTAAATGAACCACAACATTAGGCATACCTGGGTAGAGAAATCAGTAACATTATAAGGAACATGAGATCCCTGGCTTTTGAAGTCATCACCCAAGAAGTCCTGAAGGTAATAATTAAAAAAAAAAACAGAAAATGAGGACTAATATAACACAACAATACACCTGAAGAACCTCAAACTTCTATTTCAGTACTATAAAATATATTAATACCTGAGACATTCCTGGCACAGAAAACTGATCTCTAAATGACTGGCTTGCTCCTTGGACTGGCATCTAAAATACACGAGAAAGATGTGATCAGAATTTGACCAATGTGAAAATATACAGGGGATAAGGAAAGAACATATAAAGGCAGAATAAGGAGAGCAGACATTATTGGCAAACCCAGGCTGAGACAATGGAACACCGACAGATGGCTGGCTGCTGGGATTTTCCAGAGCTGGAAAGTTGAAAGTAGATCCAATATTCCCTAGAGATTGTTGTGTGCCTTGCTGGTGAGGGAGATGATTACCAACTGTGGTGCCAGAATTACCTCGTCCAGCACCAAAACCTCGAGTCCCTGGAGGTGGTACATGAGGGACTGCCCCAACTGGCCCGTGTACAGCTCCACGAGTTGGAATGGTGTATGGCTGAGATTGAGGACCACCAAAAGGTGGAAGAGGTACCCTTGGAATGGGATATCCAGATGGATGCACACCAGGCTTATGGGTTCCATTTGATGGACCAGGAGGCATATAAGTTCCTGCAGTTAACATCAGCAAGTTATCTGAACATCAAAAACTCTAGAATTCAGGAGCTGTCATAAATTAACTTGGATAATAAATAAATAACCAGTCTCAACTATTCCAGGTTACATATGAAGTTCTACCATGGGACATCCACCTCTAGAACCACAAAAAAATACAACAGGCTTGAAATTACATACCCCTGCCCCTGCTGCTCTTCCGGTCAGAAGTTGGGCCAGAGGCAACTGATCCAAAATTATCACCGGCCACAACTCCAGGACCACCACCATAAAAAAGCCTTCTATCATTGTAGATCTGCATTAAAATAAGACAAATTAGTCTCGTATAAGACAACTAAGGCTAACTAACCTGCTTGCCCACAGGGCAGAAATCAATCAATACTCTGCAAGCCTTCATCACCTACCTTCTTGGGTTTCTGGAACTGAACCATGCTCTGCTTCAAATTATTTAAAGGCCCTTCAACCAGGCACTCGTGTTCCTGTAGTACATGGGAAAAAATTAAGCAAAATGGCATGCTTAAGAAAATGAAGATTCACTATGCATAAAATAAGAGAAGTGCAAAATGGATTAAAACACCGATCACATTTTGTGGGCCTTTCTATCAATAAAACAAAGGAATTTAAACTCATCAATTATTCTCAAATCTGAGACCCCTGCACGAACATTGCAATGTCCCTCCCTGCTTTCACGATGCACTGATGCATATAAATCTATTTTGTATCAACTTAATAACACCACTGGAAAAAATCCTAAAAAAGAATACCTTGTAGTGTGTCAACAAGCTATTCCACAGAGGCTGCTTGCTAAGAACTTTAGGGTTTCCCAGAATAACAATGCCATATCGAGCTCTGGTCAATGCAACATTGAGCCTGCGAGGATCATTCAGAAACCCAATGCCCTAAACATGGAAATAGGTCAACCACCAATACATGAGTTTTACAAGATAGAAGAGGTTCTTTCACGCAGAACAAATTTAAGCAAACAATTGAACAGTGGTATACAAAGAGAAGCAACCAACCTGATGCTCATTACTTCTTACACAAGACAGGATGATATAGTCTTTCTCCCTTCCTTGAAAGGAATCAACACTAGCAACCTGAAATGAATAAACTTATGAGACCAAAGATACAGAAATGAATAAAATTAATCTAGGAACTGAGGCAACATAAAACAAGATTATAAATCTCATTGGTATCTATAAACCTCAATCTCCTTGTAAAGTTGTTGCCGGAGGGCACCATTTCTTGACATATAGTTCACAATATAAGCTCTTTGTCCTTCATAAGGTGTTATCACACCAATCTGTTGAACATACATAAAACACAACCAAAATTGTTGAAATCAGCTTGACAAGCATAAATCCAAGAATTAATATAAAGCCAAGATACCTGATTAGGGACTACACCACTTCTTAAGAAAGTAGTTACAATCTTTTCAACATTTGCAGCCTCAGTTCTATTTAAGTAAGATGTGCCGCTTGCACTTATCTCTTCTTGTCCCATCTATCAAACAATTAGACCAATTAAAAGAATTACAGCCGATGTAAATTTCAAATAAAAGGGAAAAACAACAGAAAAGCATATGAAGTTCATGAGGTGGAACAAGAATGTGTGTACTGAATAAGCATACACTCCCTCCATTCTTATTTGTAGGATACCTTCTAAAAGTAATTTTTGGTTCAAAATGCAAGACACGTTATAGTAATGAAACCATTTTTTCCAATTTTACCCTTTCTTGATTAACGTGAAAGTATTTAATATAGTTGTATTATTATTTAAAGCCAAAGATAAGGATGAAAGGACATCTCAAATTTTTATAATATCAAGAAAAAACTTTCTTTTCTTAAATATGCAAAATGGATAAAAGTGTCTTACAATAAAGATCGGAGGAAGTACACCATTAATTGACATCTAAAGATAAAATAACATTTCACATGGCATGCATCTACAGTACCTGAACATAAAAAAACATGGGACGATTGGGCACTGGCCAGGGAAAATCAATTCCTGATAATTGCCTTTCATTCACAGTAACTCCATTTTGCAGAGTGCCTTCATAAAAGCTATTTGAAGGGAATTCTGAGAGAGATGGATGCATACGGTATTGAACCTGATGTGCAAGAGCATCAAACATGTAGCCTTGTGTAAATACACTAAACAATGGGCTCAGAAAAGGTAAAAGGAGAAAATACAAACACACACACACACACACATAGCTATTTGGATTGTAAAAAATAAAATATAAATAAAATGTCAACCAAAAGAACCAGTGTACTAAATAAGAGTAAATAAACCAACTGAGTAGAGCTGAAGGGTAAAAGCAGGTTATAGATGTAAAGTTAAGTAGGATGTCAACCCAAAGAATAGTAATAAACATTAGTAACAGACCGATCCTGAGTAGAACCAAAGAATTAACAGAGGTTGCAGGAGAGTGCAAAGGGGTTTTGACAAAGCAAAGAACCAAGACTTCCTTGCATAATCTTTCCAGATTTGGGCTTCGTGCAACACAAAAGTCCCAAGAGCTAGTTATAAAATAAATTGAACAACTTGGAGGCTTCAGACCAAGGGAACATGAGGAAATAATATGCAGAGTAAACACAAGAAACCAAACAAAAACTAGGACTTGGCTATCATGTTCAATACAATATAAGAGACCCTTCAATTAATAAGCACAAATGATGAAACCATCCAGTAGTAGGTAGTGAAGCATCTTAAAGAAGTTGTAGTCATAAAATATCACTTGATAAACTAAGAGGTCCGTTACCTGCAATCTAATTGGTTTAACACCAAGCAGAACAAGTCGCTCAAAGAGTGACTGTGCAAGGCCTGCACGAGCAGCCTTCTTGCACATAATGACTGGACCAAGCTGACAATGATCACCAACAAGAACAACCTAAACAAGATTACCAATTAGAAACATCACCCGAAAGTGCAAAACTGTTTGTACAGATTTGAACTGTAAATACCTGCTTGACCCCAAGAACCAAAGGAATGAGACATTCAGGTTCTGTTGCCTGAGTAGACTCATCAATGAGTACCTAAAACCATCATCAGCAATGTAAGCATCTAGCATGAAATATCGCTTAAATTTGAACCATAATATACAATCCAACCTGACGGAACCTAAAATTTGCCAGCCGAGGATCTCCAGCACCAACACACGTGCAGCAGATCACATCAGCACTCTGAGAAATCTCCCTCTCTGTTGCTCGCTTTAGTGCTTTGTACTTTTTCTCATCACTACTTGAAAGTTCACCTACGCACTCAATTAAAAAAAAAACATAAGTGATCGTTGTCTGAGAAGCATGCTTGCTCGAACAACAAAAGGAGAGAATTTAACATAAATAAATCAAAAGAGAGAAGGCAGCAACAGAATACCAAAACGAGAAAACCATATAACAAGTTGTCCCAATGTTACAATTACCCACAGACTCAATAGTTTTGTTAATTTCTCAACAAGAAAGCTAACACGATAACAACAACAACAAGCCTTTATCCCACTAGGTGGGGTCGGCTACATGGATTGCAAGACGCCATTGTGCTCTATCATTTATCAAACTTTTAGGAATATTATTAATTAAGAGATCGCGTTCAACAACTTCCAAAAGTGTTCTCTTAGGTCTTCCTCAACCTCTCTTAATCGAACTCAAAGTTATATGTTCCACTCTTCTCACTGGTGCCTCCCTTGGTCTTCTTTGTACATGCCCAAACCATCTCAACCGATTTTCTACCATTTTTTCCTCAATAAGTGCCACCCTCAAAGCTAACACGATAACAAATTATTGAAAAAATCTTGCTAGAAATAATAGTAACGTAAACTCACAAGCATAAGCAAATAGTGCTACAAAAAAATAAATAAATAAAAGGAAATTCAATTCAAACGTGACAGGCTTCAGTAGGATAACCAAAGCAACCAAGTTATGTTGACAAGAAAAAAGCACCCAGATCCCAACTGAACATGGTATCCACAGAGTTTATGGGGAAAAACTAAAAACCTTGCTCATCTTTCAGCTGTTGTAGCTTGTGAAGTTCACTCTTGTCAGATGTGTCAAGATTTCGAACCTACAGTAATCAAAATTCCCATGCAACAAGCAAATCCTCATTCATTTTGGACACACAGCCAAAGCGTGCTGGAAAGAGCCATAAAAACACCCAAAAAATTGTACAGGGAATAAAAATTCACCTGATAATGAAGCGTTAGGTGCTCAACTGGAGAACTCACAGCTTCTCTAGACTTTGCACAAAGCCTAACAACCTTGAACGACAGAAACATGTGTTAACAAGGAGAAATCAAGAAACAGAAGCAGTCGCCCTCTAAACAACCCAAAGTTAATTAGTTTCTCTCCAAAACTAGAAGTTTGGAGAACTTTGTTGACATCAGTTCCTTACATTCACACATGATATGACAACAGATCAGAACAAACACTGATTATACCTTCAACCCGGTAGAACTTATCTTTTCAGCAAGCTGATCAACAGCCACATTGCTAGGTGCACAAACCAAAACCTGAGATTTGAAAAGGGGGCAAAAATGAAAAGAAAGACTCGTAGCAACGGCATAGAAAAAAAAAAAAGCAATCAACATAAGAAAAAGGTGAAGTGATTCTACCTGCCCCTGACCTTGTTTTGCCATGTGATATACAATTGCTGCAGAAGTGACAGTCTTACCAGTTCCAGGAGGACCTTGAATCAAACTAATAGGCCTCTGAAGAACACTTTTAACTGCAAAAACCTACAAATTAAGAGGTTCAGTTACTACTCTGAAGAAGGCAACTTGAAAGATTCTCATAGGTGGCAGCAGAACATGGTCGGAACTAAGTGAAAAGCATCTAACTTTCTCAAATTTGTCATAGAACAGGTAAGACATCTCTACAGTTTTAGTAACCCTTTCTCCATATCATGCCTAAAACTCACAAGTTACAACAGACGCACTAATGTACCATCCTCACAACAATTTTAAACAATCTCTTCCACCAAAAGCAGAGAATAGAAGAATACAGGTAATCAGTCATGCAAAATGAGAAGAAAATAGCAATTTTAAAAAACAAAATCTTATCAAGAAAAGCATTCCACATTAATGAGATAAAATATCTTAAGGAAGAACAGCATACTTGAGATGCATTGAGCTCTGGAAGCCCAGGTGCACCAAAGCGACGAGGCAATGTATTGCGCACCATCTGAACCTCAACTTCATGACCCAATAAGTGATGGTAAATATACCTACATTAGAAAACATAAATAGCAACACTTTCGCAAACAAGAGAAGAATCAAATATTCAGCCAGATAATTAAGATTGATTTTGTGAGATCCTATAAAAAATCAAGAGAACATAAACCTGCCACAATGCCTCCCATTATAGATTAGAGTTCTCTAACATTATAAGTGTTCCTAAGTTAGTCAAAGATGAAAAGCACCCACTAGGCACACCTTACAGAGCAATAGAGAAGGGGAGACAGAGATAACTGAGAGGAAAGAGAAAGGGAGGTAACAAACTTTAAATGTGTTCTGCCCCAAAAATGAGAAGTTCCCCTGTACAATCACTAAGAACTTCACATAGAGCCCATGAATAACTCCTAATAACTTCAGGAGTGAAAAGATAGTTTAAAAATATAAAAGCAACATAAAAAATAATAAACCTAATCTTAATTAAAATGTTACTTGACATATTTATCTGTAATTCTTATTTCATGAGTAATTAAGGAGTAGGCCCCTTGCATTTGCATGAAGCCTGAGATAAAGTGCATTATTCATAGCTTGTTAACAGTGTGGCTCTTCATACTTTATAGATTTTATTTTGATTTAATATTGATGTTGATTGATGATATCTTCCCTAATCTCTAACCGTTCTCCAAACTTTGCCTCTGGCAAGAGGAATTGAAAACCTACACGACTGAGTGACGAGGCACAAAAAAAAGGGTAAAATATACTATCCTTCCTCCAGTCCAAAATATAAGCATTTTCTCCCAACTAATCTTGGTCCAGAATATGAGCAACTTAGTATTTGGGGAAAAAAACAATCCCCATTTTACCCCTTGTATTTATTAACCTAGATTCTTGTGTCATGAATCAATGACCTTCTCACTTATCATAAATTGGAACTAAGAGTAAAAAAGGAAAACAATATATATTTTCAAAGAAATAAGGATTTTATTAGTATGCGGATTATTGTTAAAAGCTAGTTATATTTAGGACCAGAGGAAGTATTAGCAAAGACAGTTTAATGTAAATTTGGATCAAAATTTGTTACATATAAATTAATGATATAAAAATAATTATCTTTAAGTCATAAGACATAGCATCAGTAAATGCATCAATAAAGTCACCAATATGAATAAGAATGCTAACCATCAAGTCAAAACCCTAAAAACTAGTAGCCCAAATAATATTATGATAAGACCCCATCAATAGTCAATGCCAAACCTTTAAAATGGAGACATAAAAAGAATAGACAAGGGACAGCAAAGATGGGACTATTGGTTTAGGAGAAAATCATATGGATAAAGACCAGCTGACACAGAAAAGTAGGGGAGCAAAGCCAGGTAGTGTTGGTAGGAGTAATGAGTAACTTTTTGGCTCTTTAAATCTATAATTCCATGCAGAGGGGGGTGTGGAGTATTTTGAAAAATCGTGAGTGGTGTGGAGAGCTCTAGCCTCTCGAATGCCAAATTGGGGTGGAGGAAGTTCATCTTACTCTATCATTTGTTCATGTGTAGCTTAGGTTTGTGTTGCTGTACTGGGTGTATGTTGTGTTGTTTCATTGTATTTTGGGTTGATTCATGTACCCTGTAATTTCAGCTCCTTATTTTGCTTGTAATACAACTCCATTGGCCTGTTTAATCCCATTTGTGGTGTATTTTCTGTACTTTTGTTTAAGTTTATTAGGGTAGAGGGTTCCAACATATTATAAATGGGAAACCTCAAAAGCTATCTGGGCATCTAAAGTTGAGCTTTACAATTTCCTATCTTATGCTATTACTATTTCAAAATTTCAGGTATGGGCTAAGCTAACTCTTCCTTTCCACCATTCAAATACATTAAGTCTCCTGAGACATTTGCCTTTAAAGAACAAAAAACCACCAAAGTCACCGCTAGGTGAGCACTGGGCGTTAGCCAATGCCTCTCATGGTATGAGATATGTTAACCTTCTTCAGCATCCCACCTCAGTGACTGAGTACCTAAAAACTACACTGATATTCTGCTTAAATTTGAAGCTTACCATTAGCACTAAGTAATGTGCCATGACAAGATAGATTTGATATACGAGCTACTATATGATTATCCATTACCTACCCACTCCCAAGTCCTTATTATACTTCAATCACTGGAGCCTATGCAGAACCACAAATGTTGTCCTTGCAACTGTTATGAAATCAAGTTCAACGAAGTTTATAATCTTGAGTATCCCCGATCTTCAAATCATGAGGGGTGATAGATAAAGGGAAGATGTAAATAAGAGAATGAAAGCAAAAGGGCAATACAAAGGAAGACAGAATACAAATAAATGCAATCAAGTCTGACCTAGAAGCTAGAGCCACCTTACCCGCTTACACTAGTCTCATCCACTGCAAAGGTTTTCATGGCTCCTTGCATCCTATCAAAGCTCGTACTCTTCCACACGAAATCAACACTGAAACCATGATTTACATCAACTGGAACCCCCTGCATACAACTTGCGCAGTAACCAAAAGGCACATATAAAGAACTTCATGATGCAGATTTAGCAAACTAAGACTAGAACTACCTGATTTGCACGAAGTTCAAGAGCAACTTCCTCTTGTGCAGTTAGCTTAATCTGAAAACTCAAAATTAAAAGATATTACACAACATCAAATTCAATCACTATAGGATAGAAAACTTGTGGATTGACTAACAACAAATTAACACAAGAACACAACTAATATCAGTGATTCTATCTTTAAAAATGCACACAGTCGGTTCATACTTATCAGTACTCAAAGGGTACTCCACATGCATCAAATGATAGGAGACCCGAGAAACAAGAAAAATTTAGAACAAACGTATGTTGGATACGACATTTAGAATGTCAAAGCATATGCAAAGAATAGAAGGACGTGACCAGTGCATTCAAAATGTTGTGCCCAACGAATACGACATTTAGAATGTCAAAGTATATGCAAAGAATAGAAGGACGTGACCAATGTATTCAAAATGTTGTGCCCAATGACAACTTTCTAGACCATCCATTTCTAATGCAGCAACAACATACAGATAAATGAATAAATTACAACACGTTACACACACAGATGTTCATGTGTCAAAAGAGATAGGTGCCCATGATGCATCTCAGAAGTTAGTCTCATACCACATGCCCCACTGATTGCCATGCAGGATGTGCAGCATCCCCAGAATAACGCAATCGTAATTCATCACCAGGTACAAGACGCAACTCATTATCTTCCTATGAAATAGCAAAAGATATATTCATTTTCAATAAAGAGAGAACAAAATAAACAAAGAGATTTCATTCGAAACAAGACGTGAATTAGATAACCAGAGTATGAAATAAATATTACGTAAGAAACCTTTGCAAATAAAATGATACATAGAGTACCTTTGGGAATACAAAGTATGCAATGCGTTTCTTATTAAGACCAATATCCCATCGAATGGTGACATTGTCCTTGCTTTGAGATTCTTTCATCATCTACAACAACAGAACACTTATATGATACCAGTGAACCCTTCAAACGGGGGATGGCAATTAAACATGTTTTTTAAAAAAACAAAAGCAACTAAACATGTTTTGATGTTAACTACTGGTAGCATATGAAATTACGTGAACAGAAAAGAAAAAGCAATGTGTAAGTCACTACCTTGTCATAATCAGCTTCAAGCTTAATGAGTGGTGCAAAAACATTTTGATACTGAAAAAGCAAGGAAAAGAAGAAGCATATTAGAGAAGTGAAAAGAGTAAAGCGTGGAAATTGTGACATCATCCACAGTCTATGAAAGTAAAACCTTAACAAATCATCATAAACACCTGATATGCATCTTCATATTTTAAAGCCACCGGCTGAGGTTCATCATCTACACCAGGTTTCTCAAGGTCCTCAAGAGAAGCGTCAGGATTTGTTTTCCAAAGCTCTTCCACCTTATTAATTTGCTGAGCACTAATCTGCCGTGCTCTCAACTGCTCCTGTTCAGAGGGAATCTGCAAAAGCAAACACTGTAGGAAGGCGGGAAAAAATATATTATGTACACACCCAATAGATAGGGAAGAAACTGACCTTCACAAGCCATTGCAGGAAACACCGATCATCAATCAAGGGGCACCATTGACTGAGATCCCAATTCATATCTTTCAAGGCATTAACACTCAAGCAAGGTTCACGACATAAAAGAACAACTACACTTTCTGTCTTGGCAGAAATAAATCCAAGGAGAAACACATTACGACACCCACAGTTGTAGCATTCAAGAATGGTTTCTCCCAAAGGACTATCTTTGTGAAGACAGACTTCCTTGTGTTTTGCTCGAACCTACAGGAACAAATTGACAAGTGAAGCTAAACAACACTTGCACCCACAGAGAACAATATAAACTTATGCTCTCCACAGACGTACACAGACCTCTGCTTATCAGTTTGCAGTCAATAAAACATGATAAGCAATAGACAGACTAAATAAACTCCACATACACACAAAATATGTCATGAGTGGGAAAGAGGTGGGCAAGTTTAATTCAGAAGCCAGCATGCAAGCATGAAAGATATGCAACATATAAGTGCAATCTTTTTTGGTAGACTGTCCTTTGGATGTGAAAATACAATGCTTATTCTAATTGTAAATTAAAAAAAGACCAAGAAATTTAAGTTAGTCTAACCAAGGCAAAAAAGACTACAAGCTTTGAAAAACAAATATAAAGGCAAAAATATCTCTGTTCACTTTATCGGACATCTTTATTGTTATACACACTAATCTTAGTAATGATCACAAAAAAATTCAAGTTACCAGCTGAATATCAGAAGAACTAAGTCAAACAAAATCTGAACTGTCACTAACATCCATAAATAAAAAGAGATAAAAAATGATATTAAATATCAATACAAATGACCCAATTAACTGAAGACATTTGAGTAGGAGAAGACTCTGGCTGCTTCTTATGCTTATGCCCTAACATCGAACACCAGATTAAATACAGACAAAAATCTACAGTAGAAATACTGTGAGTGTGATACACACCTCTCAGTTATTTTGTGAAATAAATATTCTGTAAGATAGTTGCAACAATGTACCAGTGATATCTCCGTTTTCATAATTACATAAGAACATGCAACATTTGCTTTATCCTTCTGCTGGGGGACCAGAAACAGGTTAGGAGGGAGGAGTTCGACCACAATAAGAGTACAAACAAAATAGATGCAGACTCTCGACCTTGTTGATGATGCATAACCACCAGCCACAAATTACTTGCTCATTCAGTTATTCTTACTCAGACTTCACTTAATCAAAATAGCACGTCAAATTACATATTGACCCGTGTATTGATTACACATTCCACTGCATAAGAGCTTGCAATAATCTTTCATTTCTGACTCAAATGGCAACTGAAGGAATTTCTTCCACAATAACTTCAAAAAGACACTCTTTAACTGTCTGCATGTCAACCCAATCCTATATTTCACTCATAAATTCAAATAATTCTCACTTTCACTTCAAGTTGAACAAGCAACCCAATGACTTTTGTAAAGAAACAATGAAAAGACTTCCAACATAAACAAAGATGACAGAGATTTAAGACACACTATTCGAGTATCGCTACAAGATCCCCCGAGACTAGAAACTTTAACGCTAACATTATGCGTGGATCTAATTTAAAAAGCTCAAGTATAATGTATCTAGCTTCTGGGAGGTTCCACCCGAGTTTCTGATAAGACCCCATCTCCTGTCACTATGAAAACTCACAAAAAGGAGATATAAAAAGAATGGCAAAGGGCAGCAAATATGGAACTATGGGTTTAGGAGAAAATCCTATGGGTAAAGACCAGCTGACACATCAGAGTAGGGGAGTAAAGCTAGTGTTTTGGCAGGGGCAATCTACTTTTTGGCTTTTAAAATCTATATGTTCGTGTAGAAGAAAAGTGTGGAGTATTTGGAATATTGAAAGTGGTTAGGAGAGCTCTGGCCTCTCGAATGTCAGGTTGGGGGTGGAGGAAGTCATCTTTCTTCATCATTTTATCTTCTGCTTAGTGTATGTTTGTAAGTGAGTGACTTATATTTTGTGATTGTTGTTTGGTGGAGTGTATTTTGTGCTATTTCTGTTTCAGTGCGCTGTAATTTTCAGTTCCTTATTTCGCTGTAACCCAACTTTGCTATTCGGTAATAGTAATTTTCAGTCCCCATTTGTGGTGTAGTTTCTGGTTTATGCTTGTTTAAAGCTTATTAGAATAGAGGGTTCCATCAGTTTCATACACGCATGTACATCTATAAAGGAATGTCACTTTGGATACGCCGGGGGAATGTTAAACTTCCTTATTTCATTCTTTAGCTTTCTCGATCTGGAATTGGATTCTTTGGAGGATGCCTAACCATCCTCATTTTATTTTTCTTTCCTCCTAATATGAATTTTTTTCATCAAAAAAAAAAAAAAACAAGCAGTTTTCCATCATTCATCACACTTCTCCCAAATTCACCCAGAATAACCAATAGACAGCGTAACATCATACACACTTCTCAATTTCTATGCAAGAGAGTCTATCACTAACACAAAAACAAGTAACCAAAAAATATGAAAGGGTAAACGTTGTCATAACAACTCACCAGGTGATTTACGATATGTGAGCCCGACGTGTTCCCCCGTGAGTTGCAAAACCATTTGCGACAAGAAGGCACATTACACCTCACAACACATGCAGGGTTCGATACCCCACAATATCGGCAAGCATGTTCAGTGAAATCTCCTTTGCCAAATTCATAATTGTCATCATCACCGGTATCCTCAAAATTCAACCCACTCATCCCAGCAGCTAGGGTGTCAACCATCTGGCTGTTCCCGCTGCCGCCCGACCCCGTCGCCCTGTTTTTGGCAGAGATTCCTGGTGCAGCTGAAACAGGCGAGGCATCGGATTGGTGATCAGAACCCGCTCCACCTCCACCACCACGCTCCATGGGGTCAACCAGCGAATCGGACGGAGTGGGCCAAGCCGCCGGGGACCTAATCGAGTCACGGAACTCGGGATAGTCGAAATCCTCCCCTTGAGTGTTGAATTCGAGGAAAGTGTAAGCGTCGTTGCCAGTGTCGGGTTGCGAAGCGGTCTCGAATAGATTGCTCTGTTGGGAGTCCATCGTGTAGGTGTAAAGCAAGATTTTCAAATTGAAAATCTTACGATCTTCTGGGTAACAATTGATTTGTTAAGGTTAGGGTTTTGAGATAACGCCTTCTTTGGATTGTCAAGGGTGAAAGAAGTAATAACTAGGGTTAGGGTTCGGTGCGAAGAACGAAGAGAAGGAGAGGTTTGGCGACGGAGAGATACTCAGGTCTCAGGCTCATAGTAAAAACGAGGGTGGCTGGCCAAAACAAAAAAAGGGGAGGAGGTTTGAGCGTGTTCACTTGACTGTGCATACGTCATGGACGCACCCGCCCGTGGAATACACGCACGGCCTGTTTCCTCCCGCGCTCCATACCAACTAATTTAGAAAAAAAAAATGTCGAGTTTTTTTCCTTTTTCGGCCCCGATCAATTTTTTTTGGGAAAAGGACAATATTATTATTAATTAAAAGAAGAAAATACAAGCAAACTAAAAGAAAGATGCGAGGTGTGGGGACCACATATTTTTCTTAGTTAAGCCTGGGTCTTAAAAGACATTAAAAAGGTCCAGGTGTCTTCAAATGCCCCGATCAAATTTGGCTTCGTATATAACATTAGCACGGTTTGGATATATTGATTATCGACGGTGATAATGCTTGCTGATGCTTGTAATGAAATGTATTTTTTTTTTTCCTCAACAGCATGGTGCTAATAATATGCGTATCAATCCGCAATAATATTGACATTAAGTAATCCCTCCGTTTTTTTAATATAAACAAAAAAAATAAAACTTATATGCTAAACTTTTTGTGCTATGATTGGTTGGGAGGTAGTGAAGTTTTTTTGTTTGAATGACAAAATGGAGGGGAGGAGTGGGGGGATTTGGAGGGTTCCTTCATTTCCCTCTATTCCATTAAAATTTTTTCATTTCTCTCCAACCAACCAAAGCATTGTGCAAATGACCCAAGTGAGACCCAATGATATTGGCAATGGCCTCTCATCCAACAGAATAACCACACAAGTCTATTAGACCATCATAGGAACACCAACCAATAAGCTAAATCCCATGTTTCCCTTACAAACAAAAGGTAACCTATTTAAAAAAATTATATTTACTTGAAAATAGCTGCACCTCTTGAGATCAGAACTGGAAATATGAAACAAATAGTCAATTAGAATTTCTTGTAGTGTAAAGTTAAATTCTTGAGAAATCTAGTAAGTGAACCCAGCGATCGCTCACTTATTATTTTGATTTAAAATAATCAAATTAGTGATTTATAACATCTCAATTTAAATTTTAATAGTTAATTTAGGTTAATAGAAATTTTGAAAAATATTTAGAGGTAAATAAATTAGTAGAAAATGATCATTAAATCTAACTTAGGATATAATTCTAAATTAAAATTTTTTAAAAAAATTATTATTAATTAATTAATTAAAAAATATTATTAAATTATTATTATAAAAAAAAGGTATGCAAAAAAAAGGAAGAAGAAGAAGAACAAAATTGCTTTCGGCCGCCCACAACAATCATTGTATATAATAATAATATAAAAAAAAAAGGGGAGAGAGGGAAGAAGAAATAAAAAAATGTGGGACCCACTGAATTTTTATAAAAACCCACCTGTTCCTTCATTTTTTTTCATTCATTCTGCGCGCGAGCTGAGGTGGAGAGAAGCGAGTTGCCGGTGCGAAATATCTAAATTTTTAAGGTAAGAGTTTTTAATAGGATATTTAGGGTGTAATTTTAAGCTTTTCAAGACTAAGTAAGTGTTCTAAAAAATTTTCTTAGTCATCTTTCTTCTTTGATTTCTGAGTTTTTAGTGGTAGAAAATTTAAAATCTGGAAGAGGGATGAATTTATGTTGAATAAATATAATTTTTAAGGTTGTCAGTAGTATAATAAATGTTCTAGAGTATAAATTCGTTGATGATATTTGAATTTATGGCTTATGGATCAAATTCTAAACTAGATCTGAAAATATATGTTGATTTATTGAGATTTAGATGATTATTTGAGATGAGAAATAAATTATTATGGCTATAGGATTATGATTCTAAGCTAGAGACTCAATTTTTAATTTTTGGATATTTTAGGTGCGAATTTATAAAATAAAAAAAAATTTTGATAATAGAAATTAGTTTAAAATTTGATTTTTAGATTATTAATATTTATTGATAATTAAAAGAGGATTTGAAAATTTTACTTAATAGTATTAACTATAGATTTGTATTAAGATTGAGATTAGAAATTATGTTATATTTTTAATTCTATTATTAGAATTATTTTATTAGTTTCAAAAATTGAAACTAATATTTATAAATAATATGTTATTTGTAGATTGTATTACCGGTGAAGATTGTGGTGAGAGAGAAATTTTAAAGAATAATTTATTGAAAAAGCCACAAGGTAACCATGCTTTTAATTTGTGATTAGTATTACTTCATGTTAATTGGGTGATTATTGAGAAAATTATGAATTTTGTAATATTGTATAATTGTACAATATTATTATGAATTTGTTTGATTATTGTGGGAGGTGTTGGGAGACTTGCTATTGTTGTTGTATTTATGTGCCACGTGGTACGCTCCTATTGGAGCTCAATAGGTGGCTTGTAAGGGCTCGGGCTAATCTACCTTTGGCCGGATAATTTAGTACCGAGTGAGGGTTACGGCTCGAGGTTAATGGAAGGATATAAGGATGGTTGTTTATGTATATTGTAATATTTCTTATATTTGTTGAAATTATATTATTTTTAATTCTCACTTAGTAAGCACACACTTAACTGTTTGTATACACTATCATAAATTGGCTTTGGTTACTGGGACTTTTGAGTCTCATTATGTGGTTAACAATTTTCAAGAGAAGAGCCACGAGTGACACGTGGAGGAGTCCCAGAGGCTTAGTGGTACAAATCCACTGTCTCTTTTGGGTATTTAATTTATGATTTATAATGTGTTATATTGCCAATATTAGGGCTTTTTGTTTATTGTCAATTATATGAATATATAAATGTAATCATGCCTTTCAAACTATTTTTATTTTTGGTACAATTTGGATGACTATAATTTTAATATTTGGTTTACTTTAAATTGGTTAAAATGGCATGATTATAAGGTCAAATAACTGGCTTGTGTTGAAAATTAACTAAATTGCTTATTTTACTTGTTGGGAGTATAAGGATGGACAAATGTGATTTAGTTTACTTGTTGGGAGTATAAGGATGGACAAATGTAATTTAGCCTAATGGCATGTGAGAGGTAAAAATTCATCTAAAATGTTATAGTGTGTAAGTTGAAGTCAATTATAAAATATTTTATATTAAAATTATTGATATAAAAATGTGTTGGGTGGCTGTAACCCAACTATGGTTGAGTTAAATTATTTAAAAAAAAAAACTTGGTGTGTTACATGATTTTTTAATTATGACGCAAAACATTAGCTAGGATAAGTAAACAAGGAGAAAACTATAATCTTATTAAATATATTTTCAATTTGAAATTCATAAAAACAAAGTGAAACTTCATTTTCCCTATATTTTTATGATTCGAAAGTATATATCCAAAGGTCAAAACAAGTTTCTTTTAATTTTTCACACTTGTATTAGTATAGGAGCAAAAATTAAAATAAGCAGCGAAGCAAATGTCTATGGCCATGTTTGGCATGATGGAAGAAATTTTAATGAAATTGAAATAAGAATTCAAAATCAGAATCAAAATAAAATTGAATTTTGAAAATGTGTTTCGTGTGATGATGGAATCTTAATATATAATTTTAATAAAATATGTGCATTCAAAATAGAAAAAGACCAAAGCACCCTTTCCAAAAAAAAAACTCATCCCGATCAGCCCAACAACCCTATTGATCATGACCCACCTCTTGTAGCGTCACCCAAGGCATCAACCCCAACATTTCACAAATTGACATCTTCTCCATCTAAGGTCGTGATAGCACCAACTTCAATAACTAAACCTCAAACATCATCTCCTATTGAAGCAATGGACTTAAATGACATGCATCTTAAACTTGGTTTTGTAAGCATCTACCATTATCATTGTAGTCAAAAACATCATCTCTTTCTTACCATCTATCAAAGCATCATCATCCATTGGCCACTAATTTTGAGACCTAGAAGTTAAACCTATCACTAAATTCAAAATAAAAATATAAAAGCAAGAACCTAAAAAAAAACTGTTGCAAAAAGAAGTACGTTAAGATATGAATGTGTTGAGGATAGTATCTTCTTATGTGTTGTTTCTTTGGTTTATTTCCTCTAGAAACTAAAAAAAAAATCAGAGTAAATGTGCATTTTTGCCTTTGAACTATTCTCTAAAAACATTTAGTGTTCCAAACTCTTTATGGTAGCAATTTTGCCCCTTAAAGTAATTAAAATAGACCAATTTTGCCTCAACTTTAAATGGACATTGACTGTTAAATATAATGTGAGAGAAAGTAGTTTGACATTTCACTACAGACATGGCATCTCAGGTGATCTGACTCATTTTACTCTTTAAAATCCCATTTTCACTCATCCATTTATTTCTTCTGTAACACACCAAATTTTTTTTTTAAATAATTTAACTCAACCATAGTTGGGTTACAGCCACCCAACACATTTTTATATCAATAATTTCGATATAAAATATTTTATAATTGGCTTCAACTCACACACTATAACATTTCAGATAAATTTTTACCTCCCACATGCCATTAGGCTAAATCACATTTGTCCATCCTTATACTCCCAACAAGTAAACTAAATCACATTTGTCCATCCTTATACTCCCAACAAGTAAAATAAGCAATTTAATCAATTTTCAACACAAGCCAGTTATTTGACCTTATAATCATGCCATTTTAACCAATCCAAAGTAAACCAAATATTAAAATTACAGTCATCCAAATTGTACCAAAAATAGAAATAGTTTGAAAGGCATGATTACATTTATATATTCATATAATTGACAATAAACATAAAAAAGTCCTAATATTAGCAATATAACACATTATAAATCATAAATTAAATACCCAAAAGAGACAGTGAATCTATACCACTAAGCCTCTGGGACTCCTCCACGTGTCACTCGTGGCTCTTCTCCTGAAAATTGTTAACCACATAATGAGACTCAAAAGTCCCAGTAACCAAAGCCAATTTATGATAGTGTATACAAACAGTTAAGTGTGTGCTTACTAAGTGAGAATTAAAAATAATATAATTCCAAAAAATATAAGAAATATTATAATAAACACAAACAACCATCCTTATATCCCTCCATTAACCTCGAGCCGTAGCCCTC